CTATATAGTTAGACAGACACTTTTAGCTATCACCTCATCTAGCCTAATAAAATTTCATATTGATCATGATCAGTGCTAACACATAATTCAGGAATATCTGGTTCTTGTTCTCGTTCTCGCAAATTTATCTTGTCTGTCCTAGTTTACCACTAAAGATGTCACAACCAGGCATGGATTTAGAGGGGGGATGGAGGGAGTGTGACACCCCCATGTTTCCTTATCCTTCGGTATATTATGGTTCCATTCGGTAAAAATAATTTTTGGTATTCAGTAGTAACAAAATAACGCCGAGATTGTACTCAATTAATCTTGTTATCAGGAGCGGATCCAGACTATAGCAACTGTAGCTCGAGCTATAGTCAAAATCTCAGTGTTTGATTTTCGGAATTCACATTTGAAAGCAGCGGTATAGGTTATCAAATGCGATTAACAAACATGCACTGCTAGAAATGTGTCATCACAATGCCTCTCCAGATAAGATATAAAACACTGAGCGCAGAATGGTCTAATATTAAAACTTAGACGAATCAGAAGTTTCGTTCTTTGTTGACAGTAACCAACCAGAATTGAGCTACAGTGGATATTCCGAGCTATAGTCGGTCTGGGGATTTGCTCTGGAAAAGGCACCGAAGACAATGAAACCCGTACTATAATTTTTGGCGCGAGCTATAGTCAAGCTATAGTCAGGTTTGAAAATGGCCTTTTAACCAATAGAATATGAGGTATTTCTCCGCTCTCTGTCCCCTGTAAAGCAACAGTAGACTTTTGCTCGTTTTCACATCCTGGGTCCCCTGTAATGTAGCTTCAAAGGCAAGGACCTACTATACTAGGGAATAGACAGGGACGGCGGAACGACCAAGCGGCAAGAGGGGGGGAGGGGGCAGGCTTGAGTAAAAAGGCTTTTGAAAGATAATTCTCAGCTTCTACAAATTCATACGTAACTGCAATTTTATTATCTGTAGGTATCTTCAACATTGGCTAACTTTCGGCACAAGGTATTATTTTACATGTTTTGAGAAGTTCAGAATTTCATACGAATCTCTCTGATTATTACGATTGGCCAGTTTCAAGGGAACTTTATTAAAAACAACCCTTGCCCCTTCTGTCAAAGGGCAACAGGGGCGGTTGTACCCCCACACCCCCTTCTCTGGCGTCCCTGGAAATAGAAAAAGGATGTTCGAAGGAATATTTATAAATACGAAGCAACTATAAACACACATGGTTTATCATTTGCCCATATAGTGGGCGTGTCCCGCAAGCAAGGAGGGCGTGGTTCCGATCCCAAAAGATTTGAGCTATAGTCACCAAAAATCCTGGATCCGCCCCTGATATCCTCTTTACCTTGAAACAGAGGTGTATTGTCTGGGGGCTCGATAATTATTGCTTCATCACAGGTCAACCAATGACGACTAAACCAGAAGAACGTATTTTCAAGATTGAGTCATATGCATGAAAATGCAAACAAAGTTTGATATAAAAGATAATTATTGATATAATATAAAATAAAAGACTTGATATAAAATAATTGAAAAACTTTTTACTGAGTACGTTTAGTGGCAGTTTTTTGTAGACAGTTAGTTTTTTGTCCCATTTAGAACCGGGGTTAATTGCCTGAACTAACAACCAGTTGCTATCATTTGGCTCTGTCCTGCCTACTTTTAATATAGTTGATTCACTACACTCCATTTATAAGAACAAAGTAATTTTTGATGACGCTCGATGTTCTTATTATTTGAATAATTACAGGCTCGGGTTTTTTTAATCTTGTTGTTATTTCAAAACTGATTTTTCTATTGCTGCAAACTATGAATACTCTTTAAGTCCACTGAATGACAATATTGTATGACATTTTTGGTAACATGATTTATTAGCTGATAATATCTTCTCTGCTTTGTTAACACGAGAGAAAATGTGTCAATTCAAAATCCAACAAACAATCGGTCATAATTATCAAAAAAGCTTAAGAATATTGCATAGGATCTTCCTTATCGATTTTGTAAATATTAACGATAAATTCTCTGACCATCCTTAGAATGTCATATCTCAAAATTTTTCTCGCCGCCAATCATGGCTGGCGGCTTCACTAAACTCTGACCAAAATAAAAAATCTTCGCCACTATACTTTGAATGAAGTTCTTCCCCCCGGCCCTTGCAATGGTATGTAATGTAACAACACAGTCAATGTAATGTGCCTGGCTGCTCAACAAATTATCGGAAAAAACGTCAACCATCGTCATGTTCAAATTGAAATGATTACATGAAAAGATCAACTTAGAAATATCATAGAGCACCCTTGCTAAACTTTATAACTATATTCACTTTATGCCTTAAAGTTAAAAGACGAATTTTAAAAATGGGGGACTCCATTGTTTTCCAGTGTCCTGAAGGGTGTGGCACCAAAATCCAATTTATGTCTAAAACCCTCCCAATCATTGTTGCTTAAATCCGTCCCTGGTCACAATTAAGCTAATCAAGGAGTTTTTAATCATGGGAGGAAAACACTATGGAAGAATACCTGAACCTTTATGGGCCTAAAAACTAGAACACTTTTTTGATTAGCCTTTTTCATGTTGCAAAATTCTGCCCAATTTCGGCTTAAATCGACACTAAACAAAGGTTAAGATTCTTACAAAACTTCCTTGAACCTTTAATACCCACGAAAAGAATAATTAGGAATATGTCTCGACCCTGCTACCTGGGGTAGGATTTGTTTTGTAAAATCGAAGAGACGGATTTCTCACCATTTAGCCTCTCACAAACACAAACCCAGATCCCCAAAAGAGAATTGGTGTAATTTTTCTCAGCCAAAGTTTGAACATGCGCGTCAAGCGTAAGTATGAGTGAGGTGCAAGCACAGATATTTGCTTTGGAAATATCTATATTGACTTTTACAATATTTTTTATAATAAGAAGAATAAGAACATAACAATTGTTAGAAAGGGGTCTCTAAATGATTGCAAGGGCCAAGAAAGATTTTCGGGATTTAGAAGATATGCTACACTTTGTTTGGTGGTGAAGTTGTTCGTTGAGAATGTAGAACTTTTCAACAGGTTAAATTCCACATTAATACTGCGTACGGCCGGTGTGCTGCTCTACGCATATTACCTGGGGCTTCGCAAGTCAATTTGCCGCTTCGCGAGGGTTCCAAACTCCGTACGAAGACGAGTAGTGATGGCAAATAACGGTTTTCCTTAGCAAGAAGTTGTCTTAAAAGAGTGTAATTGTCAGACGGGACACACCTGAAGCATTGACAGTTTTTATTAAACGGCTCGAAATACAAAACTCAAACCAAAATTTGTCGAGCACATTCCTCGAACGCATTTCAGCCACAGGTCTCTTTAAACATACTTTTACGTTTTTCTTCAACTGACACATGTATTACTGCACTTTAAAACAATCCAGACTGCAATTGGATGGGAATGCACATCTGTGAAAAAATGCTACCATGACTTATGTTTCAAGTTTGTGTGAACATACCGGTGTCGTAATAGCAAAGAGTAAATGATATCTTAAAAATTCATTTACCGATAGTGCCCCGAGTTGCAAACATTGGTCTTCAATAAACAACTTTAACGACAGCTGATGAAACCTGAGTAATAAGATTCGAGTTGGATTTCCAATATTATAGGGACCGGCTCTCTAACATCCTCAAATGGAAAGATATTCCTTATAAGGTATGAAATTACAGGCAGCCGTTCATAGAGGGGATTGGGGCACACAACACATATTCATACTTTGAGTGAATCCATTATTTTTGGGTAAAACTTCGGATGAAAATGATATTTTCGATAAAAACAGCAGGTATAAACTTTTTTACGTATCTAATTTAAAACTGATATATTTCTTGTGATGAGAAAGCAAAAGCTTTATCAAATTTACTTTTTATTACAACAATAGTTATCCTATAACTTTAATAATAGGTAAACTATTCTATCAAAAAGTGTTTTTATCCAACATTGTATCTTTTGGTTCAAGATAAGGACTCATGAAATTCTTGGACTGACCACCGGACTGACCACAGGACTGACCACTGGTATGTCGATCTACCGACTGCCCTCAGGGTACCTCGCGAATGCTTTACTCTTACAGTTAATTGTTTTTTTCTGCAAGTCACTGGCACAAGGGGGTGATGGGAGAGAATCGCTCCTACCACCCTTGTGAAGAGAAAGCAGAGGAGAAAAGATGGGTCGTTTTCTTGCAAATTATACTTGGTATGGACTCTATAACAATGACAGTTGTAAAAGATAGAATATAACTAGGAATTCAAGTAAAATTGTACTATGAAAAAATAACGAATTACAATTTAACTTGAATTCCTTTTTATATTCTATTAAATTGTACAGTACGCAAGTTTGCTTTTTTTGTGAAAAAATAGATGGTCGATTATATACAATGCTAGCTTTCCGAATTCAAGATATGATACAATCTTGAGTATAAGGTCAACCATGGCTATTCTGATTCTTCTATCTTTATTCATTATCAAATGGACATCTTTTCAATTATGCTATATGAAAATAAACCTAAATGGTTATTTTCCACTTTCCTATAAAGTTAAGCAACTTTGCAATATTTCTTCACTGAATGCTTATCAATAAATACATTAGCAAAATACGTGGTTTTAGCATGTATAAGATAAAACACTAACCCATAAAACTATGGTTCCCTTAACTAAAATCCAATTCCGTAACATTCTAAAACTTCTTGTTTCTAAGTACATTATTGGAATGACAATCTTATTTATAGGAACCCACTTTATATCAACATAGCAGGGCAATATGCCACAAAACAGAGAATGCACAGTGTTCGATGAAAAATGTGAAGGAAAACAATGTGGTTTGAGAAATAATCTCTTGTGTTGCGAGACCAGATTTCATCTGAGGAAATCTAATATTTAGTGGCCTTAGAAAAAATCTATAGTATGCAGTTGTAGGAAAATCAATGTTGAAATAAGAACACATGGGGAAGACACCAGTCTAAAATTATATAAAAAAAATGAGAACTTCGAGCCTTGGCAAACGTTATCTCATTCTTGCATAAATGAGAGTTTATTTTTAAACAACGGTGTCTGTACATACGGGATAATTACAACCATTTTATGTAGTTATGAAAATATTATGAAGAAAATAAAAAAATGATTGAGCTAGTTAGTGTTCAAGAGTTTTAAGAAAATTAACATGAAATCTTTGTGTACTTCAGCGAAAACAGAAGGAGACGTGGACTGATGCATTGTTGCATCTTTGCATAGCAGATCCTTGCATTGTTTCTTCGGAATTTCACAATCACACTATATAACATCACCTGATAACTCCTTTGCAACGACTTTGATTTGGTGCATGGTGCAAGAGAAAACCATCAAGGTACCACTGATCGGCTATCTATTTTTCCTGCAAAAACAATACATCTTTCAGTGAATGATTAAAAAATATTATTATTTCCAGCGAGAAAATGAACATTGAAGAACTTCCCTGAAAACCTTTTTTGAAGCACAGAAAGAAAAGGAGTTATCTATATACAGATGCATCAGTGCTTTTCGTAATTCCTTGTTGCTTGCTGTCTACTTACATTGTTTAAAAATAGAATAAAATTAGGGGGAAAATTTTGGTTCTCATGGTACAGAGAGTAGCGAGAAAAAGCCTTTTATTGAGGGAGCTAGGCGGGTAGTAAGTTTAGAGTAGAGATATATCAATAATTTTAGAGAAACTAAAGATCAGGGTGCCATGTTTAAGTAAGTTTGCAATGACAGTTGCTGTACCTTTCATCGACTTAACTTTACTTAATTTTTTTATGTCCGTACACTCGTACCCTTTCTCGCCCGTTCGCAAGAGATATTCCGCAAAAAGATGAAAAATCAGTTGTCACGGTGATCACTACGTAACCAGGCAACGAAGAAATTCGAAAGAGAAAAAACCAAAACAAAAATAAACTGTATCTCTTGGTGGTCTTCGTAATTCCATCACACAAGAATCAATTAGGCAAAATGAAATTCACGTGGACTGCAAACTTAGCCTATATTGCCTTGATAAGTGGCAGACATGCGTGAAACGACCTTAAATCGAGGGGCCGTCTGGTAAATTCAGCTGTGGCTTAAACAATGTAAAATATGACCAAAACAGCGTCTCAGTTCGTTAAAGAAATTGCCGATCAAAGGTAGATTTTCATTAACCCTTAGTACCTTATTTGGATATATTCTAAAGGTTGTCATTGGTCTTTGTCGGTATCTTGTTATTGTTTGCGAATATAATTTCCTTTATTTTACTTCGGGCAGTGTTATCTATCGTTGAATAAATCTAGGATGATATGAAATAACAGCACGTTCCCCCTAAATTAATTCAGAAAACGTTCTGCCTTAAGTGCCGCAGGAACTTGTTTAACTTTCCAGCTCGTTCCTCTACTTCTTTAGAATATTGGCGGTTTACATAAGCTTGCAGACATCGTAACCCCTTTACAAAAATCTGTAAAAAGGACTGGAACTTATATCGTGATAACAGAGCAACAACATTTTTTGACCATAAGGGGGACTTAACAAAACATAATTATGACGATATTTACCATATGAGACCTCACTTTTGATGTAGCACTTGTGTGATTGCATACATTTCTCTATCGTTGTTAAAAGAGTCAAACATTTTAAGGAATGGAAAGCTCTATATTTAAGAAATAAAGGTCTATATAGCATTACCATATCATATCACAAACTAGTTGATAAAACGACATTAGAGAGAAGTTGCACCTATGAGTCTCTAGAATCTAGATACTACAATTCGAGACTTATTGTTATTTTTATTATTATTCCTATAACCGATTAAAAAAAATTTATACAAAATCATTTATAACTTAAATTCGAATATTAGGAGTTTTAAAATTCTGGCGATAGTTTAAACGGGTAGCTAGTTTCTGGTACAATATTTACTATTTAACTATTTACTCATTGTTTACTCTTGAAATTGAAAGCGCGTAAGACCAGTGATCTATTATGAAATTACCGAAGAATCAGTGTTTTGGAGACTAGTCAGGATTAGTGGCATTATGTATAAAGCCTTGGAGATATTTCGTCTACCAAATACAAAATAAAAGCCTTAAAATATAGAGGATTTTACCATCACATTTCGGAGCAGCCTAAGATGTATTATTTTCTTTCAATACAGTTCTAAACTGTACTGTTGCCCGGTAATGAAAACGTCTCCCTCAGCCACTCTTTAAACAAAAAGACCTTAAGATTGAAAGAAACTTTTAACCATTCTCATAACAAGATTTTTCTTTCAAAAGGGGGCAAGGAACCCACAGTAAATGGTGTAAAGTCAGTTTGCAGAAGTGTCCGGTTCAAAACTATACACAATTTTCATAAGAATATTTGGCTCCAGATTCAGCCTGGCGCTTCTAATTTTTTCGCACAATCACAGCTTCATGTGTTTCTTACTTTGTTGCTATTCTTTTATATTTTTCAATTTTTGTTTATATCTTATTTATTGAGTTTTGTTGAATCTTGGTCTGCCTTGTTTCTAATGGTGTTCTTATTTTTTGGGCAAATCTCAGCCTGGTATTTCTTAAAAGGGTTGTTCTTAAAAAAGAACTGTGTACCCAACACAAATTAGCGAATCGTTCCAAGAAAATGGTAGGAAGCGACTTCAACCTGGACAGGCACTTATCGAACTTGAAAAGCTGCAAGGTACACCTGCAGGGGCTCAAATGCAAGTTGGAAGTAAGGTGCCAAGTCTATATTAAAGACCCGTAGTAAAAGATTTTGGAAAAGCTCTATATTGCTTGCAAAAAAGTGGGAGGCCATGCCCCCCTCGGCACACCACCAATGGGTCCCAGGGTAATCACTAGGGTAGCCAAACGGAGCAAGGAATATAAATAGCCTAAACTCATCCATCACTTGGAACAAATGTCCTCTCTAGGCACCAGCAGCGTAGCAAAGGTGAGAAGGTTGGTGGCGGGAAGCTGCAGAGGTGAATAGATCAAGCCTACCTTAAGGTAATTAGGGCAACTTCCACTGAAGATTTGCGACACACCCTTCGGAAAACTGGATAACGTTCTGAGACACCAATTTTACCCAATTGCCCCCTACTTGCTGCTATAGTGCTCAAAAATCGCATTTGCCGGTCCTTAACAGTGTGTTGAAGAATCGCTACTGAACGTAGAGGAAGAGCCACTGGCTAGTGGAGAAAAAAAGTACATAGTGAAAGAGGTAGGAAAGAAAAGCGGGGAAAGGGTAAAGACCAGAAAATATGAAGCTTCAATAAAGTTTAGAGCTTTTTACATGAAAAAGAGTGCCACCTAGACATCCACCCTACATTAGCAGAGGAAATTCTAAATTGTCTTACGTCTTCCTAAACATGTACCTCTTCAGTGCTGTTTTTTCATAATGAATCGAACTGTCCTATCGTAACCCTATACATGCTGCCTGAGGCATCCTTCAAACCTTTTCAATTACATAGCATTGAAATATTTGATTACAATACAGAAACACTTAGATAGAGTCCACATACTTTAGCAGAACGTACGGTTGTGAAAATTAGAACATACCCTTGAAAGAAGACGGGCTCTCTCTCAGCCACGGAGTATTTCGCCTGAAACCAAACGGACCGTGATATCCATTGGTGGGGGAAACATTTGTCATGAAAAGATCATGACCTCCTACGACATTAGTTGAGTGTCCTGTGAGAAAAAAACGTCCTTGATGAAAAATCATTACAGAAAATACTTAACGATGAAACTGAGCTACCCTCCCAATCTACGTTTGTTTTGCTGAGATAGATATTCTGGAAAATACAATACACCACCTCTGATAATTAATAAACTGTTTTGCAAAGAGAGGAAACAGGTACTCACAAACTCGCTAAAATCTCTTAAAATTCAACAAGCTTCAATTTTTCTTTAATAGACGTTATCCTGCTTCAGTTGAAGCATTTGCCTAAAGTCATACTTTTGTAAAAACTTTTAAACGTTCCAAATATCTGACGTAAGCTAAAACAGATTTGGTTTTATACATAAATATAATGTGAGATGGAGAAATTAGAGTCATATACCGAAAATTCACAACCCTTTTTGATTCTTTGAAGACAAGAAACTGTAAGGTGAGCATAAAATCTTTGAGTGAGCATTTTTCTAGTAGCCCTTTTGATAGAACGGTCATTTGAAAAGCCGAGAACTAGCAAATGCCTGTGGATTTACTGCACGATTCCCTTTTCCGCAGTGGCAGTTATAAATATGTGCATCTTAGCAAAATTTTGGTGTTTAGAGGAGCCTAGGGACATTGTTCACGCCCATTGGTTTGACTGAGGTTTCAAAAGTCGGTTTTGTCTAACCCAATGATGACGTATTCACTATAGCCTGGGGAGCAGCTACATAGTAAACATATCAAATGAGCGAATTAAAGCCAAAAATACCTACTTCAATGATAGCGCCTGGAGGGGGGAGGGGGCGGGGCAACGGGGAGGGGACAGTTCTTGGCAGGGTCAAATTTGCATTTCAGATAATTCATTGAGAAGTGTTTTGTTAACGACTAATATTTTGGTTAAAAAATTTTTATGATGTAATTCTATGACTTTGAAAAAGCCTTAACGTAACCAATAGTTAGTCGTGGACATTTCCTATTGGTGAAATTGGCGTTCCCTGTTGGTAAAAAACGTTTGCTAACAATTAAGGGCATGACCTAAATTTTCATTTTGCACTCCCCCCCTCTGCAGCATCATAGGTGGAATCGGCTTCAGGGAATTCGGGGCCAGGGGCCTTGTTCTTAACAATTTCTATCTTTTTCCTTAGGTGGGAGAACCCTTTTGGCTACCATAAGTGTAGGGGCTGGGGCCATGGCCCCCTGGACCCCCTTAAAACCGCCGCTGCCGCCAAGGCCCGTCGATAGATATATCAAACTCCGCTTTGCCGACAGAGTGGTCGAACCATCCTTTTTTAAACTGACAAGTTTGGATATTTGCCGACTAAGCACCCCAAGATAGCAAAAAAATCTTTTTTTGCAATGGAATTTTTTTTAAGGGGAGTGTCACACCTCGCACGTCCCCCTATAGCGACAGGTCTGGCACCGACATATTTGCGAGGATATGATATAAATCTCTTACAGTCTACCGTTGGGGCTGAGGGCAGGGGTAATTCAAAGGATTTTAGCATGGAACCAATTATTCTAATAGTCATAATAGCATATTTCATACCTGCACCAACGTCATTACGTAATTTCAGGTATTTCCCCATTCTTCCATGTTCATGGAAAAAATCGACTTGCTTCCCATTGATAGAGGATCCAACTGGATACTGAAGAAAAAGTTTCCATATTAATCACCATGAACATAATCATCAATGTTAATATTTGATGAAAATAAGAACCCCACCATCAACCCAAAAAGGCAAAATTAATAAAGCTACCATTTTATAATGGATGTCCTTTTACCTCAAATACTCAAAAACTTCAAATCTTCTGTCGAATATAGCAGAAAGTGTCATCCCCTTATATAATCAAAGCTATTTCTTTTGAAGTTTTCCTCATGTCCCATGGGGCAGTCTATCTGCAGTTATCAACATTCACCAAAAAGTATCAAAAATTTAAAGGACCAGAATTATCAGCTATAATGTTTTGTTGAGAGCCAAAAACATAAAAAACAAAACCTTTTATTGAGCTCAAAAGAGACCACAAATGATTGTAATTCAGACTTTTTTCTAAAACTATCAGTTTAAAAACATACATCTGTTCCTTTATTCTTGTTTTTGATACTTGATAGTTGAACCCATAAGTATGAAAAAAGTATATTAAATCAGGTCACAAGGACAACCCTTACCCAATTAATCAGATGGGTTCCCCCTGTAAAAAAGGTCAAGTTATCACCCTGAGGCTTATGTCTTCATGCAGTGATGGTTATAAGGGGGCTCCAGGAAGGCTATGGCCCCAGGCCCCGTGCTTATGATAGCCAAAAGGGGCCCCACAACTAAGAAAAAGGATGGAAATTATAAAGAACAAGGGCCTCGCAGATGTTTTTGGCCCGGGACCGGGACCTTCCTAAAACCGCCACTGTCTTCATGAATTCAAGCATTTAAATTCATCTACACTCTACATTGCCTAGCATCTACAGTGATGTCATCCCTAGACATCAAACAGGGTTATATTACCAATAAGTCATTCTCTATCACCATTACAAGCAGTTCTTATTTCTTGTGCCTATCATTAAGCTATAAATTTTTGAATGTGTTCAAGAATTGTATTTAAGAAAAACATTGACAGAAGTAATTAGAACAAAGGAAGCTAACTAAATTTAAAACAGGGGGGTTTAGGACCCTAAATTCTTTATAAATCTATATTATATTTATGTCACCCTACTTGGAAAAATGAGCCGAGACACTACAATTTGAACTAATTTAATTGATTTCTTTTTCATGGATCAAGCTGAGAAAACTTTTTTCAATTTTTCCATTGTCATTTGTCCTCTGTCTGGGATTTTTTGGAAACAAAGCTGGTTAATTTTTCTGCCTTAGGGGTTTGTATTTTTGTATGTCACTTTTGACAAACTAACATTACATTATATATAAATATTTACAGCAATGTGAAGGCGAATTCCAGTAAATTTTGTTCCTAATAGGTTAAGCTTATGCATAATATTTATAATTGAGCTCAAAAAATGCAAGAAATCGTTGGAAAGAGTCCAAGATAATAAAACATCATCACATCAGTTTGAAGGACATATAAAACATGACTCCACATGACAAGACTGCATTCCTCAAATGTTAAAGGGACCAAAACAAAAGCAGCCTAATTTTTTATATCGGTTATGTGTAAATCTTAACGAATAGTTTAGTAGCTTACCAGCTGAAATCGACACCTTTCCATCCATTGAAAAACAAAGAGATACGGCGTTGTGGGATTCTTTGTATTATACCTAATCAAGTCCCTTTAAAGAATGGCCTACAACAAACTGCAGAACCTGATCACGATTATTTAAGACCACTGGGCCTAAGCACTAGCTTTCACAATATATAAACTTTCTTACCTGACCAGTTTTCTTTAGTGTTCTATCAACCTCTCTCCCTTTGAAATAACTCTGTGCATGGAGATCTTTCTGAGCGTTGTATGGCGGGATTGCAGTAGCTAGCTTCGGCGAAGCGTGCCCACAGTCGTGTGAAAAAGTCGCAACTGCAATTCCATCCAAAACAAAGCCCTTCTCTGCGCGCTTCTTTTCCTCTGGGGTTGGCTCGGGAGGTCCGAATTCAACACACCTGGGAAGAACTGTTTTTTTCGGAGAAGACATGATCGCGAGAAGTGATAACTTGGGTTTCTCTCCACCCGGAACAAAAGAAGAACAAATCAGTGCAACGCGTTGCCATTGGTGATGAATCAGACGCTGATACCACAGCAACGCACTTTCCGTGTGCGGAGAGTTGAAAAGCGGGGTTCAAGCACAGTTTTCAAGCAATTAGAGTGATCAATGTGGAATCTATCATTTTAAAATGGACTTTTCTGTATTAAATGACATTCCAACTAGAATAGATTATATACATAACGAAAAATCGCCTTAGTTTATTCGGACTTCACCCCCCTGTACTAAGGAATAAAGTACTAAAAATTGCAATGAAGAAACAAGGGTCGACATTGAAGACGTATGTCCATTTTCGAAATCTTACAGCAAGTACCAGCATTAATTTTGGGTGCTATGTGTCATGCAGGGTATCAAATTTATCATGCAGGGTATAAAAGTGTGATGCAATACATTTTTCTTTGCGTCTAGTTATTTACCAAAATGTTATACATGATAAAAAAATTCGGAGCTTTGCTATTTTTAAAGAAATCATTTTTGTCAGTCGTTTTGCATCGAGTGCTGAAGTTCTAAATTTTTCTTAAATGCCTTATACCCGTTTCTTTGAAAAATCGGTGTCTGCAAAAATATGATTTTGGGAAGACAAAAGAGGAAAGTTAATCGAACATACGCTGTTATTTAGAATTGCGGAGCGATCAGATTTTGAAAATAATTAGAGGTATAATTATAAGATAAATTTTGGAATTTTCCAGCGAAATTAAATGTTTTGCAAGATAAGAAACCGAAAAAATGCAACAGTATTTGAAAGAAAATCGTTTTAAGAACTCTTATTCAAAGTAAGATGTCAGCATTTGATACATGAACGAGGGAAAGAAAGATTAAAGGAACAGAAACCAAAGAGGGTTCTTACAATGATAGACAGATAGGGTCAGATTTTGCAACCCACATTTTATCAAACGCTATTGAAATGGATACAACTAAACCCTGGTGGCTGAGAAATTGTGCTTAATGCTACCCACGCTGTTTTAGGCTTCGGTGTCGTTCTAGCTCTGTATTCTATGCTAGACAAGTTTGAAGTTATTTGAAATAAGTGAATGGAAAACTTTCTCCCGGGATCGAAATGTGGTAAAATATAAGCCACTTTTACACACCTAACTAATGGATTTATGTAAGAAATTTCATATTTTTAAACGCCCTCAATAATGTTAACAAAATTGAACATCGTCCATTTGTTTTCGGCTTATCTACGCATTATTTCCATGTTATGACATATACAAGTTGTAGATTTTTTTAGACTGCAGGTACAATGTTTTAAGACAGGCAGAACCCTAAAATCAATGTCTGGACAAACTCACTTCTCTCTATAAGGCAATGAGTTGGTTTGCAATATTCCTTAACAAGCGGCATTTAATAAAATCATTATTCGCACCAAGTGGCACTATTTTGATGCAGAACATCAAAGAGAAAATCCTTTTGGTGACATTGTCCGTAAAACGTGCTTCAAGCTTTACTCTAGGACTATTAAAACCCTTTCCTCTAATTAAGATTTACATTGAGTTTAATATGCCTGTATTGAAAGATCCGATTGGTATTTTCCTTTGCCAAAGTAATTTGTAATAATTGTGGAGTTCGGTTATTACACTATTTCATTACATTTAAACGCAGTTTAGGAATTTACATCAAAGCATGCCAGACAAAAAGGAATTAAAAACAAGACGAAAACAATTAGGAATATGCAAGGGGCACTAAACCCATATAGATCCCGCACGACGAAGAAAAACAAATCTTGAAACAAACATAATATTTACAGCTGCCCTGAATTTTTCTAACTCTGCATTGAAAATAAAAAATATTTCTCCATGATCAGATTCTGCGCGATTGATGGTCAATGTAAAAAATGAACCTGTACAAAATAACCGATATATTTTAGCCTAGCCTAGCTAAGTTCTTATTCAATGAATATCTAGTAATGAATATCTCCAAGTAACCTAGGATTTAGATACCTATAAAATTAGTGCTTTCTAATTGCTCTATAAGCAAAGTTTACAGTCTTCGAAAGACTTTCTTTAATTGAGGGTAAACAAGGTACGCTCATTTTTCTATAACAAACAAAGGTCGATGTTGAGTACTCCAGTTCTTAATGTTCTGGAAATTTCAATACTCATTGTCTTTTAAGAGTTTCTTAACTATCATATCATGAATGATGTTATCGAATATTCGTGACTTTTTTATCACGTCAAGAGATTCGCTTCCGTTCTGATGCTGTATTTAGATGTGGGAAGTATATTTTTATCCCTTGTGTCGTAAGTTCTAGGCCAACAGGGCAATCATATTCTTAGATTTTACAAACTTTGTAGTTCTCAGTTTTATCACGATTTAATAGTTTCTTAATTTTTTTGCTTCGAGCAATGAAGTTTCTTAATTTTTTCTGACTGTCCAGTAATCGTTTCTTGTGGCCAGTTTCTTATAAAAAAATGAGCGAGTTTTGTTCTGTCAGGTTGTTTAAATTCCTAGTTCAAGCAGCAACTAGAACCATCTTTAGGAACAAGGAAAAACCACCTCTGCCCTCTTAAAATCGGACCATTACTTTACTTAAAGCCATTCTTAATCAAAGCTAAGAAACGAACAACTAATTCGAGAACTCCTTTAATTTGCTAAAAGGTGGTTTAAAAAAATTCGAACCACTACAGAATTTATGAAAAAGTGGTTTAGAAAATTCATTTACGGTTTATGACCCGATTCAAATAAAAATTCTTGATGGTTAAAACATACGGTATAACAGCAGATTATTATTACTTCTATGGACAAAGAATGGTTTTTAAACTCATCTCTCTAGGAGTTTATATATCTGAGGCTTTGTAAATTACTCTAACAGCCGCAGGCTACACAAACTTTGAAGACGAAGTTTCTGCTATAAAATGTTGAACATTATATTGAATTTGCTATTGAACCTTCCACAAATAAAAAATAAATCTTCCACTTCTTGCCATATACGGTTGAAAAATGGTTTGGAATAAAAAAGGAGATAAAAATCTACTAGATTTCACAACGAAAATCGAAACTCGGGAAAGGACTGTTTTTGGAATTGTATTTCCCAGGAGATTTCTAACCTACTCTAATAACACGCAAGTGGCTACTTATTATTTCTCCGCCCCGCCTTTTTCCAATACAATGTTGGTCGTGGAGGTAGATATCACGTTCTTGTCTGGTCACAGTATACTTAGTAATAGGTCAACGTTATATCACATAGGGACGAGGACTGTTAAATACATATTAGAAATAAAAGTTACTCTTCAATGAGTTATTGCGGTGACAAGTAAGAAAGCGTTAGAAGTAAGCAGCACTAACATAATGCTTTCATATAACCCCTTGTTCTTTTATGGAATGTAAACCATTTATGTCTAAAGTACCCCTTAAAATTTATATAGTTTTGGTGGAAACCTCATGCATTTTTGGCTACAGGCTTCGTTAAAAAGCAGACAAGTTACAAAAGCTCGTGTTTTTGTATGTGTAACATCGGCTATTTATAAAATACCTCACCTGTAAGATAGTAGATTCTAAGACTTTGAAAAAACATCACATAAAAACAGGCCTTCTTGTCACTACATGTTTCTTTTAACAGAAGACCTGTTAAAATTCAATCGTAAAACTGCTGTAAAATAGAATAAATATTTTATCTTTGCAAGCTATGATTTTTTCGTAATCTGTGGGTTTCAGATTTTGCAATTATCCTGCACGAATGTTTGTCAAAAAATTTTGTGCGAACGATGATAAATATTTGCCGAACTAAAAACAAAAACAACTGCATGTCTGCGTTGCAAATGAGACCTTAATGTCGGTTTAAAGTGAGTGGAGGTGGGAAATTGAAAGCTCAAACAAATACGACAATCGTCTGAAAGCGGTTAGAAATATTAAACCAAATGTGTAAGTGATGTTTTGACCTCAAAGGAGATTTATTAATTTACCAAATGCGAAACTAAGTAAGTTAATAACATTTGGTTGCTCCTGTTTTTAACGAACATACAATATTAGAACCAGATAATAAAATGACAGCCAAAGAAAGCCGCCAAGGTAACCCTAAATAACATTGACAACAAACTCATAATTTATTTGGTACTTAGTGGAATTGTTGTTTGAGAATTAATAGATACGATCTGCTCTTCGACAGATCCTATTTCCGATGTTTGTAGAGCAAAACTTTCCTCTTTTTCGACTTGTGGGGCCTCGCTCTCCAATCCCATTACCCGTGGTAACACGTTTCGTTTCCAGGCAATTAGAAAAATATGCTCCTAGGCCATTAATTAGATGTCGAGGTGTTTTTAAGAAATTCTGCAACTGTATTCTTAATGAATATTGGATTAGAATGTTTACTTCCACCCACAAAGAAACTGTTACCGATAAAAGTGAAAAACAAAGATTTTTTTCCCGTTTATGTACTGCATTTCTTGTAAACAACGCATCGAAAAAGGTGCAAGACGCGGGCAAAATGGTATGGATTGCAAGCAAATTTAAAAAATGAGAGGAGATAGAGATAATGCATGTCTCATTTCCGAAAAATGTTTACGTTGGTCCCTCTCAGCCATTGACAGGTTCTCATTGATAAAATAAAAATCACGTGACGTGAACCATTTTCGATAGAAAATTCTACAAAACCAGCAACCCTGACAACTTAAATAATTTATGCCAGATAAAAACTTTAATAAAAAAAGTTCAATATTTTCTTGCTAACATAAATAATTTTCCATTAGCAAAGCTCAAGAATACAGAAACCTCTTGCCACTGATAACACCAAACATCTGACAGGGACTATTTTCAGACGAACAACACTTGAGATTCCAGAATGCACAGGGTCATATTTACATTGTTGGGCTCTAAGAGGCGTTTTGGGTTTTGGATTTGAAGAAAAAAAACCAGGAAAGGGTAAAAAAACTGCTGGTCAAGGAATTAAAATAACAGTTACATACAATTTCATCTCTTTTCAATGGCAAAAGGCTTTCTGGACTTCATCGTTACAAAAATACCCTATAATCTATACTCTAGTTGCGTCTTAATCGCAAGAAAAGCTTATCAAGAATAACAACATTCTTAATAAAACAATCTTCATACTGAAAAAGTCAAAATTCTGATCATAGTGCTAGGAGTGCGAGGAGACTCCTTCTTCGATGCTGGAAACAGCTATACTGGATAAGCCTCCGTTTGACGTATGGACTTCAATATATGTAAATGCCTTACATTTAGATTGATTTGATGCAAAGATAGGCCGACCTCCTTAAACGACACGATTTTAACTTCGATTCAATTCAGAAAAGCAAATACTACCTTACAGAATCTTCCGAAATTTGCTTTACCAGGTTAGGAAATAAAATATATTCAATAGATCTATGCCTGGCTAATAGAAGAGAGTTTTTCAGAGGAACGCTTACAAAATTTGACTGAGACGGGTCCTCTCCCGCGTCTGCGTTTTCAATCTGATGCAACAGGTCCCCATTTGATGCGTCGTGTATAAACAAACCTCGCTGTAAAGAAAAAAAACATAAGTCTTTTATCAAAAGAGCAAATATATTCATAGTCGATTTTGATCTATTTTCGTTTTCCTAAAAATATATTTAATCCTTATATTATTCAAAACCGTTGAAAACATTTACTGCAAGAAAAATCAAAATCATATGCCTCGAAATTGACCCTACAAAACATTGGAAATTTTCTCACTAGACTGGGCTCGATCACCGAGTGTATTTCAGGGTACCGTGTTACAAGTACGAGAAACAAATTTTGGAGAAATTAGGTAATTCAATGCGAAGAAGAGAGTCTTTGTAGAAGTTACAGACTTAACGAAATCTATGAGAACTGTCATGCAACTTGATCTAATCTTTCAAAGGTAATTTCAATGGTTTGAAAACGAACAAGGATGAATATAAACAGTCTAGGCTAGTAGTGCGGCTAGATCACTGAACAGATCATTGGGCTAGATAGTGATGGAGGGAAAATAACCATCCACAAGCACTCAATAACAATGCATTCTGGGATGGCCTAACACCAGAAACAGCACTATCTAGTTGACAAAAACAAAGGCACCAGTCAACAAATGACAAATCGAAATTCAAGCTCTAATCTGGACAAATGAGAATCTACTAATGAGAAGGTATTCTCGTCCTTCGATGGGTTACTATGACGTAACAAACTGCCAGGGCTCAGTCAACAGGAGATGTCTTTATACAGATTTCACATGGATGTAGCGCATAGATGTAAATATGTTTTCTCTTTCACTCCTTCATTTTTGAAGCATTTATGAAGCTACGAAGCGTGGCTATCTTAATCCCCTTAGAGGAAGTTATATGATTTAAGAAGCCCTACAGAGATAACTCAAGCAAGATAAGGCAGATCAGACGTCCACACATACACCCAGGCAAAGAAATAATCTTTTTTGTAATTGGAAAGTCGATGAAGGATAGAAACCATTATACAGATAAACACAAACCATTTCAGAAAACATTTTTATAGCTGGCGAAGCGATCAATTAAGTAAAAATTTAAAACGAAAGACGAATCATATTAGACAACCATCTATAACCGATAGCATTTCTGACAATTTAAAGAATCTGAGAGGAAACACAATTAGACAATTAGAGTTTAGCTTGACATCTTTCTATGGTACCTTAAAAGGTAAAAATGCTCAATATATCTTTCTGTTTTGTTTTAACCCCTCAAATAAACAGAAAAAGAAAAGAATGTGGTCACATGAATGAAAAACATAGAATGTGGTTTATGAGCATTATGGGCAGAAAAAAATGCGATAGAATAAATTATACATAGTAATATCTTTAAAAGTGTTTCAAGAGCTGTCAAGAGCGTCTGTATTACTCACTTGACAAGAAAACAACCTAAGGATTGTGTAAAAGACAGAACGAAGTTGCAAATCCCTCAGAAAACTACTTAAACACTGCCTCTAGATCTCTCATCTAAACATATTAATAATTCTGTAGCAAATACACGACGTTTTAGTTCACATGGGTTACCTTTAGAAATAAAAAACCTAGTTAAAGGAAACTAAAGGAAATGACAGCAAGCAAAATCAATCTATAGCAGTTTCGTGACATTCCACGCGACAGTGGGCGAAATTCTCGACAAAGAAAGACACAATAAAATGAAATTTCACACGTACTTCTGAAACGATGCACAATGAAATACCATCTAAAAAGTGCAGCTGAAGTACGTGAAATGTACTCTACGGAGGAAAATATATAAAAATGTTACAATATCGAGGAGTGCAATAAGCAAATTAAACGCATTGCCATATTCCAAATGTCCTATTTTTATGCGTATATCAGGCAACACTTCGTGGCACATGGGTCTAATACAGGCATTTCAAACAATTGTTCAAAGCCGAAGATCGAGCCTATAAGACCAAATTCTGATACTAATTAACTATCGATCTATAGTCATTCTTTACTCACTAGTATTCAAGATTAAAGAGGAATCGTAATTCTCTACGCACCCAAGATTTTTATTATGACTTGATTCAGAAAACATGCTGTAAAATACCTACTTGATAACTTTAAAACTTAGCTGATAGTTTGAGGTTAGTTGCTAATTTGCCAAGTGGCTGCCAATGAACATAATTTCTTCCTTAACTTTGTAAATTCAATTTCTTACCTGAACTGAGGTACAGTTACACTGACCATCGTCCACTGACCAAATTAAAACATTGTTGTCACTATCGAAACTGGCAAAATATGTTGGATTTGAGGTAATGCCGAGAACAGGGAAATTATGCACAGTGCATTCAAATGATTTCTCTCCTGTCATGCTTATCAACAGAACAGAGCCATTTTCATATCCAATAGCAGCTGACAACGTTGTTCTCTGCAAAAAGGTTAAACTACAATTGCTAAGTCTGACAAATAATGTTAACAATATAAAAGAAATAAATATTACCATTAGCCAGAATAATGAAAAAACCACATACTACTTAACCTTCAAAACTGAAAAAAATAATAGTAAATAATGGCAAGTTGACTTAATACATTTCATACACGCTGAAACGTCCTAGTGATGACGTCACAAAAATAAATTTAAGAATTAAGAATTACTTATATTGATACAGCAAAGATCAAGAATATTTTATTTGGACCAAATCACGTGAAAAAAATTATATAATATTTGCAAATGTTAAAAATTGGCCAAGAAATGATCACACACAACTTTCCTAATTTGATCACTCTACTTTTGCTTCGGTTGAATTAAGCCGATTCCCTAACGCTATCAAGGGAGCATAAAGACAAAAACATCAAACTGAGTTTATACCAAAATGAAGTCATCTGCTGTAAAATAAGTCTTTTAGATTTGCATAGAAAAGCTCTATAGAAGCATGTCCACTCCTAGATAAAATTCCATCCTTGGTAACACTTGAAAAATACTCAATTTTCATTGGTAGTAATTCGAATCTTGTTTTAATATGTCTAAAGACTTAACTATATAGAGTCTAACATTAGCGATTTGAAGTCCTCAAACCATGGAAGAATGAAGATTCAAGCAATAAATTATCACAATAAAAAAGGCAGCAAGTTGTTGCTAGACTCACCTCTTTTATCTGATGCAAAACTGTAATCCGACCACAGTTTGAAGGCAGCGTCTTGCAACAGTGCCCATCATCTATTTCATATACCTGCAATAGGGAATTCTTAAAAGTTTTGAGGAGAGACTAAAGCGTTGAAAAACGTTTTAAGACTCAACATGAATTCAATCTACTAACAAAAGCCTTCTCGCCATTACTCAACGTTGTTGAGAATCTGTGTATTTTTGTTTTTAAGCCGTTCAGAGGTATAAATATACTGTAATCTGTAATATTGCGGGACGGCATTCAAAGAAAAACTTGCCTGATTGGGTCATCTTAATTCATTCATTGATTTTAGCTTATTGATTTCAAACTGAACGTTTTTCAGTGCAAAACTGATTTATCAACCAAAATTGTCCTGCTATGTAAAACTAATGTCTTGTCACCATTACCCATCAAATTAGATCTTGCAAAACATATTAGTCCTAATCTTCTGAACTTTTTCGATAGAAAAATGAAAAAATTTCAATCAAATTTGGTAGCATAGAAGAATCAGACCATTGTGATGAATTGTTAAAGAAATCAAAACACTGAAGCGATTGTATCTGGAATTTTCAAGTCTACTTTATGCAAAAAGAATATTTCGTTATCTTGCCAAGCAAGCATTGTGGGCAAGTTAATTTGCTATCAATACTGGTAATGGATGTAGAAGACTCGTTTCATCTGATAAATACTTGTGAAGCAGGCATTTTAATTCTCAACTAATCAACTAATCATTCAATACAATTCTCAAGTAATTTTATCTCACTTGGATCATATGCCTATAGACAAAAAGGCGTGGGATACCTTTCACGCTAAAATGCTTTGTAGAATCCAAGAGGTCATAACACAACATAGGCCAGCTTGAGTTTTCTTTTTCAAACAGGTATTTCCGTGATATGCTTATTACTAACGCAATCCTCAGCAATTAAAAGTCGAGTAAAAAATTATTATCAACTAAATAAGTTAACAACTAGCTTGTGAACTCTAATCGTCATCATATGAATGCAAAACTTTATTTTGCTGTTAACAATTTTACCTTGATCATATCAACGGTTGACGAAAGAACAAGCCCGGCAAATACGATTAAGTTCTCGATTGGACCAAGATGTGCTCTTATACGATGCTTGATGTGGCATCCAAAGCAACTTCCATCATCTGCAGGACAACACAGCGGCACTACGGTGGCTCCACTTTCAATATCCTCAACAGAATCTAACTGTCCTCGCTTCACTTCGATAATGTCCAAAATCCCATCAATCCGCCCCGCTAGAACCGTGTTCCTACAAACAAAAGGGCACGACGATAATTTACTTGGCATCTGCAAAACTACGCACCAACGGAAGTGACGCTCAGTATTACATAACAAAATGTTAATTGCACTTGTGTAACATGACCGAATTGGATTTTAGTTTGCAAAGTGCTTTAAATGCTAATACAGTAAAATTAAATACAGTCAAACAATACAATAGTCTTAATATTTGATATTTTGCTTGTACGGGACCAGCATCAATTATTGTATTGAAGGTGCATACTGATAAGTTTTTATGCCAAATGTTTGTAACGTTGGCATTTTGACAACTGAGTACTTTAAAACTGCTTACTACGTAACAACGATAGCATGCGAAAAGGCGTACCTTGATGCTAATTTTAGAGCTACTGCAGCTTCGCCTTCTTCAATCCTCCCAATTGCTTTCTTCCCAGTTACATTATACACCTAAAATGTCATGTTACACGATTACAGTGAAGAGAGATTTGATGTGGTTTCAATCCATGGTAAGTTACCATATTTAAGTACGAAGAGCTGCTTTAAATAAACAGCAGCTGCGTTAAATGAGCAGTAACAAAATAGAAACAAAACCAAGTTCAAGACACTCTAAAACAGGATCTTACAATGGAGAGTAATTTGCATCAGCATATGCACAAATTGCATAAACATAAGAGTGGGTAAGCATATGCACAAATTTCTGCGTTCTTTTAAAATGCAAACACCCAATACATGTTAAGAGACCTAGCATCACAAGTCATAAATTTAGGCCTAACAAAATAAGGTCTATCAGGTCTAACTAATGTAGACGACTTTTTTCACGTTCCCCGAATCTCAATCGTACTTCAGTTACTTTATAGAAACACAAAAGTACCTTTTTACTCAAAGTAACATTTCTTCATAGGCTAATTAAGTTTAAATACATATACCTCCATCACTAACCTCCACTTTTCCTGACGAGTATCCTATAGCAATCAAGTTGTATTTACAATCGATACACCATATCGAGTCCATATTGTAAACTGAGCTCGAATCCTCTTTTGTTCCCATGTTAAAGGATCGCCTGCGTCTCAAGTTCGTGTTTGAAAATGAGCTTTTTCTCCCTTCACGCCTGTGAAATAAATAACGATTGTGGCTTAGAGTCTCTATTTCTTATACAGAAGAGAGAAAAGCTAAAAAAAGTATTCAGACAAAATAAAATGATAATTTATGTTTGTTTTATTGAGGTCGAGGCCGTTAAGACAGGGCTGCATACATTTTGGTGTATAGAACTGGATGATAATAGGTTACAGCTCCAATTTTATCGGTTATGGCAATTATCAGGCAACCAACCTGAAACATAAATATTTACTGTAGTGTGAAATGTAACAATGTAACAAAAAGCAAGACACTGAACAAGGTTTTAATCAGAAATAAAAAATGGGTTTTTAGGAGACTTGAAGATTGTTTGTTGCAATCCAAACTTTGTAAGACTATCAAGAAAATTACAATTCCTCAAGCTTAAAAAGTTTCCTTGATATTCCATGTAATGAAAATAGCTAGTACAAATTAAGAGAGCTAGTATGCACCAAAATAGGAATAGACGGTATGGACAACTCCTGGCAAAAACCTCCAGCGCATGCACCGACAACAGGGTAGAAACTGTGGCGGATACTGGGGGCAAGGGGCGGTCGCCCCAAATATTTTGGAGGACAATCGTCTTTTGTTCTAAAACAATGGGGAACTGTGACGTCATATTAACAAAACAATGTGCTTGCCCCCCCCCATTATTTGACTAAGTGCCCGCCCCTGGGTAGAAAGTTAAAAATACAAAGGCTTGACCATTTTATCTGTTTAGAAAACAAGCATAGAATCATGCTAAAGACAATTTTTTTGTAAGAAAGTGACTACTTTTAAAAGCAAAATTATAGAAAGATCGGTGTGTTATTTATTTGCAACAACGGCTTGCGTACGATTTTTTTGAATTCTTGAACCACGTCTAGTGAAACTCTCTAAAAATACATTAAATATCAGAGTTACCTCTTGGTAGGTTGAATATCCATAACACAGTCTAACGTCGTCAGATCCCATACTCGCACCGTGCCACTCAGACAAACAGAGACAATATGATACCCATCAGCCACTATAAATTCTATACTGCTTCTGTGACCTTTCAAAAGCTGTCTATCACTTTCATATAAAACAACATCCGGGGGTAAAGACATCTTGCGGTGTATTCTCGAAGTACAGTTACATATAAGCACTATGAGGTAGATTGTGATGATAAAGATTACTGCTAGTGAGAAAACCAAGAATATGTCTTCTACAGAAGACGTCTTTGTGAACGTTAAATTGGATGTTTGTTCTGTTTCGTTTAGTTGGATTGACAGGGCAACCTCTGTGCTTGGCATCACGACTAGGGACCTAGAATACGTAAAATATAATAAAAACTGAACTGATGCATCATAAAACATTCAAAAATTTCCATGCTCGTATTTGAATTGTTAATAAAACAGAACACTCATGACTGAAAGAGGTTACATATAGAAGACAGTATTAATTGCAATTTTGTAGCTGTTAATATACACTTTTACGCCCTTCACATCAATAAAGTTGAATTTTAGGCCCATGATTGAGATAATATTCCAATTTGATTTAACATGTAGCAGGCATTTAGAGTACATGCTGCCTCTAAAAAAATAATGTTGAAATATAACATTAAAGAGATAAAGTTCAGACACACTTTAAACAATGTAAGCTTATCTCATATGAAAATATCTTCTTCCTGCTACATTCACGAGCATTTATCATTCTGATTTAGGGCAAAGTAATACGAACCAATACATGCGCACATTTTATATCTGTGTTAGATCATTTCTTGAACTTTCATATACCCATATAATGGCTTTTCAAGAATTCAAATTTCTGGAACAGTCCCGAAATCTATCCTGAAGCTCAACAACAAACTGACTAACTCTAATTGAATCTACAAAAATCTAGTTTTATATGATATGACCCCCCGAAAAAAGCATATACGATCTCTAGGCATATACGGATTATGTATAGAATCTGTATGGAATGCTTGCTTACTTTTCGTGAAAACGAATGTGATAAAATGTGAGAAGCTCAGGCCAGTGTTGTTTTGAAAGGAAGTTCCACGACACTGTCTCAGTCTCCCCTGACTCTTCAGCTGCATCAGTATAATCGAACACATAGTTTTCCACAGCAGCTGGTCTACCAGTCTTGCTTGCTGCATGCGTGATGGGTTCTTGGTTCGACAGAACATTTGGCTTGCTGTGCACTTGCACAGAATCTGCACTAGAAGGAGCTGTGCTTAAATGTCCAGTGTTTTCTACCACGCTCGGATTTTCGTGATGACCCGACGGCTGGCTTTGAGATGATTCCACCTTATGGTAGGCAGCGTAAATAATGTATGCAATAACAGCAGTCTAATAAAAAAGCATGATAATTCAATATCGTTTCTGTATAATCTATGACCATACAACAAGAAAGAAATAACAATTGTCTACAATATCCTGTTAAAAAGATTCTAAAAAATCAAAATATAGAGAATTCTAGACAAAAAAGACATTGTATAAAGCGAAAAAATTAAAAATGCTCAGAACTAGGAATAATACATTTATTTTAATAATATTATTATACATGATGTAATATATGACGTAATGTCACCTTGGAAATGTTACATAAACTATATAATTTTTATAAATGCAGCAATTTAGGATACTTTATCGCAGAAATGAACGTTAGCAAAGAGACAAGCTTCATTGAGATACCTTGGGTTAGGAAAGATGGCTTAGAGAGGTGGATTTTATCGGATTGCTTTATAGTGCAGAAGCAATGGCTGCGGTTGGGAATGTTTAGGGAAAATAGGCTCCTACAAGTCCCTACCCAACTCCCCCTAATTAAGTGTTTTGATTTCCTTTAAGCGACTTCTAGATGGTATGCCTACGAAACCCGAAGCCGGAAAACTGTTTAACCTTTCTCTAGACAATACACACAAGTTCCGAAATCCTTCCTTGGAGAAATAAAATGAGAAATAGGAAGGATTGGGGTGTTAGGGTTAATTCTGATTTTCATTGGCCTTCGCCAAGGACGTTGACTATGTGATTACCATGTTTTCGAGGCCTAAAACAAATAGGTTGGATATTGGGGGAATTTCTGGTCTAGGATTAAAGTCAGAATGTCTAAGAATCGCATTATGTTTCAACCGATTTGTGCAAGATGATAGTTACCATGAATGCCTTCTGAAACATGCGCCGTTTTAACCAAACTTCGACAAACCTTGACCATTTTGTCTTTGGTGGCGAAGGCGGCACTAAAATGCGGCAAAAGAATCCCCGTGTAAAATGCATGCTATTTTATGGCATTCCTATAAACATTGTTTAGAAATATGCAATAGTAAGTGTGAAAACAAAGGATACATAACAGCCTATCGCTGTGAATTACAACGAGCAAAATCGATTTTTTAAAAACTGTGTTGGGCAACCACGATGTCCTTTTTGTGTACAGAACATGGCCTGTGAAAAAAATAATCAATGAAATATCTCACCTAGTTTTAAGGCCGTTTTCTGCATGAGATTGAATCCAACAGCAAATTGCTGCGCTGTTGTGATTTGCTGGAGATGACAAATCTAAAAAAAATCAACCGTTGTCGATATTTTAAGCATTCAAGGAAAGGAAATGATAACAAGTCATCTTCAGTATCCATGAAATAAAGTATAACAGCATTCGTTTGAAAAAAGAGGTAATTTTCTCAAACAAGCTATTGATGACACTAAGGGTTTCCTTTCTAGCAGCCCTGGATGAATTTAAAGGCTCAATTCAAAAGGGCACATTCATCAAGTTTTGGAACAGAAAGCTGCATTGCTTTGCTACACTGCTTTTTAGAGATGTATAGGAGTGTCTGCGCAAATGGCATAGCATGAATATTTTTATTTGCTTGTCCCCTTTCTTGGAAAGGAGTTTTAGAAAAGCACTGTTTGTCTATAACTTCAAACTAATGGAAAAACAAACTGCTGTAAAATGTAGACAGTGACACATAAATCGATTGCTGAATTTCTTAAAAGGCTAAGTCTATAGAAAGATGTACTATATTTAAGCTACAAGGAGAGAAGTTTACCTCTGCTCGCCGAATGTCGACTGCTAGAATTGGTGCGAAGAAAACCATTTGGAGAAAAAAGTCTGACAACACCCCAACGAAGGCAAAGATGCAGAATTCCTACGGCAGGAAGGAGTAAAAAACGTTCAAGGTATTGGCCAGTAACAATTTTGGAGTTAAACGCTGTCCATACTTTATCAGTGGAAAAAGTCGGGAAAAGTGATTTGATTTTTCGCAAGTGGCAAGATCATGTCGAATTTCTGAAAAGCTGAATTTCAATTTTTAACATGCTTGGAATGTCAGTTCGAAAACTAAGTCGGGTGAAAATTGACTGTGATTTCCTAAGTGACTAAAATCGTAACCCCAAATACACTTAGCCCCAAATTCTTCTCCCTGATAGGGTGATTGTTTGAATGAAATGATATTTCATTTGTCAACCTCATTAACGAGTAACCCAACTACGCTTAAGTCTATAGAACAGAACAGCTGTAAGTTGCTGAGCTGTGATTCACGCTCAATGCGATTAGCAGGCAAATATCGCATCAAATCAAATGAAACGCTTTGATATTTGCATCGCTGCATTGCATCAGATGAGCTGACAAACGTAGACTGATAAAAAGCTCTGAAGTTAATCACTGGTTGTCATCTGCTACAAAGTGCATTTGTAATCATATGGATTTTTGAAGTTGAATATAGCAATAAACATGAGTTTTCAAAAGATCTGGCCATCTTTGAGGATATTATCTAGAAGCTCTCTAGGACATATAAAATGCCGTATTTGTAAATATCACATTCTTATAAAGGCGAAATATTTATAAACATCTTACATAATTCAGGATTTAAACGAAAATATCCTTTATTGTTAACAAATTTCTTGTTATAAGCTTCTCTACGGAAATAATGACAAAATCTTTTATTCGAATTAATAGGATTATCAGATTCAAACATATACACAATTTTAAAATCAAGAAATATCGACTGAGGCATTTCCGATGTGGATTGCTGTTTTGATCCAGTTAAAAAAGAACATAGAAAACATGACATAAGTACAAAAATAAACAATAAAAAAATCTTATTTAAGAAGAATTAGCTCTAAGCATTTTATCCTCTTTTCGGTTTAATAGAAAAATAAAAAACCCGTTATGAAACAAACATTAACATTCATAATTGTACATGAAATTGTTCATTGTTGGTTGAAATTTTTATTCTTGATGAGAAAAAATGAACCAGGAAACGAAAAATACAATAAAGCTTTAGAGGAAAGAGATCCCCGTAAACCCGACTTGAAGGTTCAATAGCGGCAAAGCAAATCACAAAAAACTTCGAAAGCTTAATTTGAAAAATGAGGAAATTGCAACGTTCTTTGGCATGAAAACATGAAATATTTGGTTAACATTGTCTATTTTGAACAACAATATTTTCTAAATTTTAATCAGAATGGTAACATTGGGCAACAAGTGACTTAGTAAACACGGTGTAGGATAGGATATATAAAAGATTTGTACTTGCAAGTTGAGTAACTGATGTGGTGAGAGGAAGGTTTGAGTACAGAATGAAACGAAGAAAAATATTTGCTTAAGATGAGAAAGGAAACATAAAAAAGGTCCAGCATAAAATAAAAGGTCCAGCATAAAAAGTTAAATTTTGAAGCACAATTTGTTATCTTTTCTATCGACAAAGAATGTTATCATGACACAAAACGAATGAAAAAAACTGAACCACGATGAACTAAGTAAACTTGGATAGAGGTCCATGGATGTCTTATAAGCAGTTTACCTGAACAGAAGGAATGTGAGTGTAATATCCAGCACCAAGGATTGTTAATTCAGCGCAGATGTTTTTCGTTATATACCAACCTTCCTTGCCCATTCCTGCTCAAAGATAAAAGCAAAACCAAAACTCTCAAAAATATGAGTGAAATTTAAGGACAAACGATCCAACTCATTTGATTATATTACCAAAATATCCGTCACAGGAGAAAGAGGTACGCCAAATTATCACTGCATAGAAAGTATAAATGAAAAAGCTGCAAAATTACTCTAAAAAATACTGTTCGATTGTTTTAAGGCATTTGTTTCTTTGCTTAATCTAGCCATGCTACTACTGTATCGTGTAGAATATCACATCATTATTACATGATAACATAGTCAGCAAATAAATTGAGTACCAGAATAAAATAAATTAGTTTTATAGTTGGAAAAACGACGTTTCGAGCATGTACCCGTTATCAAGTCAACAATTCTATAATGTATACCCAAGTCAACAATTCTAAGAATATGCTCGAAACGTCGTGTTTTCAACTATTAGACTAATTTATTTCAGTCTGGTACTCAATTAATTTGCCATGTAAACGCGTATTCTACAAAAAAAAATTGAATGATTGATCGATTGTAATAATCGATGGGATAAAGTGATTGATCGTAATTGTTGATTGCATTTCGATCAATTGATTAACTCATTATAAGTAGGAATTCGAGCAAAACTTTACTAGGGAAAAATAGCGAATTTATTAACGACGTTTTGAGCATAGCCCATTATCAAGTCATGACAATTCAAGTCATTGTCCCTACGTGTACACCCAACAAAATGAACATATGTTTGTTAAGTTTCAAAGTTCTAGCAGTCATAAAATTGTAAAAATTTTACAATTTTGAGTAGCCATGACCTACCTTTTGCAACCCGAACAGAAACGTCAATGTCCGGTTCCATAGAAACGACAGATTTTGTGATAATCATTACATTTTCAAGTCCAATGACGATAACAATATACGGAAAGATTTCTCTGCAAAAATGAACAAAATGTTTTTTCATTTTAGAGGGTTAATGGATCCCAGACATTCATAAGTATTAAATACCGTATTACAGAGATTCGAAGAGGTCTTTAGCCAGGGTCCGCATATTTTACTCCAAAAAAAGGTAAATATTTTCTGATTTTTTAAAAAAATACGTTTTCAAATGCACTGCTCGTATGTTGGTATTTCTTGTGTTTATTTCTCAGTCCTTTTTTTAACGTCCTCTTCGGGCGCTTCTTCTTTACCGCTAATGATGGTTTACGCCTGAAACGTGTTATCGTAGTATTCATGGCTACACATTTTATTCAATCATCGTATTTGTACATTGTTTGTATGTATAGCTTGTGCTTGTCTCTTTTTAATCTGTTTCTTGTTCGCTTAGATACGCCTTGACTTTTGAGAGGGTTTACCTATCTAGATACTCAATTAGTGGGGAATAGAAAGGGTATACCCATCTATTAAAAAGGGAAACGACAGGGTATACCCATACTTAAAGTCTTGTTCCAAAACAGAAAGACATTACTTGGTTTGAAGAGAATCATTAAAGGAAATTCATGACCAAATCTTGAATACAAATGCAATAGCTTAAGATACTCTTTTCAAACCTTTGTCCTAACTGAGTCATTTAAAAGGCATAGTCATTCAGCAAAAGAACCAATCATAGCATCAGGGCAAACGGAAAACTTTACGTCTAGCCATATCTACGCTACTCTCGACAGCATTTCTATATTTGCGTTATGATCATTTAGAAAAATATGCATTATGACAATTGCACCCAGGAAAACGTACAGTCATCATGACATTTGGATACCTTCATTGGTACATAGCAAAGAGAAATAAAAGAGAAATATTAAGTTCAACACTAAAAGGGAATTTACGTAAAAATTGAAAATTTACACGACGCATTCATTAGGTTTAAAAGTAGTTTGCTTTGCAACGTCATTTAGCAGAAATACAATATGAAGGCCGTGTCCACTTACGTTATCGTCAGCGTTGTTGGAAGCAGGTCAAGCGAGGCACAGACCCCTAGAGCCATCATCAATGACATTATAATGGTCATCAGTGCCGAGAATGCTAAGCCCCAACGAGATTTGAGGACGTCACTTTTCCCTGTAGAATGAAACATAGCTCACTATCACTTGAGAAGTTCGATTACGTTATGATCCATCGGTTTTAAGTAGCTAACATTGTGGACTGCCTTTTCAAAAAAGGATCGACAACTAAGTTTCCTTACAATAATATCTCTACCAATACTCATTTCTTTTAAATTTAAATGCAGGAGAGAAATTTTAGATTGATCACCAAGTGATTGTGAGGGGGGGGAAAGGGGTGTGACAAACGCCCATAATGTCAACTTCAATAAGTTTCGGCTTATCCCAAAAGAAATCCTTCCCATGACCAGCTCTTCTATAGGTCTTTAGTTTTTTAGTCATCTTAATCAAAACCGATTATATCATAAACTGTCTACGAAAATATAAACTGTATCAATGCAGAGGAAAATTCTTCAAGATAATGTCCAATCTAAATTCACTTGATTATGAAAGAATGCAGAATCAGAAATAGTGTTAATTATATACGTTTTGTTATCGAGTCCACAGAAACTTACCCACTGAGAATAAAATATAGAGAAATACAAGGATATACGTGAAACCGAGCAAGATCAGTTCAGTATCAATCTCGTTGTCAAGAGGCTAAAAGAGAAAATAAACCATGACATATATCACACAGCGAGGTTCCTATCGATAATCAAGATATTTGCATATGATTAATATATATACAGTTGATGTAATATGACAGGAAATGATGATTTTTGCAAATTTCATCAGCATAGCAGTCACAACAAAAGCAACATACTCTAGCTGTAATATATCAAGACTGGGGTTGAGGAGCAAGGCCACCGAGAAGATAAAACGAAAGTTAAAAATAATAATTCATTGTAGTTTAGAGGATCCCATGAACCATGCATAAACCAGCTATTCTTTGAGAAATCAAACACCTGGTAGCACAACAACACTTTGGAATGTTTTTGCAGTCAATCCAAAGATATGGGAACGCAAGATCCTTTGGGCCATACTTAAACAACTACCATTTTTTATTAGCTTCATTTGAGATACAGGCCAACCCTTACTACCCTTAATTGTATTGAAATTATATTTTTATTTTTTTCTTGTTTTTCTAAGTTGTAAACCGCACCGGTGATGAAGCAGGGAAAAAATTCAGTTATAGCTGCCCTCTGCTTGCGTCCTTAGTTTTTACTTTTTCATTGAATTCCATAAATTTGTAATTAATACTCCGCTTGCTTTATCCCGAGTGTAGCCATTCATCGTATCTTAGTTGTAAAGTAGATATTGTTTTAGAGTATGGAATATGTCTGTATTGTAATTGAATTGGTTCTTTAAAAAAACGGGCCACCACCTTTACAATATATTGCTTCCTTCATAGACATGAAATATCGAAAATTCTCAATGGCAGAAAAGAATCGAAGATAAATAAAGTACATTATTTTCGAAACACGGTAATGAAATGGTAACATTCTATTTTTAATAAAATTTAGGATACAAAAATAGCTAATGATGCGATTACCATGTATTTGATACGATAAATGTTCGATGTAGGGGCAGCCACAGAGACATTAGCCTTCTCTTTCAAATAATCACTCACTGATTGTGACAAGCTGTTGAGTAAAATATTAAAACATGATAATGACGATTGTTAGATAATACTTTGTACGATATTCACAAATGAATCTTGCAATTCTTATTGTTTTATTATCTAAAATTATTATTAAATCTTTACAAGGCAGGCAAACTTGTAATTAAAGAAAGCTTTTCGAGAAAAGGAATAAAAAACAGAAAACTCTGGACGTTGAAAATGTAGAACAAGAATTTTTTGTTACAGTGTTGATATTGTTTCTTTAATCACAAGATATCTTTTCGCGTCGTCTTTGATAGATTTAACATTAACTTAAAGTCGAATTTCTTCAAAGACGAGCTTCGTCCTTACATATATGCGGCCTAAATATCAGTTGTTGACTTGAAGTGAGATACTTAATGTCTTTACTGTTAATTTTGCTTTCCAAATTTTCGAAAAATTCGAAAAAGAGAATGAACTTACTTCCAGTATTTGCTTCATGCTTATCGAATAGGGGACTCGATAAAGGGTTTAATAGCCAGGGGCATAATATAGATTTTTACGGTTTGTGCTATCGAAAAATTACACATCAAAATGAATTACGAAGGTATTAGAGCAAAGATTCTAAAAACCTGCTTGAGTATTCCTTCATGAAAAAAGTAATTGTGAAATGAAATCTATGTGATTCTGCAAACTTTGATGGTGATGACAATCCAGATTGTTTTTCTGGGTATCCAAGTAACAGCTCTGCATAAGATCAATTAAAAGACTTTAAAAATATTTTGCCTACGCTCAAAGTAAAGCTCCTATGCAATGTTGAGGAAAAAAATTATTTTCTTTCCTAGAGTTCTTAAAAATTTGTAAGGGGTTATCCTGCAATGGGTAATCCTGCAAACATCTTTTTGTTACTGAGATTTATGTAGGTATGTATCATTTGCCACAGATAAAACTAGATACAATACCATGTTCTAATTACAGCTGTAGGGATAGCATTAAAAGGTCACCTTGACCTTATTTCCATAATAGCCACCTTGGATGTGCTGGTTAACAGAAACGCTTAGGAAAGAGGCAAAAAAAGAACTAACTGTAAGATTTCAATGCTAAAAAAGTCCTTAATGTGTGCTATCTTCCTTTTTTGTATATTGCGAAAAAAATTGTTTTGATCTTATTTTTGAACATGTTAATATTGTTTGTTGACTTCAACTTAGAAGGTAATTACTCTATGTTTAGGGCTTTCTTTCCAGCAAAACTTTTGTGAAAAAGAATATCTAGGGGATAGTTATCAAGAAATCTTTGATAATCCTGAGTGAATGTTGATAATTTTATGGCAGGCTAAAAGAATACAAAGGATAAAAATTACATGAAATTGCAAGGAATCAATTTGTTCAGCTTTACATAAAGTACCCTTAAACAGTAAAAGTACATTTTAATGAGTTTGTAAAAATTGAAAATATAAGAGATAATGATTATGCATACCTTTAAATGGACCAGGTAGATCATAATATTTCCTTAAAAGCAGAACAACAATTTTAATATCATAATCCCAACAAAAGTGTTTTTTAATTTGTGATGCATTTCATAAAAACAAACCAAAACCATCAACCCATAACACAATACATTAGGAAAATGCATTATCATGATAATCATTTTGAATAAAACCTGGATCATATTGGGGAGTTCTTTCAGACAGACACAGGTGCCCCTCAAGGCAATTGTACCAGTGCAACTTAATTCATTTTCTACATTGCCAGATCCTTGCAGTTCAAAAAACAGCTTTTATAAATGCAAGATCATAACTACTGTAAAACAACACCCACAGATGGAGAACATAGTCACAACAAACAACGGCAAAACAAAGATGATCTACCAGAAATTCTTTTGAAATACTTCTTGACCATAAATACAAGCAAAACCAAAAATCAAATGTGAACATGTATGCGAATGTAAATGGAGAATTTCCAAGCTACTTGGTAGTGTACTAGACACATTAAACAACATCAACAGATCTCGCCATTCAATTTGCAAACACACTGAAATTCATCTTCAACAACAAAAACCGCAGCATCAGCACAAAAATTAAAAGTCTTTAACACCTATGTAACAACCATATTCATATACAACTCAGAACTCTGGGCTTTAACAAAATCTCTTGAAAATAAAATTAACAGCTTTCATAGAAAACTACTATGAACAAATGTGTTTAAGAGAATTTATCCAAAAATTATAATGATGACGTCTAACAACAAAACGATGAAACTCCATGGAGCAAGATAATGAAAAAACGATGACTTAAATGGTTAGGACACTACTTTGTTAACTGAAAAAGACACCTGCAAAGCTAGCCTTAGATTCATGAAAACATGGATGAAAAACTTGCAACACCAAGAGGCCACCAAAAACTAACTTGGCTCTCAAAAATAAAATCAAACCTATGGGACATTTATAAAAATCAATGGAAAAAAGCTTGTGAACTAGCAAAAGATAAACTTGCCTTGCAAAATTGTTTCTACTAAAAACCATGTGCAACACTAAGTAAATTTATTTACAAAAAAAATGTTTTATAATAATAAAAATTACAAAGAATTAACTTAATTTTTTGGCTTGTTTCACATTGATAGTAGTTGCAGATTCTGATTTAATCATTTGTGACATTTAAATTGCTTGCAAAACATTGCGTAAAAAAACTGAGGGAAAATATTTTGACAAGGTTGAAGGTTATCAACAATACATGGGTTGATTCAAGTACCTGGATTCGATGCCAAATATTGCAGTAGGTGACACCAAAAGGCAGCCCCTTTTGGAAAACCATTTTCTTAATTCTTTGTAGAATCTTCCTCTTGGATAAATGAGCCTTGTTTGTGGTGATTCATAGAATGGCTTTCTTGAAACATGCAGGCAAGATGACTGCCACCAACCACTGTGCATATAGATAATTAAAAGCAATTAAAAAAACAAGTGTCATATTTTATGGTCACAAAGAATCCTTGAAAGTGTCATCTTTTATGGTGTGAGGATGGTTCAGTGGTTAAAGTCGAATGTAACAGATCAAAGGGCCTGGAGTTAAAGTCCCTGACATGACCAAACTTTCCTCCAGAGTGAGGGGAGTTGCAAGCTCTCTGCAAGTTCCAGGTGTAGGAATTTCGAGGTGTGGTCACATTGAGAGGAAGGATCAGAACACTGCACAACAATAATATCTTCTCAGTGGCAAAAAACTACCTTTAGATGCTAGGTAGAGACAAAAACAGGTCTCATATTAGTCTTTCCAAAAAAAATTCCATCCAAACAAATATGATGTAGCCTCACTAAACTTAGTGATATTTACCTCTTTAACTTGAGATAAAAAATGAGCAAAAAACTATTTCTCCCATGAAGCTTGTGAGCTACAAAAGTGTAAGCTTTACTTTTTATAGAAAAAGAAGACTCTAAAAAATGTGCAGCATAGTTTGTCACATAAACATTGCATAAACAGCTTTGCAATTGCTTGGAAATACTGGATGCTACCTTTTGCTGCAAAATGCTTTCAGATCTCTCAGTCCAGTCTTCTCCAATCCTTTTTCAAAAATCATCCAAGAATCCAAATATTTATGTCTATCATTTCCAGGGATGGTAACATTCATTTTAATGTTAAACTGCTGAACAAGGATATCACCCTGAAGTAAGATAAAGTCAAGCAGTTACTTCCTGAAAACATAATTGATGAATTTTGTTATATAAAGATTGAATGCTATGAAGAAGCCCTACAACCATACAATACAAATAATGAATCAGAGACTATTTGTCATTTCATAACACCAATCAGTTTCCTTGAGTTATAGGCAATACATCGTACCATTCTTAGATTTATTGAAACAAATAACAAAATTTCAGTGAGTTTTCTTTTCTTAGCAATGGAAGCCTCATACTAATCTTTCAAGCTTCTCTAAGTTCAAAGACCCTCTAAATTCAACAAACAATTGCCAATGATCAGTGTGACACACTGCCTTTAACCTATATATACTGTAGTTTAATTCATCATTCAATAACAAGATGTACCTTAATGAATGAATAATAACATATATAAATATATATATAACAAACATGTATACATATATAATTAAAGCTAACCTTGTCCAAATCCAATGTTTTTGATAGAGATACGTTTGTTTGGTACTTTCCGATTTGAATTCTTCCAAACAAAAAAGTAGCAGTTCTTTCAAATACAGGATGGCTGAGTAGTGGGAGACTAAAATGGACAAACTTAAAAATATGAGGAGCAGTGAAGTCTCAGGTGAGAATGGTTGCAAATGAGCTCTGAACACCTATAAAAAGGAGGTGCTCTGCTGCACTAGAAACAAAACAGATCTGTCAACAACTATCCCAGCAGTCACCAGCAGACTGTAGAGTTGCAGAAAACATTCAACAGTGGTTAATTTTTTATTTAAGTTTTCATTCTCATATTTTCCATTGATTGTAGGTATGAAAAAGCTTCTTGTGAGACCTCTATTTGTAAATGACTGTACAGACCTACCAAGTCACACGCATTTTGCGTGAGACAAATGCATTTTGGTCCTTTCCCACCCTCACACGCCTCAAAGCAGGATTCTCATATATTTTGCAACAAACTTCTTGGTTTTTTTTCAAGTTATTCAAATTTTATTTCAAATCCTAGCAAAATCTCTCCTTTTTAACAAGACATGTTGGCACGATAACAGCGACTAAATAGTAAGATGACTAGATAACAGCAAATATGCATAGGTTAAGTGATGTTACATTTATTGGCAAGCCTACACAAATAGCAGGTTATTTGGAATATCAGTTAAACCATGATGCTCCGCTTGCTTGTATGTACATTCCTTCCTCTGCATTGCTGGTCCACAGTGCTGTGCACTTTTGCAATCATTTGCGCAGAGCAAGTGCACCAGATTAAATTATTTCATGACTATGTACTGTTATAAATTCTTTTTCAATAAAAACAGAATAAAATGGCAAAAAAAACAAAGCCCCCTCGATCCCCCTGCCACTTCTGCGGTCCCTGCTAAAAAAGGTGTTTCCCAAGAACTAAAGGGCATGGCAAAGGAAAAGTTTCTAGGGCTACACCCTGTGACCCTGCTTTGCTTTGCTTGTGTGGCGGTCAGGAATTGTTCTACAAGACCCCACCCATGACAACCTTATTTTCAAAACTGAAACTTGACAGGTCTGACTGTATAGTTACCAGAAATTTCAAAAACTGAACAGGCGCATCATAAGGATGGTAAGATTGGGGGTAAAGGTGAGTTGAGCAAGAGAAAATTGGGGGGGGGGGTGTGCACCTTTTGGAACACCTGAAAATGCCTTTGTCAAGGAGACTTTTTTGCCACCCCTCTTGCTTCCTCTCACTACACAGCTAAAATTGAAAAATCTAGACCCTAGAGTCTCAAGATGCCTGCAAGGTAAACAGGCATGTTGTAGCTACAAACTACATCAGATACTAAATTAAATCTTGTCCTTCTGAGTCACATGCATATAACTTCTAAACTTTGTAACATGTTTGTTAATGAAATTGACCTTTTTAGGAAAATACCTTAGTACTACAAGCAAAACTTTTTTCAGAACCGTTATCAATTCCCCTTAAAAGAATTTTGTAAAAAAGCTGAGTTCCTAATATTGTGACTACAACTTAACCAGACTGGAAACTTTGTCACATGCCAGCAATATATTGCCCGTACACACAAATTTTCCACTTCCGTGATTTTGCATATTGGCTGCACAAAATCCCTTGTTAATAATATTTACATTATTAACAATGGAAATTTCTAAATTTGCTTATTCTCCGAGTCTAAAGTGTTGTTTACTCTCCAAAAAAAGCTTGTCTGCACAAGAAACAAGTTTCCAATGAAGCAGCTTACTTAAGTGCTTTTTACTTGCTATTTTTCTCTTGTGCGCACATAAGTAGCTAAGAATACATTTTTGTACACCTAGAAGTTCTTCTTTAGTACTACCAAGTCCTGCTACTAGCCTTCCAGTCAAAAACAAATATCACTAAATTACGTTGGGAGCCTAGTTGCCCATCATAACAAAGTACTTTATTTGGCACTGACCTGCAAAGGACAACCAAAATGACACTTGAAGTTATCATTGACAGCGGCCTGGTTGCACAAAGTTGTCCATAGCCTTGGTACAGCAGGCGTACCTTGTCTTTCAGTTTGTCTTTCCCGCCTTTGAGCAACTCCATGTTAATCTTCAAAACTATGCTAATTTTTGGAAAGTCAAGACAAACATAGAACAACGATATGTTTCATTTCCCATTTGCTTGCATCATTGATGAAAACAATCAAATTCCAAGTTAAACAAAGTAATACTTCTCAGCCAGAAGTTTCTAACCAAGTAATATTTCCATTATAAATCTTAGATGATTATCAATAATCAATAGCCACAAAAAAGGCGGGTTCAGCAAGACTCGTCTTTCCTGTCTTTAGATGGCGTTCCCTCTTTGCTTCGATCATGCTTCTGACTAAAAGAATAACATACCCATATCCACGCTCGTTACGCTTTTCAAAACAAATTTAATACAGCATATATTGCCAGATAAAAAGTGACTTTAACTTATTATCTTATCTCTTCGGCCAGTCCATCCCACCGATCCCTCATGCTCACCAGAAAGATTTCCAGTAAGTTGTTGTGTTGCTTACAGCCTCCTTTTCAGGCAATGATGTCATTTCATATCGAACCATGTTCATTAGTACAATCCTGACCTTTATGGTCCTTTATTATACTAAGATTTATTGACAAAGAAATTACGTCAAAGGAATCAAATGCAACACGTGCTAGAACCACAAAACACACGTGAATGTTTCATCATGAAAGAAAAATTACTGAAAGTGGGCTGCAAGAACATTCATTCAAAAGTGGCAAGGAGCCGTTTCCCTACTACCCAATCAACTTTCTTATTCTTTTGTTCACGTGATTATATTTTACAGTGAACTTAGCAAGAAAATGCAGCCATAGATACTATTAACTGACAAGGTTCAACCAAATTCTAGCGCGAGAAATAAATTTGGCAACTTGTGATTGGCAAAGTTCGGTCAGGGCAATCAGCTATGCACTTATAGCTTCAAATCCCCATTATGGACGAGGAAATTTACATGAGCCAGTTTAAAAAAAGTTCTTTAAAAAGCATTTCAGATGCACGTGAAACCCAGCTATGCTCTAAAAACGGGGTAGTGAGAACAGAAAAGCTTGTCGACTTGCATCACCTGTGAGAAGTCTCTTGTTTCTTGAATGATATTGATGTCAAGTATCTCTTCGGAACATATCAAAGTTTCTTTTATAAGCTAATAGACATAGATGCTTAGTAAACTGTGGACTACTGTGCTGATATCATATAAGCATCCAGTCTGTCTGGAGTATCCATGATAAAAATAATCTAAAAAGCTGTTTTAATGAATATCGTGATATCGTGTTTTCAATTTGTCACGATATCGAGGCTCCCAAGCGCCAAAATTTTGAAATTGTTGTAGTTGTCACAGGAATTCCTTGTGAAAGATCAACTTGAGATTTATCTTTGCAAGTCAACGTTGTATTAATTCTGTGTGATTGATTGCAAATGTATTTGATTTGGTTTAACGTGCTGGTGACGCGAAACATAAAGATGCCAGTAAGTCATATTCTAAGCCAAAAAAACGACAGGGCCTAATTAATGTGGCAGTTATCTGCTTGTTTCATCGTGGGATCGTTGCCTGAAACAAGGTTGGTGTCAGTACACAACAGGCTTTGTGTGTGTTAGAATGAATACAGCTTACGGTCTTTTAAATTGAATAGTTATTTGGCTTTAAAATATGTGTGATTCAGGATTTCATGTCGAGGGGAGAAAACCCTCGACCAACATTGCAAAAATGTTGCCATCACATGGAGATGAAACCAGTGATCACCAAGAAGCAGAGAATGATCATAATCATGCTTTTATCGATGATTTATGGAACAGACTTTCCCCAATCAAAAATGGCTCTCCTACATTGCAATGTGAAAGAAAAGCATCAGTGGCAAGTACTCCTCTTTTACCTAGTCAACGCCCTTCACGATTAGTGAGAAGTGTAAAAAGAAGAAGACATTCTAGGTTTCCCGAACAAAGACCAAAGCAACAAAAGAAACTTGAAGAAGATATCCCAGTAATTTCTTCATATTCTTCAGCAGCTATCAATGAAGAAAGACAGATGATGGAAGTTTCTAACATTGGTGAAAGTTTAAATGAAGCATTAACCGGAGAAATTACTATAATTCCTAATTCAATGCCAAATTCTCCTGAAAAAATTATAATGAAGTCTGGCGCTAAAACAACAGAAAATATAATTGAGGTAACTGACAGCCTTCACGTGACAACTGATATGCATTCCAAGCTTACAACATCTTTCGACAACATGATAATGTCAGGAGAATGCAACCTTGAAAATGATTCGAATCTTGGAAAACATAAGAAATGTGAAACTTTCTATGGACTACCACTAAAGGTCAAGGACATTCTCAAGTTACAAAGAGGAATAGAAAATGTTTATGGTATGTTGTTTTAAAAATCTTTAGTTGAATTTATTTCTATTCCAGTTTATTATTTCAGTTTGTTTGGTTGTTTAAATCATGTTAGAGATAATTAGCTGTCATGCATTACTGGTACTGAGTTTCTTTGCTGATTGTTGAAGCACTGTATAACATTGGATCTATAAAGTAATGATTCTCAGTAGTAATGTGTTTCAGGCTTAATGCAATCAATCAATCAGCAACTGCTCAACAGCTTATCTAGCACCTTATGACAGATACTGCATCAAGCACCTTATGACAGGACAGTAAACAGTAAATTTCATTATGATTTCAAAAAACATTTTGGTACATACTATATGAAAGAGCTCTTCATATTCTCTACCAATTGCCTGTAATACTTATTTCATAGTAATATCTTATTTCGTTTTCTTGAAGAATGGCAAAATGATTGTCTTAGTCTTCCTGCATTAAATATGAGAAAGAATCTGATTTATTCATTGCCAACAAGTGGAGGGAAAACTCTTGTAGCAGAAATCTTGATATTGAAAGAACTTCTTGTTAGAGAGAAAAATGCCATTTTGGTGTTACCATATGTTTCTATTGTACAGGAAAAGGTAAGAACATATTTATCTATTGTTTTATTGTCTTATGATATGCAACATGCTTGTGTTATTTTAGGCTAAAGTTTAATCAAATGTAGTATATGTTGAAAATATATAATCAATACTAATGCAAAGTGACAAATACTTTAGTGCCAAGAGGGTGCAAAATTAATTTCATTGAAAGAACAATGTGTTTTTGTATGGGAAACAAATTTTATTGATTTTTACAAAGATTCAAATAGCCACAAATATCCATCATTTGTTGTACACTTCTAGCTAGGGTAGGCAAAAAGTGATACCTGAAATGTTTTTATCAGATGTGGAAATTTATTTTTCAGGTAGGGGAGGGCCAAACCTCGCAGAACAAGCTAATTTGCCTTGCCGACAAAATAAGAAAATTACTGACAAAAGTGCTAAAAACTGTGTTTTAACTGACAATTTAACAAAAGCTGGGGGCACTCATATCCTCTAAACCCCCTGTAGTTTCTGTCTCGGGTTTAAACATCAAAAACCTATTTTTGCTTTTAATGGAAAAAGAGATTAATTAATTATCTATTAATTATCTTCGAAATCCTGTTGTCTGTAAACTTTCTCTTCAACCCTATCCAGTGTTGGGGCTGCGATGGCCCTCCTGGTGTGGGCAGTCTTCTCTCATTCTTCAGGTCCTCTGCAGTTTGTGATGGAGCTGCGATGGCTCCCCTGTGTATCTGGTAAAAGAGAGGGGCAGTGCGGGTGAATGACTCGGCCTTGGGTGTTGGCTTGAAAGCACGACCAAATAGCTCAGCGATAGAGCACTTGACGTACAAAGTCAGGGTTCGTGAGTTCGAGCCTCGCTCGGGTCGGTTATTTTCCCGCACTCTCTATTAAGGAAAAAGAGATGTGAGCTATGGATAATCTTTTTCATGGATGCATCCAAAAATCTTTTCTATTTTCAAGGTTAGGGGCCTTTCCCCATTTGCTGTAGAGCTTGGTTTCCATGTTGAGGAATATGCTGCAAGCAAGGGTTCATTCCCACCTAAGAAGAGAAGGAAGAGGCAGTCAGTATATATAGCAACAATTGAAAAGGTATCTAAATGTATCTTATACATGCTTTATCAACAAGATAAGATAACAAATGACTGTTGTCAACCTTCAAGAATGAATAACTTTATATGTAAAACAGGTATCTCTTTGAATGCTGATTCTGTTCCAAAAATAGCTGATAGAATCTTTGCTTTTTACTCTGGCAGGCTGATGGGATTGTCAACAGCTTGATTGAGGATGACAGACTGGATGAGCTTGGAATGGTGGTAGTCGATGAGGTATGCCATGCCAGCTAGTAGTAAATTGAGACAATCAATCTATACTTGCTAAATTATGTTCACAATGTAGCATGAATGCAAAAAATTTTTATGCGAAAGTACAGGCTATTATTTATTATGCCGTTCAAGAAAGAACCTTTGATGTTAACAATATTCCGTAGCAGCTAGATTCTGTTATACCCAGATAGATAACTATTGTTGCTTTTGCAGCTACACATGATTGGTGAAGGTGGAAGTCGTGGTGCCAGATTAGAAACGTGTCTTACAAAACTAATTTACTCAAAAGGTTAGACATTTGTAACTGAAAATTTCTTTGTTCATAAGGTAACATTACTTCTACATTTCGATCTATTAAGTTATTGCAATATAAAGTATGACATTATATTGATGGTGGTACAGTATGATTGAAATGGCCATTCTGGATATAACTGAGTTAAAGAGGAAAATCTCTCTTACATTTAAAAAGGTTTACCGATATACAATCCACAGTTAGAGAGAAAGAAACGTCTGTAGCACAACATCAGGTGTTAAGGTCGCCCCGCCGAAATATTACCTACAGTAGGCTTATTTTGATGGAAAGGGTTGTTCAAACGCGCAATTCAATGACCTTTACAGGGTTTTTAAGCAACAACTTTAAATTTCGGTTTATCTGACATTATTTGTTGTATTTGTCCGATGTAATTATTGGTGGAAGGTGGGTCAATGTTTATTATTGAAAAATTCTGGTTTGTGTGATATTCGAGAATGGTATAACGGGGTCCAACTGAAATTTGGAAATATTCACTAAAAATAGATACTATTCTCCTGAATTTTTCTTGATTTTGAAGTTCCACTTACTTTTTACATATAAAGCTGACGCACAAATTATTGGAATGAGTGCTACTCTTGGCAATCTCTGTGATCTGGAGAAGTTCCTTGATGCTGAGATCTACTGCAATGATTTCAGGCCGGTATGTCTTCAAAAATGTTTCGTTCAAAAATGTGCCTGTTGCAAGGGGCGTAGCAAGTGGGTAGTGTAGGGGTGTGTGACATTCACCCCCCCCCCCCAATTCTTCATGAGTTTGTCGGTAAATTTTTAGTTGGTGCAAAAATTCCCTGGTTTGTCGGTAAAATCATCTATCGGTATGTGAAGTAGCATCTAAATTTCTCCTTATCAATATCTTCGTTGGTAAATTTTACTACTTATCTCTCCAGCCCCTAGTCTGGACGGTCAAGCTACGCCACTGCCTGTTGAATCTGGTTTAGGTTGTAGACTACAGATCTAAAGGTCTGTTGTTTATTTCACTCTTACGACATATTTTAACTTTAAATGAAGAGGGTCACCAGCTTTTTGTAAGTACAGGCATTGGAATCACAAAGTATAGACATATTGAGAGGAAGGACCGTGACACTGCTTGATAAGCACATCCTATAAACTATCTTCGGAAGTTAGGTAATAGTTAGCAAGAGACAAGAAAATTTTCAACAGTTTTTTCCATTTCAGGTGAAACTTACAGAGCATGTGAAGTTTGGAGACACAGTCTATGAAATTGATAATGCTAAGCTACAAACTAATGTCGAGGAGGCTTTCAAACCAGTGCGAAAATTGACACATCCAAAGGTTGGTCTTAGCTATATTTGACATTAAGTCGAGATGTCTTTGCTCTAGAAGTGACATTTATATATAAGCAATAAAGTGCATCAATTTTTTATGATTTGAGCTCTCTTTCAACAGGAGCTGAGTAAGAAAATTGGAAGTGTAGATCCTGACCACATTTCAACTCTTGCTTTGGAAGTAATTCCAAACCATTCATGTCTCATCTTTTGTGCCACCAAGAAAAATTGTGAAAATGTAGCAGCGATGCTTGTGAAGTGCTTACCTGAGTAGGTGGTTTTTTATTTTTCTTTATTTACAAGCAATACCCGACATTGTATTTGAATGAATTTAGCCGATAGTTTTAGTTGTGTTAACCCATGTCAATTTAAAGATCACTGCTACTGCTTGAAATATCAAATTTTACGGTTGATTCATCAAATTTGTATTCATTTTTTAGCACGCTGAAGGAAACTAAAAAAGAACAAAGACTGCAGCTCCTGAAGACAATTCGTGACAGTGTAAACAACGTGTGCGAAGTTCTCCGTAGGACAATTCCATACGGCATTTCATACCATCATAGCGGCCTTACAATGGACGAAAGAAAGTTAATCGAAGATGCCTATAGCTTAGGAACGCTGTGCCTTTTATGTTGCACATCAACACTAGCGGCTGGGGTCAACCTACCCGCCAAACGGTAGCGTCTTTTTCGGATTCATTCTAAACCTAGTGATATCCATAAAATGAACAACATGCATTCGATGCTTGTCAGATTTGCTTGTGAAGGTAGACAAGAATTTATCTGTCAACAAAACATGGTCTCTATACACCTAATATATTTCGAACCGCATCTATTCTAAGTTTTCTTTTAGAAGATAACCTGTATTTTAATTTAACAACAAAACTTATCAATATTTCCCCATGTGAAGCAAATTAGCATGGCTATCCACCATCTGTATGCCTGGATACACTTGTTCGAGACAATTCTTAAACACATGGAGTGTAGCATGCATTTATAGGATGTGTCAACACAGATCCCCTATTCAGTTTCAGCCCGTATATAGTACTTTAATAACACATACGCGTATAAATAATTAACTTAGTGGTGGAGGTGCAAATTTTCAACATCATTTGTTCAGGATAGGAGCTAAAAGTGTGAAATTCTTCGTAAACATTTTTTATTTGTACATAAGCATTGATACTCTCTCCCTTTAGGGTTATACTACGAGCTCCGTACATTGGGAATTCATTTCTTACCAAAAGCCGATATAACCAAATGATTGGCAGAGCTGGTCGTGCTGGTATTGATAGCTCTGGGGAAAGCATCCTGGTCGTGCATGCCAAGGACAAATCAAAGGTACAAGCAATGGCTTTGCGTTTCCTTATACTCCTAAGAAACAATTCTTAGTTTCTCAAACATTCATATCTTTTTAAACTGTTGGATGGATTTTTTGGGAAATAAACCTTTATTTGAATTGAGAGATATATCAATGCCCAGGAATCTCTCCGGTCACATTGTCGAAAACCTCAAGAAAGGCCTATGCAATCAGAGATATATAATTGCCACGCCTAGACCTAGCTTTTTTTATTGTCTTTTTAAGCAAAATTTTAAATCCAAAGGTATTGTTTGAAGGAAGGATTGACACCGCAGCCTCGTATTAGGGACAACAGAGGGTCAAGCTTTTCATCTTATCAAAGAGAGACAACAGTCTAGAGTCCTGTACAATGAAATGACAATGGGAGTGGAATGTTGAATAAGGATCTGGTTAATAGTTTCCTGGACCCTGTACGTTTGCTTTGCTCCTTTATAACATGTATTCTCTGTTTTTTTACCTTGAGTATCAATCTCGCTCAATTTTCTGTTCTAGATGATGGATTTATTAAAAGGCAACATTGACCGATGCTATAGCAGCTTGGATTATGAAGAATCAAAAGGATTAAGAGCTTTTATTTTAAGTTCTATAGGACTTAAGGTATTGATATAAAAGTTTTATTAATCACAGTTAAGTGCAATAATTTCAAATTGAATACCTGTGCTCAAGAAATAACCAAAACCTTTAGCTATCGCGCACAACGTAGAAACGAGCCTGTTAGCCATTAAAGTTAGATCTTTTCGTCTTTGGTAGCTATAATGTTTCCATTGGAGTATCTCTAAATAACGGGAATCCTTCTATTTCCTTTCTGAATGTGACAACTCTTGATTTTGCTAGCTTTGTTCCACTGTGCCAGAATTGAAATCTCTTATGGAGAAAACCCTCTTTTATGTGCAAGGATGTAAAGAAAGTGACTTTGATATAGAGCAGCGAATTAACACAGAAATTGAGAAGCTGTCTGCAGTTGGCCTGGTTCGTTTAAAGGAACAGAGTCAAAATGGTTCGCTTACCAAAGTTCTTGAAGCCACCGAACTTGGAAGAGCTACATATAAAGGTAACATATTCCTTCAAACGTGCTTGTCAAATTTAATTTATTTCTTATGTCGACTTGGATATTCTATTTTTTTAGGCTAACCGCGATTCTTTTATTTATGTAGCAAAAAATTGGTAGCAAGAAACGTAGCCCTTCAATCTGTTTGCTTTTCTTTGGAATGCAATTCTCAGTCTCCCATCAAGAATACAATAGGTTTTCCTTCCAACATCTCTGACAAGATGTTGGACAAAAGAAAAACATTTTTTCATGAAAACTCTTTATGAAATGTTCACATCAAGTAAATTAGTATGAACCTACTTTTGAACAAAATTTGATGACACCAAAGAAACTCTCACACTTTTGTTTTCAAAAAAGTAGATCACACAGTTGGATAAATCTAAATGCGTTGTAAGCAGTTTTTGTATTGAAAATGGCTGACTTTGATTAGCTTTCGTTTTCAATTTTAAATAGGTTATTGAATTTTACATTTTCCCGTGTTATTGGTTTTTTCATTTAACTTAAAATGGAATTTACTCTACATTTTGTTTATAGGCTCCTTAGATGTTGACAGTACTCAGTTCATATACCAAGAACTGCTGAAGGGGACCAAAAACCTTGTGCTTACCCATGAGCTACATTTGCTGTACCTAGTAACACCTCTGGAAAGTGTAAAAGACATTCGATTGAACTGGATGCCGTACTACCAACATGTAATTTTTCGTTTCTATTTTTTCCATGAATTTTAATAATTTTTTGGATGACTATATTTAGATATAAACTTTCTTTATTTAACAATGCTGGTTAATGAAATGACTGTTTTTTGTTGATAGATGAAAGATTTATTTCATCGAATCTGAATAAGTGGTACTATTTTTTAGAACACAAGAATATGAATAATTCAAGTGCCGGTCACTGACCGAAATATTTCTTTTTGTGAAAAAAATTGACCTTTATTGCAGTTCAGTAAATTATCACCAGATGAGATACAGGCTGCAGAACTGATAGGTGTATCCGAAAGCTTCATAACGAGAAAGGCTGCCGGACAAAGGTGTGCAAAAGTAAGTACATGCAGATAATGGATAATACTAGATTTGTTTCTTTTTGCCGCTTCGTTTCTTGCCGCTTTGTTTATGGATGGTATCATCTGATGCCCGGTAAAAATTCTAGCATTTTGGTTTAAAGGCATTGAGTCATGGTAAATAGGGCTTCACTATAGGGGGTCATTTGGTTTCGGCGTGATCGCTGCTGTTTCATGTGATATTTGCATCCGTTGTTGACAACTTGCTATTGATAGAAATTGTTTTGTCAATCAGTACGAGGTGAGTTCAATAACCAGGTCAACCAATAGCATGACATTCATCAAAATCATGACTCAGCGGATTTTGGCACTTTGGGTATACCCAATCCATTTTATCATGACTCAATGCCTTTAACATTCTGACCAATCGCTAGAACACAACCATGTTATGAATGAAATTGAGATTTAAAGTACTAAGATTCCCAATATAGTATTACAAAATTTTAGATTGCTAAACCTGCCAGCAATTTGAAGACTCTCTTGTTTATAAAAATTTGAGTTTTTCATTGCGAACTAGTCCGTATAGTTTGCCGCATTTAATCAATTAATGATTGCTTACCAGTGAAAAGATGAATAAAATTGTTAAAGATTGTATTAGGGTCTTGGTGAATGTTATTAATCATCAAAGAAACTGTATGAATTTGGACTTCTAGATAGTTTATGCTTGAATAAGATATCATATCAACTAATCTGTAGCCTCTTTTATTTTAATAGATGACCTTATATCATATCATAAGAATTAATAATGTGAATTAATATGTTAAGTAATCAGTCTTAAGTTAGTTCACCTGTGTGTCTCTTAAATTTTCCGAGGTTTGCATTGCACGTAATTTCCTTTTCAACTCTGAATCTGAACGATCTTGTCAAGATCGTATTTTATACAGAATGCTTTCAGACCCTATCTTCGTTCTAGGACAATGTTAATGAGTTTGTGCTCCGTCGATTTTGGCTTACACTTATGATCTACCAACTGGTAAAAGAGGTATCGGTATGGCAGGTTGCCGCTAATTTTGGATCGACAAGAGGCTTTCTTCAAGGACTGCTGACGTCAACGGCCTCTTTTGCATCCATGCTTATCAATTTTACCAAGGTAACTTTACCTTCCAATCCATGCCATCTCTGTTATTGCACCAACAAGCGGAACCATTCTGCATATGCTATTGCAACATCTTTTAGCATGCTTTTTGACCTGTGGGTACCTTGCAAGCTAGCTGTCCTGTTCTGCCTCCATTGAACTGACAAAATCATTCCGTTTTATTGCGCTATTCTTTTGTTTTGCTGTTGCTCAGAATGACTCAGCCAGAATTTAAGTGTGAATACCGTACTTCATTCTGTACAAAACACAAGACGCTTGGAGTGCATTTTAAACACGACATGCCTCTTCAAGAAACTGTTTATACCTAGAAAGCTGATTTTCCACTTTTTTCGATATCAGAGCATTTAGTATTTACTAATTTGATGTGCTGACTTGTAAATTTCAGTAATTTCATTTTTATGATCGAACCGGATGCGAAATATTCAACATTTTTGTAGTCCCTATCTGAAAACTAAGTCATCGTACTGATTAGGACCTAATGATGAACACATATTGATGACCTAAGCAAGTGTCGGAAGTTGCTTTTTCCTTTTTAAAGCAGAACCTTTCATCTGAATCGCAGGAACTTCCTGAATTTTGGTCACTGCGATTGTTATTTGAAGCTATGCTTCAGAGATTGTCATATGCAGCCACTGCGGAGCTTATTCCATTGATGGAAATCCCAGGAGTTAAGCTGGTAAGAAGAACCAGATTCATTGACAGAAACCGAAATATTCTTGAAGTGACTCTCCTTCGAATTGTACAATATAATTAAAAAACGAAGCCAACAACCTTTAAAATATTTCGAAAGTAACGAGCTAATGAAAATTTCTGACCGAACGGCGTACTTTTTCTTCGATTCTATTAGTTTATACCTTTATATAAAACATAACATAACATAACATAACACAACATAACATAACATAACATAACATAACATAACATAACATAACATAACATAACATAACATAACATAACATAACATAACATAACATAACATAACATAACATAACATAACACAACATAACACAACATACACACAACACAACACAACATAACACAACATAACACAACATAACACAACATAACACAACATAACACAACATAACACAACATAACATAACATAACATAACATAAGCAGAACACCTAATATTTATGAAACCAGAAACAGCTATCTAATCGCCTTGAACAATAATATCCATTCCTTCTTCGAAAGTATCACTTTAAAGCAGTCTCTCGAGGTAGAGGGTAATCAGTACTGTGGTTTCTTTATTTTTGTCATTTAGGGGTTGGTTTCTTATATACGCTTCCTTATAAAATGCATAAATGAACCTACCAACAAATGCTATTTGCGTTATATCTAAATACATATCGTACTTAATGCAATGGTGTTTGTGACCTAAAACAGATCTGTGCATAGTTTGGTGGGTAGAATAGTGTGGTTAAAAACATCAAAGGTTCATAATGACCCAATTAAGCGTGAAAATCTTCTGAGTGCTTTGAAAACAGTACGGTTTCCCGCACCAACTCTCAGCTCGTTGTCATTTTACCAACATTTTTAGGCTCGCGCAAAACAATTATACAAGGCTGGTTACCACACTTTGAAGTCACTAGCTTGGGCTAACGCAGAAGACCTCTGTAGAAATATCGACTATTTGCCAAAGAAACAGGCGAATCTAATAGTATCTACAGCAAAGGTGAGTCATCACGTTTTTTATGGGAGTTAAAAAAGCATAAAAGAAGCAGATTTGAGCTAAAGTCGACTTCGCTTATAGTCAATCCACTTGAAGTGACATTGCAGGTTATAGTAACAAAATATTAAGGCTCAAATATGCTCCTTTTACTGTCTCACTCCTCTTACAGTCATAACTTAAAGTTGTGACCTCTGTATTGCTGCTGCAATCTATGAAGGGACCTCCTACGATTCTTTCATCTTATTGAAAGTTTCAAGCCAGAAATGAAGTGTAGTTGATTAAATTTCAATAATTATGATAATTCCGTTGCTGTTTGAAATTGTTAAAAAACAGATCATGGCATGTTAATAAATAACAGTATTTCATTGATGATGATGTTGTCGTTCAAAATAAATCACATAAGTTAAAAGATGGGTTCAGAGTTCAGTGGTCGTTTGCAGTATGTTATGGCCAGGAAGCACAATGTCCCATACAGTAAAGCTGCACATGTAAATAATATTCAAAATGGTATCACGACGACTTTCCTTTTTGTAGATGTTACTCCAAGAAAAGGCTGAATCATTAAGAGATGAAGTTGAAGAAATGATGCAGCAATCTCAATAACGTGTGTAAAAGCATACTTCGTTATCTAGTAACAGCATACTTGGCTAACGTGTGTAACAGCATACTTCGCTAATCAACTATACAATAAATGAGTTTTGTTATCACGAGTTCTTCCTCAAAACAACTTTTTTGGTTTAGAGTAAATGATAGTTATGGTTATTTAGATATTGATTTTTTATGGCTAGTGCAACAGCTTTTTGCATTAAACCTGTGAATTTTCTGATGGCTTAACGAAGGCCTGTAGCTTTGTTTTGTTAGAATAATCTTAGAGATAATTTTTCACCGGAGGTTTTTCAAAGATAGCCATCTTTGTTGCTGTGGTAAGTTTTACATGAAAGTTCCCTGCTGTACAAGTGACGCAGTTTACGAAAGGTTTTCACGATAGTGACAAGAACAAAATCGAAATCTGATTTTGAAAACAGTGATTTTGCTTCAAACTGCTGTTGTTTTGTTTTAAATGCTTTGTGTTTTCACCTATTTATTTTTCCAAATCGTTTATTGTTAACATAGCAATTTGCGGCAATGCGACGCCAATCTGCAGCCGTAATATGATATATTTCTTGGCAGTAAAACAATACGCCTTGTAACCTCTGTGTAGGCTCTGTGCATAGCAGGAAGTGCTGGACGTCAATTATTATGTTAGATTAATGAAAAATCGTGTTGAGAAAACTTGAAGACCTAATTGAACAAATTATGTATATTAACAAGTAAATTTTATGTATCGATAAGTGAATTCAAATTAACAGCAGCATCAAAAGAAGAACAGCTTTTTTAGTGTCTTGCTTGGTCTTCCCCTTAACGAGCTCAATTTCTCGCAATTTTTATCGGTCTACAAAGTCTTGTTCTTAGTTATTGAAAATGTCAACATCAACTGCTCGTCTCGACTAGTCTTGACTCGTTCTCTCTTAGGTGCAGGCTCAGTTGTCTGTCTTCTGCGACGATATTTACACTACAGCTGGTAGTAGGGGTCAGGAATGCAGCTCTCAGCTTACGCAACATCGCTACGGGTGATTCCGACCCGGTTGCCGGTTGAAGATTCTCCTTCATGAAGAAATCCAGTGATCTGTCTCCGGACAAATCTTCGTATTCTACCATTTCCCTTGAAGAACACCAGGGCGTTGATTGAACAGTATACAAAAATGAATACAAATGCCCACATGGTTGCTACACCTACAGCAGGGCTTTGGGTTTGATTCTTTTCATACTTATGATAAATAAGCATTGGGGTAATGACGTTGAATGGCACGTAGGTGATGATTAGGAAGACAAGCATGGCCCAGATAAGCGAGGTAGTTTTGGAATCCAGTCTTGCAGATACAGTGCCATTGAAATTTGTATTGGCAAGACTTTTGGTGACGCTGATGTTGTGAATTCGTACTTTGCGTAGAAGCAGAGAGTAAGCGATGAACACGGAGAGAATGAGGCAAATGTTGACGCCCACAAGGGCCATTTGAAAGTGGAACGAGATGAAACTTACCCCAATGTATGAGCTGATAACTGTAAAAACAAAGCACACACCAATAAGAATACATATTTGTCTGTTACTTAATGGCCTGGACGATCGACGCAGTTTCTTTATTTGATACAAGCGATCAAATGAAATGCACATCAGCATAAAGTAAGAGAAGTATGCAAACAGATAGAATCCATAATGTGTCAGTTGATCCAACAAGCAGCTTTTGTGGTCTTCTCTAATCGAAATAGTGACAGCTACGGCAGGCATCACGAGCATGGCTTGCAGAAAATCAGATGTACACATTGCGATCATGAATCGAAACGTGTTTGTGCTTGTCTGCTTTGTTTTGTAAATACTGTACACCAGGAGAGAATTGAGGCCCATTGTTGTTACCGATACCAAAGAAATAATTACTACCAAATGGGTACCATGAACCAGATTGTGAGGCCAAAGTGAGCTGCACTTCTCTGTCATCTTTATGAATGGATTGTTTCTTGCACCTTCTATGAAACCAGCTTTTTTCAATAAGTGAGACTTCCGAACGACGCTTAAATAACAAAGATAATAGAGTAACCTTTTACGCTTCGACAATGTCTTGATTCTTCTTGTATTTTCATCAAACTGCTTTTCCTGGTCTCAATTCCCACTCCTTTTATCAACGTTTGATTTCTGTTTGTGTATGCAAAGGCAATTATTGAAAGCGTGAAGTTTTGCCTTGGACTTGCTAGCAACGCAAATACACTGCTCGTTAAGTTGTTTTTTCCACCTTGCCTGCTTATTCAAACTAGACTTACAAAGTCTATTATTCAGTTAGTTCTCCGATTGCAGCTTGCTCCGTTCCAGTAGTTGTGAGAAAATCTACTTAGGTTTGTAATGCTTCCTTAATTGCGTCCAGAAATATCAACATTCTACTAACTATTGTATTCGCTATTCATTGCTGGCGTATTTTGGGCCCAGCTGGCAGCACTGTGTGAACATAGGACAATCGGTAATGAATAACTACGTCATTGAGCAAGATAAAAAGTGAGTCTTTTTAGCTGATAAGGAGTCACATTGGAGATACGCCCTAAAAACCTTAAAGATGTACAGGCAACTCCTTAAAAACGAAATTCGCAGGACTTCTGGCGAGAATAATTTTTAGATTTTTAGTAAATTCCCTCGAATGAACGTTGAAAAGTGTGTATTCAATTTTAATGTTTACTTTCGACTCTGCCAAGCTCCTAACATTCTAATTGTGCAATTAGACTCGAATTTAATTTTATTCAACTGCAAGACCTAAGAAGGGACGGTCTTTAGAAATTGAAGCCAGGCGAATTTATTGCGGCCAACTTGCTAATCACAGAATTCACTAATCTTGCTTCACCACTCAAGAAGCTTAGTATCTGCCATTGCATTGCACTCCCCCTTAACAGGACATGGGGCTTAAGAACTGAGTAATGAAGATCTTTGGATGACTCTTTAAAAACAGGGGAACATGATTTATAAAACAATTATGTAGTTTATTTGATGTATGATGCTGTTCATTATAAATTTGAAGTTTTACATCTTCATTCCTTTTGTACAGGATGTTAAATAAGAAATCAATCGAAGAAAACGTCAATTAAAGTTTATTGACAAGAATCCCGTCGGAAATTATCAGAAGTTCATATCTAGAAACGAAATTAACGTTCTGTAGGTTTTAATATGTATATTCTGTAGGTATTAATATGTAAATTCGTATAGTAAGTAAAATGAAAACAAAATGCATTTTCGATCTGCAAACGAAATGAGTTTGTCTTCCGTTGGATCTTGAACGAAACACCAACACTGCACCTTTTCGACTTTTCATTCCAGGCACCGTGGAGAAGGAGAGTTGGTAGGCTGGGGGCTTTAGCCCCCCACTTTTTGCCGAAAATGCAAAAAGTTAACAATAAATCACTAGTAAAGCTCCGCGGTGCCTGTCATTTTGACATGAAAGTTCCAAATATTTTGAACAATTTTAGTATTATTTCAAACCTCTGAATACAAAATCTTTTAAACCTATTACAAATTAGTTGAGACAAGGCTCATGGGCAGAGATCCACATCAATCAACTGTTATTTGGGCTTTGCTCTAACCACTCTAACAAACAAGAAACAGAGCAAAACAACAGTAATCCTTTAGAAAAATCCAGTCCTTTTGCGTGCAATATATATCAACTTGTAACACATTTAATTGATTTGCATTTTATAGCATTTTGCAGGTTGCTGATAGTGTTCTTTCGGCCACGCGTTCAAAAGTCTGATTTGCATTCCATTTATTCCGGGATTCCATATTCCGTGCCTTATGACAAACATTTGCTGAAAGAGGCTTGGCAAGACCCAGACTATTTCTTTCACTCATAAATTGAGTTATGGAATGCTTCTTCGCAAATTTGGCCATAAAATGTGTTTTTAAGACTAATAGCCGACAGAAAAGAATGCTTTCAGTAATAAGTGGTGCTTCTGGTTTAGTTTCATTTGAAACCACCCGGAGTGTGGCTCATACCACATGATTGACTGTAATTTGACCAGAAATGATCACGTATACAAGAAAAGAATCAAAAGTTCAGCTTTAACACAGAAAGATCATTGCATTTTCGAAACATTCAACTCGAAATGTTTGCATTGTCATGTCATGTAGACATTTGAAAAATATTCGTGTAGACGGGGTCTAACTTTTCCATCTAAATGTTCGATGGAAGTTTTTACTGGTTTAAAAAAGCACAGCACCAAACTCATAATAACGTTAGTTGTTATTTGATCGCATTGATTATGTTTTGTTTCTTTGTGTTACTCTGCAGTGAGCTTATTAAATGTCATTCTTTGTGAATGCCTTGTAAAGATGTTCGCACAAGCACTTAACACTACTACCTGATAACAAAACAACAACACTACAAAGATGATGTGCTTGGTGATGAACACTTTTATAGTTGTCTACATCGTATTACATGAAACAGCAACAACAGCAACAATAACAACAACTCAAATGACATCATCAATGCAATTGCTACTTCTGATGCAATAGGTTTTTAAAGTGACTTAAGCTAAGTTGCAAAAACGTCGCTGAAATCCACCCTCCAAAACGTCCCCATTCACCTAATTTCACCAATCTGATGTTTAGGAAGAGCAACATTATTCTTTAAACGGTCATCAATGCTTCGGCATTCGGCAACTGTAGTCATACACAAGGATGCCGAAAGCTAGTAACACAATTTGCATCGTGCAATAGAAAATTCAGCATCGAAATTTGTAGAAGGAACAATGCAATTTTGAAACATAAACCTTATAAAAGAAGACGCCTATGTTAAAGGAATAGTAAGTTCAATGTCAATGTAAACACGTGCGTTTTGCAAGGGCCTTAGGGCGATTGCTAACGCAATAATATGTCAAATGCGTGATATCCCGAGTAATGTCAAAGCGTCCCGAGTTGTGAAAAAGCGAATCTTATAGGGAGGTGCGAAATTAATTCTGATGATCTAGAAGGATGAAACGCAAGTAGTAAGTAACACCTTTGACTTATATATCACAAAAGTGCATATATATCGCACGTAAAAATGCTTCTTGTTTTGACCAGGATATACGGTCTGACAATAAGCATATCTATTTATGACGTAATCAAGAACAGATGGTTGCCTTAGCTGGTATCTGTGCATGGAGATTATTCAAGAACTTAAGTCCTTTTTAACAAAGAAATCTTTCAGGCCACGATCTAAGAATAACTGATTGAAAAAAGAACCTCTTTTTGAAAATGTTGAAAGATTTATAAATGCTTTAAGGATGGGAATGCAAAATTAAGATGATTGCTGTTTAGCACGGAAGGTGACCACAGTACCTAGTGCTTATGAGGTTGACCTGGGGTTTACTTTCTATGACACTGCAGTTTCATGCATACTTTATGCCTAGATAGCAAGTTATGACGCAGTATAGATAAATCTTGGTTCATTTGCACTGATAAAAGCTGTTGTCTTCTCTGTTGGTTTCAAGAATGAAGATCTGTGCTGCGCTGATAACAATATCAAGCCCTCTACTAACATCGCTGGAACTGTGTTTTTTTATTAGCTAGTCTTAACTTGTAGCTATTCCAAAATTTATTTTTAACCATTAAAAGGGGTTAAGCACACCTACTTGTCTTGGCACAAAAACGAACAGTTATAAGTGACATCGGAGTCAATAGAAAATGCTATAGAGTTTCTTCTTATGGCAATTTGACAACAATTTTGTTTGAAAGCCCTGTTTAGTTTGTCATTTCGGATTTGAAGGAGATAACAAGAAATCTCACGTGACATACCCACTGCTTCTACTCTTGATATGTATTTCGATCGTTACGGTCTATTATACCAGATAATGAAATCCTATTCAATTACCGAAAACTTTAAAAGCAACCTAGATTAATGATACTGTGTATGATAGCTTTAGCAAAAGAAAGCGTGAGAGAGCCAAAGACAGCGAGAGAAAGCGAGAGAGAGAGAGAGACAGGGCTGCGTTGATATACAGTTTTTCACTCGAGTTTAACATCACAACCATCTTTCATCAGTTGTTATACAATGCATCGTTAATCTCTCTCTCTCTATTATCAACATCGTCCTGTCTGTTGTGATAAGTGAAAGCTACAAACAAACAGAAAAAAACCTGCTTGCACCGCTCAGTCGCACAAAACACGGCACACAGCGAACATTGACCAACTAACAATCCGTTGCATCAAGAATCATATCCTGATGAAAGTGATCATAAAGATGATGACTCGTTCCAAGGTAGCATTAGATATCGACCCTTTTTTCCAGTTCTTCGAAACTCTGTTGAAGATCAGCCAACTGTTGCCGCTGTTTCTTTAGTAATTGCCTTAATTGCTCTGTCGGATCTTCATGTTCTTGTATATCTTGCTCTGAGCCATTTTTGATGACCTTGTTTTCCATGAATACACCTAAGTAGACGTGCAGTAAAGTAAAATTAAGAATGCAAAGAACAACATCGTCAACGTACATAAATGTTTCTTCTACCCGGTCAAGAAATACTAAGATAGCAAAGGGGAAGCGAGATACCATGCTAGGAAAGCCTATATTTTGTTCGTTTTTCAATGCGTACGTGGAGCAAGAGCATGACTTTTACTGTCATCTTCCGTAGGGTATATACGTTTTGTAGTATCTATATTCTGTACAATAATCCTTCTTAAATGATTCCCAGCAACGTTACAGGTAGTTGATATTATGATAAATCATTGCGTGAAAGCGATCAACTTTAAGTGGGAAGGATAATGTTATAGGGTGCATTTTTGGAAGGGCAAGCAATAATAGAAACAAAAGGGAATGTTAATTACAAACAAAGGATGTCAAAGTTTTTCAAGAACACTATTAGCTACGGCGCTGCGTCAAGTTTTCTAAAATGTAGCACAAAATGTAGGTGTCTGCATAATTGATTGCAACGTTTCCATCACCTTCCCTAAAATCTCCAATCTTATTTTTCTTCTTTTTATAGCGCATGGCAGTGTCAGCTATGAGCACCAGGAGGTACACTGCCACCACGAATCCAAATAGGATGAGAGCAATTTCTTTTGTTCCAGTTGAAAATATCACACCTCTGAAGTCAATAAGCTAGGGAAAAAAGTAAACACACGATTGACAGAATCTTATCCCAACCTCTGGCGGGAAACAAGAAAGTGGCTTTTGAATGATTGGCAAATTGATTTGAAATATCTTTATTTCAATGATAAAATTAATGAACACCATTTAAAAAGTACATTTATTCCTTTAAAAAAATTAATTTCATTGCAAGTACCGCGGCCTGATACTTGAGTAGTTTTTCTTGTTTACATAAAAAAACTCTTTCCCCATATTTAGCAAGGACTGCAAAAGAAGCATTTCAAAAAAGCATGCGACCTTGAGAATTTATTGCCAAGACTCTATGAAATAACAATTAGCGTGCCGAAAAGAAGATTTCATTAGCATATAAGTTGGGACCATTTGGTTAATGCGCAACAGCTCAAATACAGTGGGAGTATATCCTTGCAGTGGCGACAAAAATGCAAAAAACTACGCACGCTAATAGCATACTTCAAGCATTGATGGTGGAATAAAACCAGATGGTGCTTTATTCAAGTAATAATGAAGCGTCATATATTTGTATAACACCGGTGCTTTATGGTAAACAAACCTGGACATCGTTTTGCACTTTCTTGAGGCTTTCAGTAACAGCACTAGGGTTGCGATTGATGCAGTCATGGAAGTCTTTTATCTTTGACTCGTCTCTTTTACGGATAAACGCATTTATAGGTATTTTGGCTGTTATGTGACCCTTTTGAACAATGTTGCTTGACTGCAGATTCACAGCAACGTGAACATCCACCAACATCACTTGAATGCTTTCGTTTACGAGCATTTGAAGGCAGTGATCGTACGAGTCGCATTCTAGGGTTCAAAGATTATAAAATAACGTCATAACTTATGAGAAAAATTAGCAGCTTTCTTATTTCTATCCTTATTAAATAACAAAGTTAATCTACGTGAGTTACTAGATCCTCCCATGAAAGAATAGATGCCGTTGAACAAAAGGTTGGCAGACAAGACAACATTTATCGGGAAAACAAGGGCAATCATCTTTTGATACAATAAGAGTAACTTTGGATGTGGAAAAATTGAATCAAAGCCACGACTGCTTAGAAATTTTTTTTCATTTTGTCTAGAAGTGAAATCGCTAAACCAAACAATAATTTGGCCAACTGGGATTGAAATTTTCAACCTAAGGAGTGATCCTAAATCATCTGGGATATCAACATTGAGGGCCAGCGTAGGCGATCAGGACCAAATTTCAAAGGACACATTATTAACATTGATTTTTACATAATTTAAGAAAACGATTGATTTTTCTGCTTACAGAATTACAGAATTACTTCTATCATTCATTTTGGCTACACGATATGATGTAGAGAAAACAAAGTTTTCGTTGGTGAGTAGTTGAACAATATCAGATTTAAATACCGTGTACAAAAGCTCCATGGTCAATGGCGTGTCTGATTTCTAGTGAGTTTTTTAAAACACCAGCCTGTAAGGAAGGAAAAAGATCTCTCTTGCATCAAGAAGGAAACTGAGATATCTTTATTACTTATATTAAAACTTAAGTCAAAGGTTGATGGGAATTAGAAGCTGAAATATTACATGCTGAAAAGTAAGTAGATATGAATAAAGTTCACAAAAACGCAATGGAAAGTAAGAAAGAAGTTAGATCATCTAAGTGAGTAGATAAAAACACAGACATGAAAATTTTGCACACACGTTGCCAAAGCAGCTTTATATAAAGTGAGCAGATTTAACATAACTCAATACAAAATTGTATGTAATGGTGATAGTATTTCCTAGAATAGTCTTGTTTCTCTAGTAAAGTTTGCCCATAGTCTCAGATTCGCTCATCCAGATTCAAAAACGAGGTTGCTATTCCATCACAACTACATAACACAAAAACAATATCAGTTCCCTTACGTAAAGATAATCGTGTAAGGAAGACAGGGATAGCCTAAACATACACTGTTACTGTGCTTTACTTGAATCATATTTGTTAAAGCAATCGCAAGAAAATGAATACAGCATCAATAGACAGTGAGCTGTTTCAGGGAAAAACCTATCTAATTTATTGTAAACATGGTGGCACTGACAATGGCATAGCTCTTAGAGCTTGTTTTGCTTCTCGACTGTATATTTTTTCCCTAAGATTGATGTTCTCAGCAAAGTTGTTATCAATAAAACCGTATGTCTTCCAAAGACAGTTGCTAAATTAAAGGTCACAAATAGACAAGATTGAAAAGAAATAATTTGTGAATTTAACTTGTTTACAAAATTCAGTGTATGGTTAACCTGTAGTTTTGATCTGCATGCAACAGAAAAACTCTGTTAGATTAAGATGTGGATAAGAATTGCAAAATTAGTTGACCACAAAAGTGCGACTCTATTTAAAGTAATTCAATTTTCATATTTAAATGACCCTTCGGTTCTTGAACAAAGAACAACAAGCAAATAATATGCTGACACTGGTGGCTATCGAGTGAGTTTTGGCGACATTTTAAGGGTTATTCAATACCAAAGGTTACACTTGCCATTGGTAAAAGATACTTGAGATCTTAAGATAAAAGATACATATGGCTATCCTAAAAAGTACACCTAGCTTCTTTGAAAGAGATTGGTGGTTTCAAAGTAGCTTGATATGACGTAATTGTTAACTAAAGAATCGAAGATACTTCATGTAAACTTAGTGAAACATCCAACATCCACCCGCAGCCACAGGCCCAATAACACTGAAAAATTGGTTTCTGTTTATGTCTATGATATGATAATAGCAGTGAAAGCATTGGTGGCCTGCGTGGAGTGGGATATTCACATAGGCCTGTTTCTATGCAATTACTCTACATTTTTTGAGATGTAGATTGGCGATTAAGCTTCTGTTTAATAGCTTAGAATGAATCTTGCTTGATATATTAATATATCAGTTGTATGTACGTGCGGCTATAAATGTTTGAAAATAGGAATTATTATTAAAAAATGTGATGTTAAGACCTTAAATATGATTATGTATTCTATGCCATTACTTACAGTTAAACTCAAGGCAAAAACAGCCCTTTTAACCCTTATTTGTATATCATCTTATCGTTCATTTACCTTTTTAAGAACCAAGGAGTAACTGTTATCGGTCAAAATTGACGTCACTTCTGCTGTTAGTACGGGAAATAAAACCAACCCAGTGACCATCCAGATAATGCCAATGAATCTCCCAACGCCTGTTCTTGGAGACTTATCTCCATACCTTTAAAATTGCATTATATCAATAACATAAATTAAGAAGTTTGAAAAAATTCCCACTAATATAGCTAAACGTACAACAAGTCACCATTTCAGAAGCAGGCTCTCTGAAAAATATGCAACTTGATCAGTGGTACAGTAAAAAATCTGATTGGTAATTGCATAATTATTATAGTCAATAATTGCTGTTCACTCATCAGAGCGGCTTCCTTTCTCACTATTTCCCAGGTAAGAGGTCAACATCACTTCATCGAAAAATAACCTAGATATGTGCTTCAAAATTTCTGAGGCTCGATATTAGTTAATTTTGAAAACTCTCTTTATACGAGCTCCTTTTATGCATGACGTCTTAATCCAAATGAAGGTTTGGGCTATGAGTGTCGGAAAAATGAAAGCTCGGCTTCTTTACCATTTCTCAAGTCTTAGGGATAACACTGAGCACTTTGTACGCGAATAAACTTATCTAAAAGGAGATAATATTAAAGATTCATTATGGAGCATCTTGCCGTGTTACAAAATCTCAAAACATTGAAATTTTCCTTACCCAACAGTTGTGACTGTCACGATAGCCCACCAGAATCCGTGCCACGCACCTCTTGGAAAGGGCGCAGGGAATTGCGAATTGGACCTTGTTTCCTTAAAAGAAAAGAAACACCTATGAATATTGTTCACAAACAGTGTGATAAATAATCTACGAACACTATAAACATGTAAATAATCTTATCAAATTTATCTACCTCGGATATCGAACTCCATTAGATCATCGAATTTACAGTGCTAAAATATTGTTATGTCACTTGAATTGAAAATATTTGCTAGATGAAGATTTCGTTATGAAGATACTTGCCGCTATCCATATGAGAATCCCAAAGAATATAGTCAGCATTAGAATCATAATGATCTGGGGTGTTATTCTCTTGAAACCTTCGTAAACAAACTTCAGTTTATCCATTCTTGTCTCTATAACGATAATGACTATCTGACTGCTATTCATAATGTTTATTTGGGAAACGTTTCCAGAATTCAAAACAGAGAACGGCAACCAGATGTCCACGCTGGAGTTGTCTGTAGATCCATCCATTCGAATCGATTCAACTTCATTTAACGCTTCCTTGTACGTTTTGAACTGATGGGCCCAGTTGACTGAAAGTGCCTTACAGCACTGTTTACCAACACCGTTAAAAAGCAATGGCAGTGCACCAGTGGGGTTGCCATTGCCGTTGCCGTCCTTATAAATGTATGGTTTGTTCTCCCACCAGCGGACATTTATGGCTGGACAATCAACCAATGCAGCAGTAAGACGAAATCTTGATAACAAGACGAATAAAATATTCCCTTTTATAAAGAGCATATTGCCAGAATTCTTCTGCATTTCACCTACAAGCCAGATATGCAGTTTAACACAAATAGGAAGCATCCTGCAACTGTCTTGTGCTGTTTTGAGTTAGATATTTGTGATAACAAACTAATAATTGCATAATGACAGCTTGTAAAATACTGTATGCTGTACAGTCAACGAATAGACAATCACTGCCAAAAGTCTTGGAACACTAACGTAGTTTTTCAAAGGCAAATTCAGACATCCCCCTCTCCCCCTAGGAATAATGTTGATTTACTATAGAAAAAAGAAAGGGGTTATGGAGTACGCTTTTTCTTGTAGATTGTTTGATATTTTTCTATACTTTCAACGTTGTTTTGGGGGGAAAGGGGGGCGGAAGTGGTAGTATTCAAGAAAACAAATGAAAAATAGAAAAGCACAGCGCAAAGTGTTAGGTGTTCCAAGTAATTTTGGCAGTGATTGGAGCTCTTCACAACCGAGGTAATTAAAAATGCAACAACCTATTAAAAAACGAGCAAACATTTACTCGTCCTTTCCAATATACTAAGATCATGAACGAAGCACGACAAATGAATGGCGTCATAAGCTGCAAGTGATTTTAAGTCTGTTTAAACCATAAAATGGCCTTAAACCAAGTTGCCAAATTGGTCGTACTGCTAAAAATAATAAGGGAATGCCCTGCAGGTGAACCATTTTAGCTAACAAACCGGACACTGTAGCGATTACACTAAGGTGATACTAGCAACAAGCAAACCTTTATTGTTCATATAAAAACTAAGAATATTCAATAATTTTACAGATCTATTGGCTCACATCTCGTTTCATCATGCACTGATCTAAGATAGTGCATGAACTCCAGGAAAATTTGTGGTTTCATCCATTTGTTCATACGTGCATGGCAAAGTAATATTTAAACAAACCTTTAGGCCACTTACCACAAATTTTTTCTCCAGATTAAGACAGTACTTCATGCAAACTATATTTTAATGGTTACGGAAATAGTTAAACGAACGATGGGAACTTTTCAAGTTGCTAAAACCATCGAGCAAGAAGCGCCGTTGTTGTTGCCTAGGTGCTACCTGTTGCCAAACCAATCATTTCATATACGAGACATGCTTAAGAAATTTTGTTTATGAATGATAATTGTTTCACTTGATATTGAAAAAGCAGGTGTTCCCCGTGCAGACTTTTCTGTAACTTGCTAAAACGTCTATGGAAACATTGTCTTTTCAAGTAAAGAACAATTGTGTCTGTTCACCTGGGGCATGATTATATTCTAGCAAAGTCCAGTAAAAGACAGACGAAAAGAACGAGAAAGAAGCTGCATGCAAAAGCAATACCATGACCATCTTAAATGCTGACAACATTAGATATTTGTTTAAACCTGTCTTTGCAAAGACCAACAGAACCTGTTTAAATTATTGTGCAGTGCTGTCTGGTTGTAGTTTGTATGATTCGTATTGACACTGAAAGTAGGCTTAGCTTATCAAGAACTAATCATTCGTACGTTGTTTGCTTTCGAGATTAATGCTATCAAGTAAGAGCTCAGCTAGTGCATGTTACAGGAGAGCTAAGAAATTATGATATACAATCATCAAGGCAAATACAAACCTTAAGTTGCCTTCCTCTTCTTTTCAAAAACAAGCAACAACTGTGTAATTATCCAAATCGATAATGAGATAGCCGTAATTATTCATTGTATGACAGAATTCCAAACAACCTGCAAGACAGCCTCTCTGAATACAACTATTCAACATTTTACTAGAAACCTGAAGATTAGATACCTGTCAGTGCTACAAGTGCGAGGACTGTTTTTCTATTCACACCGTTCGCAATTTTTTTTCGAATGCACGAAAACAATTTTTATAGATTCTGTCCATTGCCATTATGATTTCACTTGTGGCTAATTGTTCACTGTTTGTACCTAATACGACTTTTAATATTCGAAACGAATATCGAGAATAAAATAGTATAGCCAGTTACAGATGCATTGTGGTTACATTTTCCATTTTGGTTTAAACAGCATAGGTTCTGGGTGAATACAAAGTGAACGAGAAATTGAACACGATCTCAAGTCCGACATCTTTACATGAAGTAACTAATATTTCCATTTAAATGTACAGGGTGCCCGGTATACGATTCTTACAGGCTCGTTCGAGTTAACCCTGCAACCAATTTGTTATTGATATTGTTGTGAATAGCAACCATCCCTTTAAAGTGCCTGTGACATGATTTTCGTACTTTTGGGTTTATATATCTATTCTTATGTAAAAAGGCCTGTTATTTTTATTTCTGAGGTTAGTTTTTACGTTTCGTGAGAAATGAAGGAGTTATTGGCAATCTTCTACGCCAAAATTCGCCATCTTGGTTTTCAGAATGAGTAGACAGTGATGTCACGGGAGGGACCCGATCGCCTCCTCCTTCGAGATTTTGTATCGTAGTCAATGTGGGAAATCTAACAGGTCCAATATGAGCAATATTTCCAGATAAAGTAGTGGCAGCGAGGATAAGATTTTTGAAGGTAGCGCTTACATTGTTACAATAACGAGTTCCTCCCATGACGTCACAAGAGAACGGCGAATGGTGATAAAGCGACTTGGCTAGGCCGCACTATTTTGCTTAGTTTCAATATCAAAACGCTTTTATTAAAAAAAAGTTCAGATCTACTATAAGAGCAATGCAACGCTTCAATTAAGGGAATAAAAAAATCATGTCACAGGCACTTTAAAAGAAGGGTTTGCGAATTGCTTTTTGAAAAACTTTCATAATAACAAAGTCTAGAAAAGTGTTAGCCCTTCATCCGGATAATATCCTCAAGCTCTGGAAACCTTCCTCAGAAAACAAAGCTAAAATAGGCAGCGTTTGGGCGTAGCTCTTTCATTTCTTTTGTTTTTTATCGCCCTTCCTCGTGGTCATTGACCATATGACTTCCATGTTTTTCGGACTCTGCTTATCAATTTCTTTTCTCTCTTAAAGAATGTATTACTTGGACTTGAACATACTAAAAATAGACTGACAATCAAAGGCGGACTTTGGCGTGTGATTTTGCAACGGAATTCTAGCAACTGCATTTAACGAAGAATGGAAATAAATGCGAACGGACGGGGATCCACCAAAACAGGTGAAATTCAGCAGAATATGGGGAAGAGGGGTGCCATACAGAGGTGTCGAGAGCCAGCTAGTATTTCGTTGGTAATCACTACATACACTTACCATATAATATAGGAATCGACTTTTCCAGCGGCCCTTCAGGGCAAGGATCGGGCCTTGCTTTTCCCTATCGAGGTTTGTTACTGGCTTGCCTTTCCCTACCGAGGAAGCCACGTTGTTTAGCGAGTCACCTCCACAGTAAGGCCTGCACACAGGGTAATAAACTCCTGTTTCCCACAGTGGATGGCACAGACAACAAAAATTTTTCTTGGCCATGTAGGGCTGGGTAAATGTGATTGGATAAATGGGCTTCAAAGACACTTTTAAAGAGACTTGCTATTTTAGGCAGAGAAACAAAACTTGAAAGGGAGATTGACTGGGGCAAAAAAGGCTTGTGCTTGCAGGGGACGTTGGGAAATGGCTAAGGGCCTTGGTCATTCAATTTTTCGAAATGGGACTTCCCCGTCAGTTCGGCCTGTTTGCTGACAATATTCACCCGCTACAAGGTTTTATACAAGAATGCCTGAATACACACAACCTGTCTTCATTCAAGCCGATATAGAGCAGGTTTGTCCATACATGCTATGTAACCGAGATGAGGCAGCGTCATCCAACACTGCGGAGAGTGTGTTTTGAAAGACGATATTGATTATCATCTTGCAGATTATCACCAATCCTTTTAAAGCTTGAGATTGAAATGCAAGGATACCAGTGAAAATGAGTGTGACGCCAGATGAGCACGGTAAGAAATGTTTTTTGAAACACGGAAAAAGCCAAATGCCATTGTCGTATATCAACAATATCAATGTTTCTCCACAGCCACAACATTATCGGTTAAAGGCTTTCTCATGATAAGACTCCAACGGCGAAATATTAAAATGCAATATAAAAGATAATTGGTCAATTACAGTAGCATGTAAACTAATGAAGTGGAAAAGACATAACACTTGTAAAAAATAAAATTATAAAAACTATTATTGAGAACCCCCTGAAAATCTTTGCATTTCCCCAAACAAAGAAACACAGACTGACAGAATGCATCACATAAAAACATAGAAACATAACAACATTATGACATTTTCAAAATTCAAGTGAAGCTCCACCCCCGACCATTGGTATAGAGACCAAAGACATGAAATGTCTGTTTCTATATTACATCATGGAGGCCCTACCCTGATGATAAGGAATTTAATGAAACGAAGAGATTAAATTTGAGCACAACACAGCTTATTGGAGGGAAATTATTATTGCTATTACTACTAAAGCTATTAAATATCTAGGAAACCTCTATGAGATTACAGGCTTTTGGTAAATAGAACAGGACAATTCTAAGTTGCTACTCTGAGTTTCATGCTTGATGTGATCATCAGGCAACTACTCTTTGAGGTTATATTCATAATTTTTATTTTCTAAACTTAGTGCCTTTCATGAAGCAGAAAGCAACTGAAAATGGATTTGATGAAGATGCGAATAATGAGGACAATGACAGTGGCATTACTTCTTTAGACGAGACACGAGTAGAATACTCATATTTGCTCCCTCAAGAACCATTCGATTATTGGGACAGAAAAGAAATTTCTGAGCTGAAAGAAAAACAAGCACCTATAAAGACAAGAAATGTTCTTTTAGACAATGAAGCATCACATAGCGTCAAAGGATGTACCAGAAAGAAAGAATCCCTATTAAAAGGGCATAGAAATGACAAGCCTGGGTTAAATTTTCAAGCTAGTCTTAAAAATATCAAGGCACAAGTGAAAGATTTAAAAAACCATTGGGAACAAGTTGATCAGAAGTTACTGACTTATGAAAAATTTCACAAGGACCTGAATAATGAGCTTTTAGATGCATGCAAAATGCTTGGTGAGATTCATAAGACAAATTAGCCACACATATAGTTAATGCAAATGATGGGCTTGGCCCTTACCTTCGAATATGACCAATGTATGCTTCAGAAAAGCATTTGGAAATTAGATGAGATCAGATGAATTTGACATTTATCAACCTGAAAAGAGTTTGTTTGCAGTGAATTGGAAAAGTTGATAGCGGTTTTAGGGTCATTTTCAAAAATATATTCTGTTTGTATACCTTTGTAAATTTTGTTGACATTAAATCAACAATTTATTTACATTATTTTAACCTAAAGCAACAAAAGAACTCCATGGTCAAGAAAATCCATCTATCTATCTCAAAGTGAATATTCCCTTAATTTTTCAATCAGTCGGCTAGATATTTGATGTCTCCTTAAAATTACTTCAAGTTCTTCAAATTTTTCTTCAATATCAAATGCATACTTCAGTTTTGTTCTGCTTTCCCTATCTTCTTGCATTATTGTAGTTGCAGAAGAACACTTACAAGTCTTCAAAATGTCTGTTTGTATGTGTGAATTGGCATTTACAGATGCTGGATTACCACAACAGCAGTTATGTGTAGATACATTGTGGGATTCATTAACTTGTACAGGACTTTTGTCATTGCTAAGAGAAATATTGTCTATCATCATTTCTACATCCACTAGATTTGTACTGTCCAATTCACATTCACTTCTGCAATTACTTTGGTCTTTTTTACGAGTCCTGTTGTTTGTACAATGATCAATTTCTGTTTCCATATCTTCTAAGGCTTTTATGTCACTCAAGAACATCTTCAAATCTTGACACAGTTTTTCATTCTTTGAATCAAAGAACAGGATCATGGCACTAAATAAAATAATAAATTCATGTTTTGTTTATTCAATATTAGTCAAAAATATATGTCAAAAATGTTAAAAAACACTTCGAATTTGAGTATGATAAGATGATATGTAATCATATCACTTAATCAAACTTGATTCAACTCATATAGCATTGAGTCAGATCAAATAGGCCTGGTACAATTGTTCTAAAATTTCATTTCTAGTACAGGTTTGTAAACGGTTTATAAGCTTCAAATTCATTTATAGTACAGGGTTGAAACAAAACGTGACCTAGGCCCTTGGCATAGCTTTTGACATGGGGTTGGCCTACCTGTAGCAATGGTGTACCTTTGGCCTAGCAATGGCCTAGCACAGAGCAATTTGGCGTTGCAATGACCAGGGCTGGAAAATGTCCAGCAGCGCTGCTGGCACAAATTTATTGCAAGAAATTGTTGCTGTTTGCCAGGAAATTTTTAGCATGACATCTCCATTGCTTGGTTTTAAAATGAACATTGAATTTATGCTACTCTCTTTCTACGGAACACTGTTTTCTTGTGATATACATACATACTGTAATAGTTTTTATTGTGCACCACTAACAAAAAACAAAGATAAGCTTTCAAAATACAATCATCTGGTACTATTAGCATCTGTTGCTATACCAAATTTCCAGCAATTCAGACATGATTTTTAGCTACTAATTAAATTCAATCAAGCTAAAACAAAGTTAATTCCTCTTTTTACATTAGCCATCCTAGATAAGTAAAAACGTTGAAAGATCGCCAATCTTGCTATGTCAGTTGTATTGAAGCTGAACGTGTCCAAAAACCTGTTTGGATGTGTCCATTATTCTTCACACTTTTCTACTGGCATTTGCATACATTATTCTTCATACTTTTAGGGATTACAACTTTTTCTCTAGCCTTTGATTATTTCATTAATTTCAATCAATGAAAAATAAAAAGCATTCTTTGTTTGTTTGAGAAGCCTAACATTCTTATATGTTGTATGAACTACTAGCTTTGATGATAAAACGAAGCAGCAAACATGAAACGCAGAGCAAGATGTAGGATATATCAACACCTCTGCACCACAGGCAATTTTTCTTGCTTTAAGTTTTTTGGTGCAGAGATACACCGAGCCTACATCATTGATCGACCAAATTAATAGGTCATAAGTTATTGCTACACCAAATTAGCATGTGCTAGGCCATTGCTACACCAAATATACATCATTGCTATGCCAACAAATAAGCCAACCCTACACCAAAAGGTACGCCAATGGTGTAGGCCAGGTTTTGTCACAACCCTCTAGTACAAGTAACATATTGTACAGCTCAGATAATGTCCCTAGTGATGATAATAAATGAAGGAGAAAATGAAAAAGTTTAATGATAGTAATACTTGCAGAAATTGATGCTTTCCTGGGAATATGATTTTTACCTGAGTGATCCCCTGAGTTTTGAACTCATCTTGTATCTAATAGCAGCATCAGAGAAGCCTCTGTTGAATCCATTTTGTAATGTACTTTCTTGGCCATCATTCAATCCATCCCTGTAGCCTGCCTGAAATGAATAATTTTATTATTTGTAGTCATGTGTAATAAATGTCAACAACTTAACAAAAGAAAAGTTCAAAGGAATGTGTTGTAGGAACAAATTAAACAGCTGTAAAATCATATCCCACTAACAAAACAGGGCCCACATCTTACTTTCTCTAGCCCCAATTGTGGCTAAAATTTGCTGACGCTGTTTTACTTGTGGACTTTCTTTTAATGTATTTGTTCTAATATACAGATTTATCTATCTAAACATAATTTGAGCTGATTTGAATCTTAATTTCCCTGTAGCACGTGCCCCGCAGAATGATAACTTGAAAGCACCGTAAATATATATATGCAACAAAAAATTTTGTCAGATAAATTTTCAGTGTATAAACTTCGTCGAAAAAAATTTCAGACAACTTTTCAGAATTTTGTCGTGACAAAGTTTTGTTGTTGATTTTTAACACAAAAATAGCAACATATTACCAAAATATTAAGTGACAAACCCATACAGGTTGCTTTATATTCAATCCTATAGGGGTACCAAATACGTGGAGACATGGAGGCTTGAGCACCCATTTGGCTTAATCCCCGAGACTTTGGCTTAACCCCGGAGACATCTTCACACGGAACCTCATGTCAGGAAAAACCAAATTAAAGCGGTATATGTCCTTAGTTAATGCAAGGGTGGAGTCAAAAGAGATGCTTTTAATGAGTCTCTACTCTACATCTCTAGGCATGGAAGTTTTTAAATAGAGTATAATTAAAGTTATTAGTGTGAATATAAGTATAAGATTCGGAAAGATCTCCAAAAGAAAAGGTTGGTCTCGAAATTGTGCTTCCGGTAGAGTTTAAAATTTGGGTGAAAAGTGCAAATACCTTGAACGAATGAAAGAAATAGTACAGTTGAGTTAAAAAAGACAGAGGTGGAATCCTTTGAAACCAATGACGAAACACAGTGAGAACAGTAGGGTAGCCAGTGTGGTCAGATTTGGGGGGAAGGGGTTGGAAAAAGCGATGTTGAGCAGAAAACATTCAGCAAGTCAACCAAAGAGATTATTTGCCATTAGGGGTGGAGTCTGCCTCTCGGTGGCGTCCTCCTAGCTTTTTTCGACCCAAGATAGCTAAGGAGTAAACGATATAGACTTCCTAAGTTTACTCCACCCTTTTTGTTAATTGATCGCCCTGCTTATTTCAACATTCTACCTTATTTTAGAGTACTTGGCATTAATAATTTTTGATTAAATCAATAAAGGTGTAATAAATGCCAAGCCAGACTGGAAACTTTGTCTCTTCTGCGGGTAAGTTCACACCCTTGATTGCGCCCCTGAAATCACATACTTTTAAGAAATTTGTATTTATAATAAATGTTGTTTAGAACACTGTTTAAACAGAGTTAATCCCCCCACAAAAAAGGCACCTCAGCCTCGTAACAATGCAGTGGCTAAAGGAGACTGGGCCCTGGCATCCAGAACTTTGTTGGTAGGTGTTCTAACTTGTGCTCTCTTGTTAGGCTCCCTCTTGGCTCTAAGCTTGCCACAAACGGTTGTTTGGCTTTTAGGAGCAATTAAAATTGAATATTCCCTCCCACCCACCCACTGATTCTTACTACCTTTTCTTCCTTCAATCTGGCTGTCATTCTTTTCCAGAAGACCTTTCCATCTTATGGGCTGGTGCATCAGTCAGAAAAATCTTTCCCAGTGGTGACACCGACCTTAAAAATCGGTACTCTCCAGGCAGTATAAGGGCTGGTGCACCTAGCAAGCCCACTTCCTGGAATTAAAGGTAAGATTCTAAGTTTAGATCAAGTTGCAGACTATTTCTGGCTTAGTGCCTCCCTTGTCTCACTGACCCCTCTCTATATGTATTTAGTAACAAGTTTGTTCCTCGGTGTCTTTTAGGATCAGTTTATTTCGTTTATTGTTGAGGAGTTTCCTATCTGATCATCCAAAACGTATTGAAACATTTTTATCTAAGAAACATGGTATACTATACTTACGTTGACTTAGATCCACTGATTATTCTGAAACGGTTTCGAATAAACCTACCTCTGCTATATTAGGCCCTAAAAACTTACAAATTGACCAAGTGGGTAGGGCGTATTTTATCATCATGTTATGTGACATATGTCAGTGAAGAACATTTAAAAGTTCAAATATCAAATTTCCTTACCTTACAGTGGACATCTTTTAATCGTCGTAAATCACGAAATGATAATTCAGTATCAAAATCTTCATCGATCATGAAGTCATCGTCCTCCATTTCCTACCTCTTGCTTCAATTTCTTGGTCCCCTGTGCCTTCGAAGCCTCCTTTTGGCGCAGAATCAAGAAAATGCAATGATATAGAAATCATTGAGAAAATGATATAGAAGCAATGATAATCTAATTTATTAGCTTTTTGCTGAATAATTTTGTGAAGAAAGCTTACCTAGTTAAAAAGAAGGGTGTGTCAATGTTTTCTCTAGTTAGGCCCTTGCGTAACCACGATTAGTTAGCTTGGAATTTTAGGTTATTATCAGTTCTCCAATAGTTTTGAAAGTCGTTGGTCCTTTATGCTCGGCTTCTGGAATAGTAGGGAAGAAACTGGCGTGGCAAAAGTTTTGTTGGATGTTCATGACAGAAATGCAGAAAGCAATTCAAAGTGGGCGATGGACTCATAAAGCCAAAAAAGGGGAACTCCGTTAGACGCAAATAGGCAACACCTCTTCTCCTGAACAGTGGGGGCATCTGGCCCCTGTGCCCCAGTACCTACAATCCAGGCTAAAAAAGCTGAGACATTTGAAGGAGAAAGGAATTCGTGTGCTATATCTTCATATTATATGCGCTGGTGACCCACACCCTCTTCCCTCGGGGTCAATGTGTGGTTAAGATGGCTACATTAGTTACCAATCCAATCACAACATTGCCTTGAGGGGAAGAGATCAGGTGACTTTTAAGTAGCTTCTTTTTTTCAAGTGTCTCAGAATTTATTGCCAAGATTGTAGGTTTATGGTTTACAATAGGAAGCTGAAGAACAGACTATATATTATGCAGGACAGAGCTCTGAAAATCGAATGCAGAGATTTTGAATTTGATAAGGAAGATTTATTGAAATAGATAGATTGGAGATCGAAACATCAAAAACAAAAATGCAAAAATGCGACTTTCATTAAAAAGTAGCAATTTATTGCAAACAGCTAGTAGGCATGAAACCTTGAATTGAATAATCAATAACGAAAATCAACAATTGTTGGTATTCATTCTTTTAAACTCTTTACTTCCAATATGTCAATACATAAATAAATTCTACACTACCAGGACAAAAGTATTGCAACACCCTAATCAAAATGGCATCAAAAAAATTTGAAGTTTTGTAAACTTTTAACTTTACGCTGAAATATTCTCCTCAAAAATAAGCATAATCATTCTAAACCAGGAATCAAATTCTTCGAAATTTATTGAGGATTTCGAAAAACTTAGAGTTACAATATTATTATTAGATAGATAGGCTAGATATGTAGATATCAGTTACAATATAATGTATACCTCGCTTTTATTCATTAGATAGATAGGTAGACGGATAGATACATTTCAACACAAAGACTTACAAAGTTAAACAACAAAATTGATTATATACTTTCTAAATTTTAACTGATTACAATTAAATTAAAATAAAACATGTGTTAGAGACACTAAGGTAAAATCTACTAGAGACTACCGAGCTTAGTATTCCTTTGTTATTGACGATTTGTGGCTTCTCTTACGAATTACGTTGTGACAAAAAAGCAATCAGATAAAACTTACAATTAAATACATTAGAACTAAATTACATCAGAATCGTTCAAAGTTTGATCTTTTACAATAAAAATAATTTAATGCTACCTAATAAGAAAAGTTAAGGTCTACGGTTCGTGGGGTACCAGCACTTGTTTGAGACGTCGGTTTGGCAGGTCAGCGGTTGAAATGCGCAGCCTTGTTTTGATTCTGCGCGTGCTTGATTTGCTCTGCAGACAAAATGTCAAGATGGCGCAGATATCAAGGCTGCGTAACTGAAATTTTTATAATTTGAATCTCCTTTAATCGCCTTCATTTCGACCACTTTCTTTATGGACTGCTTTGAAATCAAAAGGAAAAACTATAAATTGCCGTCCTAAGATGAAAATTCTCCCAGTTGATTTATTATTTCGAGGATGCTAACCAATATAAGATGCCTAGTACCGAAGGCCACCACAAGTCGTCAAAGAAAGCCAAGAAGTCCGGGCACAAGAAGAAGCACAAGAAATCTGCAAAATCATCTAAACAGGACAAACAGAAGAATCTTAACTCAAGTAGTGGTATTAAACAGCTACAAGTTTACGAGAGCTTGTCGTCTGGAGAGCTATCACCGGGAGAAATATCAGAAGTTAGCGCCGCGGAAGAGACTGGCCCAGTTGATATCGCGAAAAATAATTTGGTAGATAAAAAGGCCAGAAAAAAGGATAAGGTTAAAAAGCACAAAGAGTTTAAGGAAGAAGCACAATCGAAGAAAAACAAGGATCGTAAAAAGGAAGGTAAAGCGGAGAGAAGAAAGAGCCACAATGTTGCTGGTGACTATTTCGACAGTCCGCAATCGCCGAACCACGACGTCCCTCGTGATTCTAAAAAGTTCAAAACTTCAAGAGAAAAGGAGAAGGGTCACACGAAACCAAAAGTATATCATTCACCTACCGCTGATTATGTTGAGCAAAGGTATGATGAAGAGTTTAGAGGAGGCTCGCCCTATAGGGGACGGTCACCAGGTCCTGGATGGGATCATTCACCATCCCCAGAGATGTTTCAGAAAGGTAACAGAAAAAGGAAGTATCCACAATACCAACAATATAAAAGTCCGGACAGTCCCAGGCGGTCACCATATAGAGACAGGACTTACCAAAGGTATAGCAATGCACAAGGAGCATGGTCTCCATATCGTGAATACTCCCCTCATGGATACAGGAGGTCATACTCTCCCTATGGATACTCACCAACAAAGAATCGCAGATCCCCATCATATGATAATTACTACCAGTCAAAACGAAGAAACTATCATTCACCATATCACAAAAGGTCACCATCACCTCAGAGAGCTTCTCCTAGGTATTCTCCATACCGTGGAGGCGTGGATTACAGGAACCGAAGACGATCAGTTTCACCAAAGCATGGAAGTAGTAAACATGACTCAAACAGGAATACCTCACTGTCACATTATAGTAAAGGGCAAAAACAAAGGAATGAAAGTTCTTCTCATAGCAAAAGAAAGCAGTCACCTATTAAAAAGGCTAAAGATTCGAATCATGAAAAGTCTTATCATAAGGAATCAAAAGACACTAAAACTACAAAGGAGGATGCACATGGAAAGAAATATGGCGATAAAAATAAACATACAGAAAAGCATCAACAATTTCATGCAGAGAAGGAAGAGTCTAGAACTAATAAATCAAAAACTGTTCAGCAAAAACTTGCAGCATCTCCAGTCACACCTGTGCAAGATGAGGTAGACAGCTCCAAGGAGAAAAATGCTGTTCCACCTCCACTACCAAAATCACCTAAACCACCATCACCACCCCCTCCACCTGCAGATGTGCCTCCTCCACCACCACCAGCCCCAGCACCACCCCCAATGCCTAGTGAACCCCCACCACCAGTCTCTTCAGCACCATTGCCATTGCCACCAGTAATACCTGGATCAGGTAGCAGCCCAAGTGAATCAGAAGAGTCGGCTGGTTCACCTAATTCTAGGACACCAAGCAAGGTATTGGAAGCATATGATAAAAATAATGCAGTTGTAAGCAAGGAAAATGTAGTAGATGTCACTACAAAGAAGAATTTAGATCAAGTTGTCATCAAACCACAGTCTGCAACTGAGTGGGGTGAGAGATGTGTTGATGTCTTTGATATACTCAAACAGACTGGTGAAGGAACATTTGGTCAAGTGTATAAAGCAAGAGATAAGCTTACTGGTATGAAATTTATCAAGTTTTATATCAAACTTAACATTTATAGCTTGGTTCAAAATTGGTCAAATGCTTGCACTTGTTACCTATTGGGCTAGATAATATATTGGACACATTCAATAGAAAAATATTTGTCAATATTTTAAGTAGAAATATATTGTTGTTATCAAATTGATGTTATCAAGTTTTATTTCGACAGCACCTGTGTGCTTCAATATGTTTTCTTGTTTCTATAGAACAGCATTTCTTTATTGAAGTAAAAGTATTAAAGCTAGGAATTAATCTTCTTTTTTCATTTTTTCAGGTGACATGGTTGCTTTGAAAAAAGTCCGGACAGACAAAGAAAAAGAGGGTTTTCCCATTACTGCTGTTAGAGAGATCAAGATTCTAAGACAGCTAAATCACTCAAATATAGTCATTCTGAAGGAAGTTGTTACAGATAAGCCTAATGCTCTGGACTTTCGTAAAGATAAGGGTGAGTAAATTACTTAAATTTTGTTTATAATGTGCAAAAAGCTTATCAGCCCTTTTCATTCATGTTGTTTACCAAACAAGGTCAAAAACCAAACAAAATCTTTGATTTAGCCTGCACCTCTGTATAAGCCCTCCCCCCAACCTAAAATTTCAGTTTTGCAAATAGGCCCCCCTTCGAATAAGCCCCCATAGGCCCTTATTTGAGGGAGCCATTGGCAGCTTACTATCACTCCCTACAAAGCTTATTCTAATTCATACTCAGCTACAATAGCTATGTAGTATTGCATCTTTGGCTGAGGACCAAAAAGCAAAGAAGAATACAAGCTTTGGCATATTATTAATTTTGTCAGATTTTAACTAAGAAATTTATGTTCCTTTTATGTTAACCTTTGAGAAAAATACCAAAATCTAAAACAAGCCACTCTCTTTTTATATATGTATAGAGAGATTAGAAAATATATACTTGGTAAAGAAAGCCAATATTGTTAGCGACATTTGAATATAATTCTTTTATCAGATTGTACACCACTGATTCAGACTTATAAAATCTTATCTTTATTCAGTCTTGTATATGTATCTACAGCAGATTTTTTTCTTTTGGTTCAGGTGCATTCTACCTTGTTTTTGAATACATGGAACATGATTTGATGGGCCTACTTGATTCTGGTCTGGTGGCTTTCACGGAAGAACACATAAAGTCAATGTTCAGGCAAATCATGGAGGGCTTGAATTACTGTCATAAAAAGAATTTTTTACATAGAGATATCAAGGGCTCAAATATCCTTATGAATAACAGGTAAGGTTTAACATGAATATTCCTTTTTTTTTCTTCACTCTAAAATAAGGTTCCAGAGAATATAGCTACACTTTTTGATTGAACTTGAAGTAATAAAATAACAATGCTATTTAATAGTGACATCCAGAGAAATTAAGCTCAATATGTAGGCACACAATGTCTCCTTTTTAATAATCTAGCCCTTGCAGTATTTGTTGTTTAAGAAAGCACAAAAATTGATAGATAAGCTTTGAAAAACGTTTCATAATTTATTCTTTTAAAACAAAGCTTTAAAGTAAATTATTAGTGCTAGATCAAAATAGTAAATAAATATTTATTTATCAATGGATGTAGCATAGTTGAAGGTTTAATTTAAGTCAATTTATGTAAGCTAGCCCTTGTCTTTTTTCTTGATTGGCAACATTGCGTTGTTGCTTTGAACTTCAAGTATTCCTGAAAGCCAAGTCCTTCTCCAACATTTTACTTTGTTTTTGCAATATTTTGTTGCTATGACTTGTTGATTTTCTAAGCAAGAACTGGTACTTGACGAAGGTTAAGGGACCAAGTTATTATCTTTGCTCACAGTCATATTTTTCCTGTAGAGGTGAAGTGAAACTTGGTGACTTTGGTCTTGCAAGGTTATTTGAAAAAGAAAATGAAGGGTAAGTGTAAAAGCAAAGAAAATAAAATGTTTTGTTTACCAGCTAGTTTTTTATGATGGTTATTAAGCAAACCCTTTAATTGTAAACTGAGATGCAAATATGCCTCTCTAAGAATGCTAGCATAACTGAATGAGCTTGTTTAAGGGTGTGCCTAAAACATGAGACCCAAGGTTTCTAGATATGTAATGACATTTATGTCAAGGGATCAATTAGCTTTGGAACTAAACATTTTGAAAGAATATTTTTGGATGCACTCAAGCCCTTATTGTTATCAGAATCCATTGGTAAGGCATTGATGCTATATGATTTATTCTGGCTATAGATTTAGAGCTAGAAGTTCCATTTTATTGAACTGTAAAGGTTCAAATTTGGGCAAAAAATGATTGCCTTAAAGGGGCTTAAAGGGCCGTTTTGTAAACAAACCAAAGACATGGGACATTGTGCGTTTTTAGCTAATTTACACATTGGAATAATGGCAGATGGTGCTTCTGTGTTTCAATAAAATTGATAAATTTTATGTACTGAACATGGAGTGGACAATTATTATATTTGTATCGATTATCAATAGGAAATGTGTATAGCAATTGGTCTAGGCCAAGGAAATGAAGTTTCATTCAGTCAAAGGGGAAAATATTTTGTTTGTCTTGGTGAACTTAAATGGAATAAGACACTTGACAAAACATTTTTGTTCCAAGTGCAAACTTTAAATTAAGTTTCCACTAATAGCTTAGGTTTTTGCGTCATTTTGGCCAATTTCTTTTACCTGCTCTTTGTGGTTTGCTCTATCCTAGCTGTAAAAGTGACCTTTGTTTTTTGGCATCACCATCCTTTATCCAAAGAAATATGGTGATAAGGCTGAAGAAAGAGCATTTATTATTTCTTTTCTGTCCTAAAACATACAAAAAATTAGAAGCTTGGAACAATTTGCTATGCAGGATGTTCTGTGTGACTCAGCCCTTTGAAATAAGCATAGAATTTGATTTGAATTTTTCCTTACTTCCAAATTTATGCCTGAAACCACTTTTTTTTCTTTTGAATTAATATTTTCCTTCTGCAAATTATACTCCTGCAAGACTGCCATCCAAAAACACAATTTAAAATGGTGATGAAGATGGGCATCTTAGCTTCACATAATCATGAAATAAAAACGATTCTTTCTTCTTTGTCAAACATTATATTTAGGCTTTCCTGTGTATTGTGTGGTCTTATTAAGCATAAAACATGGCAACTATCAAAGATCCTATTTGCTCTTGCAGTTACGTTTCTTCCAAATATCGCATTAAACTTCAATGTCATATGAAATTTTCTTTACTCGTTCATCTTAATCAATCATATTTGTTGTAAAGTCATCTGGTGATGGCATAAGTTTGAGAACTTGAAGAAGTTAGTTAGAACCGTCCTGTTCTGTAAACCAAACGGGTATATATCTATATATTTTTTGGATACATTGTTGGTACTGCCAGATTTGAAGATAGCATGAAACAGCTTAAACACATCGTACAGGAGAACTTCTTGTATGACACTTTCCAGGCATCTGGATATAAATATTTCGCTTTCATTTGGCCATTGTTCGACGTTTATACTTTGAAGAGTGTCAGAAAAAAGTACTTCACTATGCTATGTTTCTGCTACTTCGTGCCATCTTCAAACATATATTTATCAGTATTGTTTTTATTATCTAAGAAATGCCTTTGTTTTAGTTGAGAATGCTTTATTTTGGCGGATATATCAATATTACGATTAGGAAGCATGTTTTAACAATAAAACCCTAACTGATTTCTGCATCTTTTTCTCATGAAGTCGACCATACACAAACCGAGTCATTACGCTGTGGTACAGGCCTCCTGAGCTGCTTCTAGGAGAGGAGAGATATGATCCTTCAGTGGATGTCTGGAGCTGCGGGTATTTATTTGTATTCTTTGATTAGAATCTAGACCAACATATTTCTGTTATTCACAATTATCCAGCTTGTTTGAAAATATCTTAAAAAGAATCTATTTTAATGAAACAGAAATTAAATGTTAAAATGCACGCCTCCCAGCAATTGACGCCACCCATTAGGTGAACAATAATTTGTTCCGAAGACATCTTTCCTGCTGTAAGAGACTTATTGAAGCTTTGTGCAAATTTCAGTTTAGTTAAGGATATTTGCCCCAGTAAGAATCGATCCATTAGACCCAAGGAAAGAGCATTAAAGATCCAAAGGTATTATGCTGTCTCGTTCATTTAGTTTAAATAGGAAATAACATATACTTTAGTTCTGTCAGCCACAATGCCCCCCCCCCCTCACTTTCATCAAACTTTCCTTGAAACGACAGAACCTGCAAAATAGCGGTAACAATGTATCTAATTAGAGTATATGCTTATCACTTTGTTTAAACAGGTAACAATACAAATTCTGCCTGAAAGAACGTTTACTTGAATAGCCTTGCCAATGTGCTAGGCCCCCTTCTTGCTCAATACTTGGATGTCAATGCTTAAACTGTTTTTCGTTACTACAGATGTATCCTTGGGGAGCTTTTTCGACGGAAGCCGTTATTTCAAGCCAATCAGGAAATGCAACAATTAGAATTAATAAGGTATGCTCGTCCTCTTCCACCTGTTTTTGTTTTTAAATGGTTATGGAACTTTGCAACTCGTTGGGGGGGGGGGGGGGGGGTAAGAAACAACGGGCGTTTCTTCGGGTTTTTTCATTAAAAACAAGGCTTACACAGCCGGTATGGAGTCAGAAGATACTTTATTTCTTGTCACTTGAAATGTCACGATGCCATTTTAACAATTTTGATACTATTACCATTAAGTGTCGAAAATTTATACCTTTCTTATTTTAGTAAAATATGCGGGAGTCCAACTCCAGCAATCTGGCCAGATGTTATACATCTACCGTTGTTTCATACTTTTAAACCAAAAAAGCAATTCAAGAGAAGACTAAGGGAAGAGTATTATGAGTAAGTAACTTTGCTTTGTATATTTTTATATTTAATCGACACATACATGACTTGTTTATAATTTATTGATTTCTTGCTTAAAGTTTAAATTTTGAATTTCCCTGAAATCGTGAAAGCGGAGTACAAAAAGTTCCTCGACCCTCCTCCGGATGAAACTTTGCCCCACTTTGCCCCAAAATTTCAACATTAAATCCAAAATACAGTCAAAACGCTAAATGTGGCATTGATATAATACCCCGATATTTTCTTATTATATTATCCTTGGAAATATCGTCTGTTGGTCACTACCTTTTCCCTCCCCACCGTTAAACTTGGAAAGAGTCAAATTTAGCTATTCAAAGCGAAGATCACCGTATAGCATGCTGCATCTACCTTAACCCCAAGAATGCGCTTTTCCTTAGGGGATCTCATTTTATTCAACTCTCTTTGGGGACGACACTTACTCTCTAGATTTTAAAAGAGATAAGAATATTTGATAGCATGATGTTGCTTGCTATAAATTGGTGAATATATCTTTTCTACGCAGACTGCCGAAGCACGCTCTGGATTTGCTTGATCTCATGCTTGCAATGGATCCTTGTAAAAGAATAAGCGCTGAAGGTGCTTTACAGCATCCGTTTCTGGCTGACGTTAAACCTGACAAAATCAACATTACGGGGTAAGAGTATCTTCACACCTATGGATAATTCACTGTTGTCTCATATTTGACTTTTCTCCATCTGTTAAACGTTGAACGAAAAATTCATCAAAGCGCCGGTGTTTGAAGCTATCCATTTGTACCTGTTTTATAGTTGATTCATGAGGTCATCTTTTATCTGATCTTTTACGTTTCTGTTTTTTGACTGTTGAGTTCGCTAACTAATGCAGCTCTTAGAATGTAATTAATTTTGCTACCTTATTTTGGTTACTTTGTTTGCCCTTGTTTATTACACTGTATATTGCACCTCTACTCAAAGGGAGATAATAATGGATTTAAACTTTCTTTAGACTTCCGCAATTTCAAGATTGCCATGAAATGTGGTGCAAGGAGAGAAAGCGTTTGGCCCGGCAAAGCGAACACAGCCAACGAAGCAACGAGACTGCACAACAACAGGCACCCAACAGTCAGGGGTCCTCGTTACCGCCACCCCCTCCGCTTCCTACATTTGTTACGTCAGAAAAGGAACGGGGAGTTACCGTGCCCCAAAACATACCCACTGGCATGGGATCTGGTTTTATGACAGGTTCCTTTATTGGTTCTACCAAAGCCTCTTTGGGTTACGAACAGGCTTCTGGAGGTATGCCCCAAACTCAGGACTTAGGGGTCTCCAGTAATTTCATGCCACAAGTAAACTTTCAGACCGGGCCAGTATATCAGTCAACGGGGGGTTTTATGTCAGCTGCTCCCTCGTCTTATTTTGCACCGAGTGAACAAACGGGAAATAACAGCTATGGGTCGAATGTACGAGTAGACGACCCGCCAGCAAACAATGCTAGTGTATCTAAGCATCATTCGGCTACCAAATCAAACTCGTCACGAAGGTCATCGCAATCACATTACGAACAATTATCGCCAGCTAATCCCGAAACGGAGCGACGGCAACAGGGGAAATCGTCGAACTATAGCTACAAAGCGTTAACGTCGCAAAGTAAACTGTCGGAGAAGGACTCAGCTTACAGGGATACTGGTAGTTCCAAGCAATCGCACAATTTTGCTCATCAAGTTTCAACGAAGCGATAGCCTTTGTTTAAATTCATTCAACAGAATTCGATAGCGTCTCGTTAAATTTGTTCGCTTCTTAAAAAGTGTATTTAGTACCTTTTGAATATATCTTAGATGTCATATACTTGATACATTCCTTTTGTTGCTCGATTTCTGTTGTTTCATTTTCAGAGATTGGAAACCGAATTTGAGCTATCGAAACACCGTTATATCAACGGGTACTATTTTTATCATTGATGAGAAGCTAGATAATCTATTGTTTTCGGGTTGGTTGTAAACATAGACCTCGTTTGCATGACCTAAAACGTCATAAATTTGTATGTCAGCGTTCACATGAAAATTTGTGTTGTGACGTCATGGTAAGCCCAGACTAGCCCCCATAATGACGACGATTCCTTTTGATTGGCATCAGTAACCAGAAGTCCTTGACAGAGATGCCGAAAATGATCCTACTGGATCCCAAAGTCCTGGAAAGCGAAGTTTGCTAAACAAAATTGAGTGTTCACCTGTACGTACCTCATTTATCAGATGATAAAAGGCCCATTCTTTGGTCGGCTGCTTGGTTTACTCTTTGTTGCAAGAAACCTCCCTCACAGATAGTGAACGTGCGACTTTGATTCTCGTAGAATTACAAAAGAGCCCAATATCTAAACCCTTGTAATCCACCAAGAGCAAATTCAACTAACTTTAACTGCAACCCCAAACCCTGAGACAAGTCATTTGATGTAAAACAGCCTGTGAAATCCGTGGTAATCCATAAAGACAAGAACTAGGGCAATCCATAACCAGGTTAACCTAATTACCCACGAACCGGGCTCGAAGTTATTTGTCTCACTAAAGTAGTAAAACCTGGTATGATTGAAAACAAAATCTATTTAAGATTTTGTTCCAAAGTTCTAAAGATGTTCTATCTGGCATACCGAATTAAAATGCCAGGAACTAGGCATTTGTTCTAAAAGAGTTCACTTCAATTCTCACAGCAGTTTGTAACTAGTAGATTTAGATTTTAATATTAAATTTATATGCGTTGTCTCCTGATTTTTTATTTTTGTCGTGCTAAGGTTCTCTTGGAATCCCATTATTCGCCTGTAGGACATTAATGGTAGAAAATGTAGGACATTGGTAGAAAAGGGTAAGTATTTCTATTCAGAATTCAAGTAACCACAACCAAGTATTGCCCAATCATTGTCTATGGCCCAATTTGAAATGGCATAGTGATCAAGGATGTATGGGGCGATCTACCAAAATTTTTACAAAAATAATCACCTGTTGGCCCCTAAGCTAAGTTCCATTTCAAAGGGGTCGCCTCTATTTACTCTGTGCCTATGGGTACGGTAATTTAAGTGACAGACAATATTTATAATTTTAGGTATTTTAAGTGCCAGAGGTTAAAGAGAGCCAAATGAAGTGACTTGTCCGTTTAGGCTTATCAAATGGAGACCAGAGGGTGGAGAAGCCAAAGGAAGCGTTTAGCGTAAACATTCTCTTGCGTTGGTGACAGACTGGGTCCAACAGGACAGGTCGTGATTCTCTGGAGCTGTCACACCTGTAGAGCTGTTACATCCTGCGCAAGAGATTTTTAGCATCCCCTTTAGTAGTTAAGGAGGTTTTTGAATGGGAATAATGGCCTTAATCGATGACATCATAAAAATATTCCTTAGAATGTTTACATTAGGATCCAATAGCCTGAAAGGGAATCACGAAATAACTCGAAATGTGCTAAATCATTTCCATGCATGAACACAGGCTCTTTCCCCATTTAGTCACTTTAATTTGCTCACTGTTCTAAACTTTTGAGCCACGTCCGAATAAGAGTTTCCTTTAACAAGCTTCATCTCTTTCATTGACTACAGTATAATCCGGCTATAACGTATTTTAAAGGACCAGCGTATTAAGTACGTTATATCCGAAGTACGTTGTAACGAGGGTACGTATAAATTGATTAAAACCAAGCACACCTTTTGCTGGGACCAAGCACACCAGTTAGTTATATCCGAAAGTACGTAATAACCAAGTACGTTATAACGGGATTCTACTGTATATCTCACTCAAGGCTTGAAATATCTAATGATTTGTTTTTTCAGATTCATTTCATGATTTTTCGTTACGTCACACTCATGAACTCGTGTCTCAGATGATTTACTAAAAAAAAAGAACTTTTTGCAAGTATTTTCGGTCACTCTTAAAAACAGAAAACAGCTAGAAAACCGAAATTAGCCCTTATCTAGAAACTTTATAAATTGCTAAGCCCCCAGGGGAATAAGCCCCCAGGGGGGCTAATTCAAGGATTTATCGCAATTCAATGAACTAGTGTAAAAGTCTTGTTTAGAAATAGTGACTCAAGTTCAAGATCCTTTTATCCTTTCCTTGTATTCTTTTCTAAAGACATACAACTTACGTGTAGACTATCCAATTGTAGATTGAATCTTTCAAGGTAGGGGGGGGGAGGGGGGATGTTGTGCTGGTTTGAAGATAAGAAGGGCGCGACATGTTTCTGTTGGTGTTTTGATAAAACGTTTTTGTTGCATCTCTTTGAAGAGTTTGCTTTTTCAGGTTTTTATAAGGTCAAATGATTAAACACATGAACTGTAAGTTTGCTAGTATAATTATTTTCTGATAGAATCACGGTGAATTTCTTCTTGAAAAGCGGGTCGATGATTTCTTTTAGATAACAAACTCAATTGAATGTATTTGTATCATTTGCTCCAAAAGCATTGGCAATAAGGCTGTGGACAAACTTTTTGCATCAACTGTCGTAAATCCGCGAATAAGCACTCATCCTCGAATAAGCCCTCGTCCCAAAATAATTTTTGTGGAATAAGCCCCCACCCTCGAATATGCCCCCGTTGGTTGAGGTATTGCCTCGACAGCAACGGGTTTATCCCAATATATCTGCATTTTTAAGCCCACTGACAAGACTCAAATAGAACAAGAAAATTGTCTATGGTAATTTTATTGCCTGCTGCTAAATTAGCCCCTACCCCAAACTACTTTTTGCAAGATAAACCCCGAGGGCTTATTCGTGGACTTCAGAAATATCATAAACAATGTAATTTATGGCTTATCTGAAAAAGGGAAGAATTTTAAAAAAAAATGATGTTCCTATTTTATCTAAAAACTTGATTTTCGGTTGTGAATGAATGGCTTTGCGATGTGATACGGTATAAGATGTCTACAATGTCTGAAATAACACTCTAAAAACATTCTCCTTTGCTCTCTTAACATTTACTACCACTATTGAGATGCTAATCAAATGAAATTTTTTCAGAGTTTATTTCACGAGGGATATTGTAGAATTTGATTTCACTAAAGGTTCTTATTTTAAACTGTATTGTATTAATCTCATTTGGGTGTTAATTGTCATGCTTCAGTTTGGTATTTAAGTTCTTATGTGCTTCTTTGATGCCATTGGGAATAATAGAGAAGAAGGAGTTCTGTAGTTTGGGTTTCTGCACGAAATTGTTGGTCCCTTGAGTCAGATGAGTGTATTTACTTGCTTTGGCTAAGGCTTATCATGCCTGTTTGGTATGCTCTTTCCACGCTGTTCTCTTCTCGCAACTGTTTTTGGTGGCACAGGCTTGTTTATGAAATGGTGACTGACCAGGTATGAGTCACTGATCTGTGGTGTTAGTGCCTCTACTGGCTACCAGGTATGTTTACCAGGCTGTTTTAGAAATCCGTTGGTGTCTTTACTTTGATCTCCTGCAGTAAAATTTAGTACTTGTATTCAACCGAGCATTCCTGAGCACGTGCTTGCGCCTTCTTTGCGGATTTCCAAGTCGAAATATAATTGCAACACAATTATTTGTCTGCTAACATTTTTACTTGCTGGACATGTGATATTGTTACTTGAAATTATTTGTTCTGATTTGGGCTGCATTTTGTACCCTTCGATAGCTGGTTTTCTTTATTATTGTAAATATTATATCAAATATTCTTATTTATTATATGTAAACGGCAGATTTGTTTTTGAAACGGTAATGTTTAGACATTGAAAACAAAAAGAGCAATTGTAATATTTTTGTAGATGATAGGAGCTATTTTGACAGCGATAATTTATGTCAATAGCGCGCGTTTGATTGCTGCTTTGGCAGAGCCGATGCCAATAGGGGGGCATGGGAGGGCCGATGCCAAAATCTGAATGCTTGTCGGCATAGCCTATTCTAAAGGTAATTTGCTGCGGGGTCAACCCTTTGTTTATATAAAGAAGAGGACAATGCCCCATTGTTTGAAAAAATAGAGAGTCACTTGGGCTGGAGGGGCAATTGCCTTTCTAGTTAGTATGTTAAAAATGGCCCTGCTTGTCGGAAGATTTTAGGGTTTTACACAAGTCACATCCCAACGACTGGCTGATGATAGTCTCCTTAGCATATTCTATTCCATATTCTATTATTAGCAATTTGTTTTAATTGATTATTTTATGTTGCATTGGCTGAAAAAAGCTAGTTAGTCCTTACGGAATATGTAGGGTCCCTTTTGCAAGAAACTCCGGGATTTTTCCGTTCGATCATGGGAAGCATGAAGCAACTTGTACAAAACTGTTAGATCAGGACTGACAGTTTCACAAGCATTCCTTAGTGAGTTTCCTTTGAAACTTTGAGTGTCAAACAATCCTGAGACAGTTCGATTATTTGGAACTATTCTGCCCGATCTGCTGCTTGCACCATCTCTCAATTTCTGAAAATCAGGCAACTATCCAGAGCATTTTTTATCACCAGAGGCCAGCACATCAGCTTTCTTGGCTGTCCCCTATCACTGCTGGTGTCGGCCCTGTGCTTTGGAACGACAAGGTATAATTGATGACGTTTCCAGCAAGGAATTAGCTGGAGGGTCAACGTTAGCCGCTTTTTCTTAGCCTTCTATCAAGTTTCTTTCCTAAATTTAAGCCATGTAATTGGCAGATGAAGTGGTTTTATTGTTGGTATGAAGGCTTTTGTTTTAAACAGGGCAAAAATACTGCTGTTATAATGATACAGTGCTTTTGTTGCCATCTTTTAACGTTTCCAGAGTTAGGCCAATGAATATAAGGCATGAGTGAGACATTTTTTGGGTTTAGTTGTTGTTATTGTAAGAGTTTTTTTGTCTTAAACTGAACAGAGGCATCATAAAAACCATAGAAATAATCATGTGCTGGAAATCACGAACTGACAGATTTCCAAAAAATCTTGGCTTTTAGTTTTTTCTTCGAGTGAGAAATTAATGAGTGTCAGCCCAACTTTTTTCAAGACATCATTAATGCACACTAACTGGAGTTGCTGTCTTGAAAAAAGTTGAACTGACAATCTCATTAATTTCTCACTCGGAGAAAAAACATCCAGAAAAGAATTCAATTTAAATAAAACAGGTCCCTCAGAAAACGTTGCCACATCTCTAATCAAATCATGATTTAGCAATCCATGTATGGAAGCTTACTGTAGCGTTACAGCAGAGCAAACCAGTGGGTACAGTTTCTCCAGAATGTAAGTCTTTTTTACATTCTTTCTCCAAAATGTCAACTATTTAAATCTTTCAAGCTTCACTTGTTTCGTATTATTGGTAAAGCCGGATCGTTATTCCATCTAGCAGTTTTGAATTTTATCTACATTAGCACGAAAAAACCGCTATTGCGTAGACAAAAGGAGTTCGTTTTCACCTCAGGACTCCATTGGTAACATTCTCAATAGGCAAGCGGCACTAATTGGGCAACCTCAACAGTCATGTGCTCGCGTTTCTGATTGGCCTGTTTCGATCCACAACTGGGTATATATATTTCCTAGCGTAGAGTTTTCGATCTATGTTCTGACGTTTTAAACTCTGAAGAGTGTCAGATGAAAAGCTTTAGTTTACTCGATTGTTTGCCCTTTTCAAAGCCATTTACAATGAAAGAGGAGAATTTATAACTACTCGTCAATGACGCATGTTAAGAGCTTTTCCTGTGAATCTAGGATATAAACTACAACTAGAAATAGCTCTTGCTAGTACTGCCCGCAAACAATTAGTTCCTTGATAATGATTGTTTTGAAAATGTAGGTCAGGATATTCGAAGAAGACACCATCTTGGGTTTTCACAATTCTATAAAAACAGCTGCTCTAGTTGAAGCTAAACTATTCTTTTTATCAAGAATTTTTGGTTTTCAGTTTGCCTTTGATTTAAGTCCAACGCCCTTTTGAAAATCATGAAGTTTTTCGAGGGTTTGACATTTATTTTTCGATAATCACGACAATCATAACTTTTGCTCGTACGGTCTCGAGTTTTTGGGAGAAAAGTGTGGCATTCGACTGGTTTTGATTCCCAAAACTTCGAATCAAAACTTCCATCCATTGCGGAGAACCGAGCTGTGATGCAGCACCGTTTTCGTGCCAAAAAACCGAAGGCCTTTAACAGAGTCTTGGCAGAGCAACGCTCCGAAGATAATTCCCTTCCGCACAAAAAGGTGGCGGTTAACGACCTCCTCGACAAAGCCGATTGATTGACAATGAAATTGATTGACAGTTGTCATGGCAGCAGAAAAGTGACAAAATCTGCTGAAAAAGTGCTGACAACATGAACTGAAGCTTCCATATGCTACTTATACGCGGGGCAGACTATAAGCCCTTCACTCGCGCGCTGTCGCGCGCGAGTTGCGGGCAATAACCAATAATACATTAAAGGAGTCAACAATACATGAATGCTACCAGACTTTAACAAGAAAGATTTCCTAAGTAATAATCTTGTAGAGAAGGTAATATCAGTTCAAAAACACTTGCAAATTTTTTTCAGGACTAAATGTTCTCTACAATTAAAATAAAGCAGTTCACAGACCTTTAACTCAATAAAAATTTATCTGTCAGAAATAAATGCTTATCCATTGATGGTAATTATTCATCTTGATATTTTTAGACCATTATAAATTGCTATCTTTCAGACTATTTCTTTCTGTGACATTATTTAAAAAAGTCAAAAGGGGCAAGAGAGAAGGGGTGCAGAGTATTTTTGAACCTCTGAACAAGCACAAAACTAACATGACGACATTTCCTAGTATTCAAATGTCAAAAAATCAATTCTAGAAAAAAACAAACTTTTTTCTTCTCGAAGTAAAAGATATCCCTAGGAAATATTTCTTTACAAAACGAAGCCAAATTCTGCCTATCTGGGTTTATAAACTCAATACAGAAAAAACGACCAACAATCGACTCATCTGTGTGTATTGCCTGGGAGGAGAACCTACGGCTACAGTTCGTGCCGGTTAAAAAATTCGGCAGAGCTGTCTTGGCTAAACGTCGGCAGCCCATTTTAAACAAGTTTCATTAGCAGGGGTGACACTACGCAATTCGCTTTATTCAGAATAACTACATAATATCGGTTCTTAGCTACCATCACCCGATATATCCAGTTCCCTTGAAAGTACTGTTGCTTGGGAGATGAAAATCTGCAGCCATCAATGACTAAGCCTGCCCTCATCAAAAGCAATCGCAACAATGATTTTAAGTTATTTCGTGCTTCTTACACCCGAGTGATTGGGTGGTTGCTCAGTCGTTTGAAGGTGTGCAGTTGTTCATCGCCCAAAACAACTTTCATCTGTCTTTACTCTTTTTCTTCTGCTTCTTGACTGGCCGAGGGGGGTTTTGCCTCCGCATCTTTTGTCTCGTCAGTCGTTGTGGCTGATGGACTATCCTGGTCTTCATTCACTGCAGGTTCAGGCGATGTGCCGGTTGGAATAGGCTTTTCTTTAAGCTAAAGGGAAGAACGATTATGAAAATTACATCTTACTCGAAATGATCTAAAACTTCTAACTTTGTGCCTCAAATAACAAAAACCAATCAATATAGATGTCTATTTATATACAAATTGATACTTTTTAGAGCCTGGAAAATTTGCCTGTATATTCCATCAATCTACATTCTTAAAACAGCCTTGTAAACCTTAAATAATTTCTATACTTAGACCGTAAACACGAAAATAAAACAAACCCCTCTAAATTGATGCTCGATTGAATCCTTCGCCTCTGTAGGCAAACACTTAGATACAAAAAGAAACACAGAGTTTTATAATGAACATCGCGGGGTTTAGTGAAATGCGAAATCGTTGGTTTAGATGGGCCTTTAGTGAAAGAGAAAGCAAAGAAGAACGCAAAGCATGAACAAAAAATTTAACCAAATGGCAGCTAAAGAGAATTTACTTTCTTCAATTCCTGTTGAAACTTTTCACTACTTTCCAGGATTTTACGTTTCCTAGCTTCGTGTCTCTGTTCAGCTTCTTCAATCTCCTGCTCAAGCTTGCGCTAAAATGCCAGAAAACAAAATAATGAGTCAAAACAGAAAATAAACTCTTTTGAAACCACTCCAGAAAGGAACCACTTAATCCCAGGTTGACAAATGAATAAAATAAAAGATGTATTGGTCATACCTTGAAATTTTGAGAAATAATATTAACAAATTGAAGCAATGAGGGTCCTGGCCTGATTCTTGTTCAAAATGTGAAAACTTTTTTCTCAACGTGAATACAAGCATGCTGTTCTTCAGCATATTGATTTATTGGTTAACATCAATTAACCGCACTCAAGACTTGCTGCGCCCTGAACGGGATCCTTTTGGTTAGCTAGCAAAACTGCAGTTATGAACAAACCCTTCTCTAGCCAGAACAACGTCAACATAGCAGCGAGAAAGCAAAGCTTTCTACATTTCCTATTTGTTTAGTGGGTGATACTCATAAGGCCTGAATAACAGTACTTGATTACAAAGAAAATGGCAGAAAGAGGCCTGTGTACATCTTTATCTAAAATGCTTGTAGGGTTTCTCACATTACTCAACAAGAAATCTATTTCAATTATTCTTCTATGAACGTGAGAGCGCTCGCAAAAACATTTCCTTGAAGTTCCTTCCGTTGACATTCTTCATGTTACCACAAACTGAAGAACATCCTTCAAGAATTCATAGCAGTTGATTTGGTTATTAAAATTAAAAGCACCTGGTGCTGCATCAAAGATTGGACTTGCTTTTTCAGATTTTCAAGCCTTGGTCTTGTCACAACTACAAAGAAAAGCAAAAATAATACTGTATTTCATTGAAATGATACAGCTGCGAGAACAGATGTCACGCCATAGATATTCAAACGCTTTTAAAAACTATTCGAGGTAGCTTATTTGCATTTTGTCAGTTATCATTTGTTGCTGTTTGAATTAAACAGGGAAACTATTAGCAAAAACATTAGAGGGAGGAACTGGCTGTGCTGTTTCTGATTATACACGTTATCATTGATCCAAACAGTTTTCTTTGAACGATTCTGACTAATTGGAAAACATCTTCCTTTAACCTTTCTATTATTCATAAGACCATAAAAATAGCTACAAATAGCAAAGCTACAAAAAGTAATTTAGGGCTGGGAATACGGCAAAAATGGAATACTTGGAATCGTGTGTGTGGATGGTGTGTTAAAATGCTAAATTATTGAATGCTAAATTGATACTTTCTTGGTAGCCAAGTATAATAATATTTGGTATCGTACTTCTTTTGTTAAACAAAACAACGTATCACTTTCTTTCAAGGGAAAAGCAAGTCCATGTCAAAGACTAAAAACATAAGGTCAAATACAAGCATCACAACAAAGATCAATAATAATAGTTCAGTTTTTAAACAAATTTACTAGTTTTGATGTCGGGGACAGCCTGTTCGTTGAAAATCTCGGCGATAAGTTTATGATTGCGATGAAATCTTGCTGCTGCAATATGCTTGGCAGAGAACATATCATCATCTAAGGGTAAATAGGAAAATCAATTCAAAGCTATCGAAAAAGAGCTCTCATAAACAATTCCACGTGCTAGCTTTCAGCAGAACAATTCTTCACACAAGAATTAAGAATAACTGATGGACTGCGGTCCCACTAAAAAGCTGCGTGTTTTGCAGTCTGTGTAATATAAGAAAATAACCATAAAGCACTATCTTAAGGTAAATCGATAAATTAAAGACTGCTTAGAACAAATACAAGCAAGAAATCCTAAGTATTCAAGATTTAGGTTATTCATATCATATGCCTTTCATTCCATCATACCAACATAAGGTGGTGATCAATTATAAATTGGGAAACAATATAAGACATGCATTTATACGCATATCATCTGCCTGATAACCATGTGCTCTTGAAGTCCAATTCAAGCTGATACAAAGAAACAGTTTAAGATTTACCATCGTCATCCTCTATCTGTTGTATTTGAAAACGAGGCTCGTCTCTCTATAAAAATAATAAAAGAATATGACGCAAAACGTTTTATAGTCGATTGGTTGTTTGTTTCACTGGCGAAAATTAGAACGAAATTATCAACAATAACATGCCATGAAACAAAATGCAAAATAAGCTTAAGGTTTGATCTCGGCCAGTTTCAGGTCGCCGATTATGACATATTTGAAGACTACTTTTGCTTCACAATTTAAAATGATTAACTTTCGACATGAAAACCTTTCTCTATTAAGAGAAACAGGGAATATAAAAAGAGTTTTTGACAAAAGATTTTCAGGGAGTCAACAATCATCAATAATCGAAGATATATAATCTTGCAGGTTAAGAAAACTGACGAAAAAAATCGCACGAAGGGAGGAAATCCATAATTGCACGTAACCGTTAACAATAGTAGTCAGCTATGAAGGAACAGGAAAAGGAAAGTTACAATATAAAGCCAGTTCTGACAGATATATTCATGTTTAACGGGTCATTCTAATCTAGCAGGGGATTATTCTGTCTTTGTATAAAACTATCTTTCCAACATTAAGTTGCGTTAATTTTTCATAAATTGGCAAAGAGAAGTTTCGTAAAATGAACTTCTGAACTGAACTGAACTGAACTGAACTGAACTGAACTGAACTGAACTGAACTGAACTGAACTGAACTGAACTGAAAGATTTCGTGTTCGAAAGCCACTCACAGGAATCGGACCCCCAATCATTTTTTCCATTGCCTGTTGTTCTTGCAGAGCAGCTTGGGCTAGAAAAGAAAATAGTCCATGTGAGTAAATGATTGGTTGGAATGTGGCTAACCCAAACGCTAACAAACTGTCATCTGTTTGAAATGGTTAATCTGAGTATAAAACCACCTTGTGCAAGAGTATATGCCTGAAGAAAACCAGCAAAGTAACTCAAGACAGCGGATAGCACAGATGTAATCAAACCAATAACATTTCAGCATCACGCGTCTACCTTTTTACAGGATAGCACCTGGCTTCAAAATCTATGTAGGAAATCTTAGACATTGCACAAGCACTAAGATTGTACCAAGTACAGTTTATCTTCATCATGCATTGATCGGATACTGGTCAATTGGCCGTAGATAAGGTAATTGTGATCAATGTAAGGAGAACTCGATAAATAATAAGGTGTATTCGAAGCTTCATACATGTATTCGAAGCTCTTTTCATTGCCATTTATAACTGCAGACGATGACTTGCGTTCACAGAAAGAGGACTTGCAACAAATGCATCAGGAGAAGCGCTGATGGCTGGAAAGCCGGCAATTGTAACTTTGGCGAGCACAGTTCAATGGAAATGACACTGAGGAAACAGCTAGTTAGCTAGCATAAGAGCAATTTTTGAAAAGCGAACAATTTGATCCACAAGGATTAAGCCAAAAATTTGCATGACAAAGACAGAGCAGATCCAATAAATTATATACAATTGTCACTACTTATATGGTCTCAGACAGGCAGGTGTAGTGTCAGGTGCTTTAAATTTATGCATCAAAGGGTTGACAATATCAAACTTGAATAGCAAAGAGTCACTTGAATTAAACTTCAATTTGACAAAAGCTCCAACTGAAACAGTCTAACATGACACTTTCTAAAAAGTATGGTTACTAAAGTTCCCTACCTTTCCCTAAAAAGAAAGTGTATGTTTAGAAGGAGGTAACACAGAACTGCCTAAACAAAAGTTACAATCTGTTCTTCTAATCTTAACATGGGATGTGTACATTATCATGATAGCAACTAAAATATCACTAAATTCAGACTTAATCAGTCGCAGTACAAGAAGCAACTTTAAGAAAAAATATTTTTGCAAGGTACGTTTATATCTATATCTAGGTACGATTGCCTGATGACAGCATTAAGGGAGAAACACAGGGCTTCTCTATACACTCTAGAGAGTAGATGTATACATATATTATAATATGAATGTATATCAGACATAGACAAATGGTATACCTCTTCCCTTTGCCTCAAGCCACTGCTGGTAGGCTGTTGAATTGTGGTAGTCCCTCATTAATTCCTTGTACTCTATCTGATAAATTGGAAAAAAACCTAGATACAAAGTATGTACGAGCAAATTTATAATTCCATTAAAGCTATGAAGATTTGCAAAGACTAAACTACCTTCAACATTGTGACCTGATCATTAGAATCAACCAAAAAAACATATCCTAGATTTTGCTGATTACAATAACATCTATAATTCATTTTGTATTGGCCAAAAAGATTTTCCTGCAATGCATATTCCATAGTTGGTAATCCCCCAAACATAAAATGTATCAAATATATGTAAATGTTTAGAGTAAAATATCCAGCAAAGATAAGGATTTAAGAGTCTGACACTTTTCGTTCTAGTTTAAATGAACTCAATAGCACTAGAGGCAGCTGCTTGTAGGCAGGTGCTGTTGTGCACATAATGGCTTGGGAGAGGGAGCAAAACATTTTTGTGGACTGAACATGTTAAAATCAAAGAGCCAGATGATACATTGTATGGTTTGAGCCACCCCCTGCACCAGCTGACGTCCCTTATGGGGGTATTATAAATAAATCTTTACACTATTAAAGGCATGTATTTGCTAGGTGAAAATAAATCGCTAGAAAAAATGCCTGAAAATTATGGAAACTACATTAGCAATACATTGATATGACCCTAAACTGACAGCTAAACACGTCTAAAAAAGATCTTTTCGTAGAGAAGCATGGATGATAAACTACAAGAATTCTGTTTAATTTAACGTTTTTTGAATAAAAAAAATATATTATAATTTTGTGTTATTTGAAAAGCTTCTCATCATCAAGAAGCTACCAGAATTAGAGGGACTTGAGCCCCCAAGCTACAATTTGGCCATCAACACAATCTATAATATTGACCTGTACATTTTGTCGTAAACATTTATTTAGTATTGTTTGCATTAACGTTTTTACAAGTGCAACAAATATCTGGGTAAAATCTAAACAAGAAACAGCATTGTAAAACAACCTTTGCGTGTATGGCAGCACAAATTAAGCATGTTACTTGCCCCAGCTTTTGAAAGTGAACCAAAATGTTCCAGGCGGTAAATGCTCACAGTAATTCAATATTTGATAGAAGGAAAACATCTGCTGTTGAATTAACTGAAAAATATGTGTTTACCAACCTTTTCAGCTTCATAATCATCAGTATAACTCTGTGAGAGAAAAACACTTTTTGTTTAAGATATAGGTGAATAGGTGATGGTTCAGCCAAACATTCATTAATTACAATCATTGTCACCTAGCAAGCTGAGTTTGCTACAGGTCTCTCTGTAAAGATTTTAGCACCAAATGATGCTCATATTGCCTCATCAAGGCATGTGTGCCCAATCACACAACTCAAACCGAGAGGCATGTTGCTACCATTTTGTCATAAAAAATTAACAACATTTATTAGTGAATAATTTTTTATATGTTAGTTTCAAATCTGTCTAAGAATGTTGAACAAGATCCACACTGGATCTTATGGTGGAAAAGAGCATACACACCTGTCTTCTTAGACAAAAAATCTCCTTCTTTTCTAGTAATAAAAGAGCTAGGTTTTATTAAAGACTGCATGCTTAACAAATGCCAATTATCTCAAAAAAAAGTAAAATATAAGTCACCTTTTTCTCAGCATCACTTAGATTTTTCCACATTTCTCCAACAATCTTTGAAATTTCCCATAACTTAAGCTCTGGGTGTTGACTTTTTACTTGATCCCAGATCTGTAAGTTTATTTTAGAAAAACATTATTAATAATAAGATCAGGCCACTCCGGGAATGAAAAACACGTGGGCTAAAAAAGACCACGGCTGGTTTGGCTGCATGGGCTATTTAGCCCTTGCAAAATTGTTTGTTTATCTATTTATATTTGAGTGTTTATACAAGCCAAAAAAAATTATCTTGCCTACTTGTAAACATGATTTATGTTAAGAATACAGTTTTTTGTGTATTTCTACTCTAAAAAATGACAAAAGAGATCTCTAGTTTTGTTTGCAAAGCAGCAACGTTTTTGTAGAGTCATCTTTATCCAAAAGAAAAAAGAGCAGTACAATGAGCAGTATGGTGTGATGGAAGATTGAGTTGATTGGCATTAAAAATTCAAGAAAGAATAACTGAAATACACTTCTTTTCTATTAGAAATGAAGGTCAACTTGGAGTACTCCAGTTTGTTAAAGGTATAGGAAAGTGTTAGAGTGCTCTTAATCTGAAAAAGCACAGAAGAGCGAAAAAATAACATGATAAAAATCGGTGAATAACATATGCATAAACCTCAAAGCATAAAGGGAAGCAAAAATGCAGATCGAAAGTAACAAGAGAGTTCAGAAAGGGTGAATGAATGGTTCTATGTTTTTGACAAATCCCAACCGTTGATCTCTCACCTTGAGTCAAAGAGCCAAAACAAATCATTTCTGAAACTTTTTAATTTTGTTCCGTTTGCCATGTTGTCGTTTCTTATAGCGTGTTTCTTATGAAAAATGAGTGTATCAATAACACAAATTTCGTACTTTATTATTAATAACACAATGTTGTATAACAATTCTCATTCTTGCTATTATATGCCATCTGTTGATCCTTTCCTGCACTACCATTTACTATTCCATTGCTAGTTTTAAACATGTAATACTATAGTTTGTTAACACTTGATGTCAACGAAACGGAAATTTCCTTTTTATAACGATATTTATAAAAACCATATATATATATCTCTTTGACACAACATTATTTATGAATACCCTGATATATAGTGGTAGGTAGTTAAAACATTAGAGAGTGAGACGAAGCAGATTCAATGAGAGCATTGTTATAAACAACTGGGTGGATGGAAAAAAGCCCTCACAAAATTATTTTGCCTGGGGTTTGTGAGGGCACGGGCAATAGCCCGCGTCTCCTGGAAAAGCCTGATAAGATGTAATAAAGTGTACCTGATGAAACCAACAAAACTGAAATGAATTGTTCATTGAAAATAAAATCCAGTTCAAATTATCTCTCATCTTGAAATTAAAGACAAATACTATCCTGGTGATAAGAAAAAATAGCTTTTTTCTTGGAAGCATAATATCTTTCATTGCCTTTATTTAATAATAGTACCAAAGTGATGATGTCACAAAAATCTATTTTAAAAATTTTTGAATTTTGATCCCATAAACCGAGAGAGCACCATGAAATACCTCCAAATATGCAATATCAGATCAAGGTGATACAAATTGGCTAAGATATGGCCACATGAGCACAGGCTCTTGCCTCATCAAACCTCTGTAATTTGGTCTTGGTTCATAACTTTATTAACCAGGCCAGAATAACAGTAATCTGTTAGGAAACTTGAAATCCTTTGTTGGTAATATCTCCCCAATTTTGAACATTTCTAGCTTATTTGCATAATAAGAGGTATTTTATCTCGCTCTTTTACATTATGTGATCAAAACTGAGAAATTCTAAAAATAGATTTTTGATGATGTCACACTTTGGTACTCTATAAAAGTGTATGGCCTGAACTAAAAGGCCAATGACAAAAAAAATTACCAGTTCATTTCCATTCAGCATGCACAGAGATGCTGTGGTGGTAATTGCTCAACCTACTAACCTTTTTGCTGTATCTCATGTATGGTTGAAGAGGCTTCTCTGGGGGCTTTGGTTGTTTTGGAATCTTTATGTCATGCTGTAATAAAATTAATCGCTAAACATAAATACCCAGAGATACTAAAGTTAGGCAAAACATTTAAGCTGGTTTCCTATTATTGATAAAACTTTAAATTACATACTAAATAAAATAGCAAGTATAAAAAAGAAAATCCATGTAAATCAGGCTCAAGTTCAAACATACTGGCATGAAAGTAACCATCCGCTGTGGTTGCTGCTGTGGTTGCATTCTGACTGGCCCCATTGAGCTGGCAATGTTACCTCCTGGCCAGTTGCTACCTGGGACATTCTGTAAAGCGAAAATGTGTTAAGCATATAGTCCATACACTAGCAGCTTGCATACAATTCATGACAATGGGGCCTTTGAAAATGAAACAAATTAGTATAAAAGAAAAGAAAAGTCTTGACACTTTTGATCAATTAGCCAGAACATGACCTATTGATTTTGATGTGCTATTTATCATACTAAGTTTCTTGGTATACCTTTTCACTAATTTTGAAAGGCTACTTTTCAAAACGATTTATCATTGCTGGAAAACTTTAAGAAATGGAACCTAAATTCAGCATACTCACAGAGGGCATCATACCAGGAGGAGGGCTGGGCTGGTAAGGTGGCCTAAACCTTGCTAGAAACAAAAAAACACAACTTATAACACAAGCATTTTCACAGCAAAATTACATTATCATGGCATCTCTTATATCCACTTTGATAAACATTTGGAAATGATAAACAAAGGTGAATATTTGGAAAACTCTCCATCAATGAATCAAGTTCTCCCTAAAAAGATACAATTTATTCATTGAGGTAATTATAAATCAATCAAGTCTTATGAAAACCTGAAAGCAGTTGTATCTGGAATGATTTACCCAAAATACCAACAAAAGAGACTCGAAAAACCAAGCAATCTGTGCCATATTTTTCATTGTTCATTTCTTTTCCCAAATTTGCTATTTCTCTCCTTTCCTTTTAAAATTTATGAACAATGTTGATAGTTTATGATAATTGCCTCTATCATAAATAGGTGAATAGGTGAATAGAATAAAAACCACACTAAAAATCTTGTTACCAGGGGGAAATATGGTTGGCTGCATTTGCCATTAAAAACCTATATAAATGTTCCAAGACCTTTGTTGCAGATTTTTTCTCTAAATCTACTTCCATAGCATCTCATACATCTATTTCTGTTCTCTAAGAATGGAAACACAGAACCAAGGATACAAGAATGTTTTTTACAGCTATGGACAAATTACTAAATGCCTTTACATGATCACATTGCCAAACATTCATTTCATCTTTAATCTAACCATTTTCAACTCGGTAAATACTTTGCATCATGTACTTTCTAACCTTTCTTCTGGCGTTTTAGACTCTGAGTTGTGTCAGACCAAAAAGCGTCTAGTATATTTTTGTGACATGCCCAGACTGGAAACTTTGCTTCTTGCGCGGGCAAGTTTATTTTGAAAATTTGAGACTGTGCGCCTGAAATCATGCACTCTTAGTTATTTTATTGTTAATAATGTTAAATCCTATTGCCAAGGGATCTAGGGGATTTTGCGCGGCCAATATGCAAAAGCGCGCAGAGGTGTGCGCGGGCAATATATTGCGGGCGCGCAGCAAAGTTTCCAGTCTGGTGACATGCTTGCTTTCTTCAAAGCCATTTTCAAGTTGTGTACTGCCACAAAATTGTTCAGATTTAACCATTATAAAAAGTTTGCCATTCTCCAATACTGTAAAGTTTTGTTTGTGTGGGGAACGTGTAACAATTTTTATCCTTCATTCTGCCTGCGCATTATTAATTATCTGCCTACGCACAATATT